CGTCCCTGTGCTTCGAAATCGAGCGCACGCAGAACAGTGGAAAAGTTCCAACACTACATCCACCCCTGAAATTACCCGAAAGTCGGAAACGTTGCAAATGGGAAAAGCAAAGGGTACACTTAACCGGTAAGGAAAAGTCAAGCGGGAGAAACGCACACGATATTCAACAACAAACAAGGAAAAAAGCAACTCGGCTGCAACAGCGTGATTGCTTGCTGGTGTCGGAGCGCTGTTAAGTGTGAGCCTCCCGCTACTATAAAACAGAGAACAAGCAAATATGTAGAGGGAATCAAAACACAAACTAACACAGCAGTGCCTCCCGCGCCTGGTAATACAATGTCTGCATGCAAATACCGCCGGTACACGCACCACAGACGATATCAAAGCCCCCAAAGTATAATGAAGTGTGTTGGGAAGACACACCTGAGAGTGCCTGCAAATCTTAGCGTATAGCACAACTTAGCAGTGATAATACGTTTTATTTTAGCAATCCCCATAAATCGACTTTGCTATTTTAGGCAGAGCATGCGCTGAGGAAGTACAAGTACCACGGAACGGAAGGAAAGATCTCCATGGCGACCAGCGTTTTGAACCAAAAGGAGCCCAATATTTCCCCGTTTAGCAATGATGCCCCAACTGTTTTCCTTCAGCCACTGATGCTGAGGTTACTTACTTCATTTAACTACAGGGCTTTCGTATAGTGTTCCCGCTGCACCCAATATTCCTGGAGCCCATGCCTTGTACGTCTACTTGGAGATCCTCCGCATCCATATGGATTGATTTCCTGCGCGCGGCATGTTTGGTGTACAATTTGTGAAGTCTGAAAGCTCTCGATGGAGCCGATGTTGATAGTCTCTGTGGCATCTCCAACTTTCAGGAAAATTAGTGAAGTAAGAAAAAGCCTACGACCATGTTAGTGATGCCCTCAAAATGCCTCATTGTGAATCATAACTGCAGGAGGCGCAAAAGCCTGTGAAGAATTCCAGGGTTATCAAAGGCGTGAGAGCTGTATCGCAGGTGCATTGACGACAAATGCTCCGTCTGGATAGTAAGTTTACGCCAAAAAAATTAGTGTCAGCATTTACCGCTTTGAGTTGCCTTTCCTCCACGAGATGCTACTCTTCCGTTATAGCAAAACGCTCACACCGACAAAGAATATGATTGTTTAAAGGACGTGCAGCCGGTTGGAAGGGAGTAGGACACACCACTCTATCGACTGCATTGGTTGTTGAGGAAAATGTCACTTAACATCTGCAGGCCCAGGGGTAGGAGGAGCTGGAGGCAGCTGATGAGCGTCAATGCTGTGACATCAGCCTTCTCTGTTCAGATCGTAAGCTGCATATTTTCAAAGGCAGAAGCCAGAAGAAGCAGTGATCCGACCAAACTCAGTTACACGATGTAAGCCCATATGGCTGCTCAAAGTCCTTGCGGGTGTGCAAAGGTAAAAGCAGCTCCTGATCGCTTCCATTAAGGGGTTTGACTCAATTCCTGCATCCTAAAAGCAAAAGTTTGGTATGAAAAGCTGTTATCGTGAAATAAGGACACTCGCGTGCATTGACATTCCACTGCGTGTCTCGCAACAGCTACAGCGCACACCCTAGGTGCTTTAGGTGCTCACGAACCTTCCTGCTAAGCACTATGGCGCTGCCCACGTAGACAGCGATCTAGCTTCTAGTAGCAACCTCATAGACCTCCGATTACCCCTACGCGTCAGTATAGATGCGGCGCTAACAAATTCAAAGTGCATGCAGTTACATCTTAGTGGAACGCCGTTTTGAGGCTGTCATCAAGGTGAATGGAAGCCTGTTAAGGTAAACTGTAAGAAAGCGTCTGCTATGTCGAATGTCGAAAAAACTCTGACTCTGCGTAATTTGCCAAGCATTTTTCCAACAAGAAGCATCGATAATTTTTGGTTCTTACTGATCTTGTTCAGAAGCTTGATGCTAAGCCAACAGCGCCACCTTGGTCTTCTGGGCAACAGCAACGGGTTTTCCCCAAGGCGCTGCTCGATTCCTAAGCGTTGCCTCTTGCCAGCAGATTATATGCCTGCTCCTCAACCTCACCTTCATGCATGGGGAGTACTCAATACCGCGAAAGGTATCAGCGGCTGGCTTGGAGATCAGCTCAATAAGGTGCACTGAACGATAAACATCTTGCCAGCTTGTAATAAATTGCTGGCCAGTTTGCTGGAAATTCGCCCTTAGGTAGCACCGCTACGAGATTTCTCTCGATGTTTACGTATTTTAGCTATGCACGAACTCAAATTCCTTTTAAAGATCCAGTCGTTGAGCAGCTAAGACGGATGGCACGCTCAAAGCTGTCGTCTCTTTCCGCACTGCCGAGCCGCCCACACCAGCACTCGGCCTGACCTTTTTGAGCTACTGACATTTCCCCGCTCACCATGCATTTTAATTGACATTGTCGAGGACACCAAGAGTTGCCTGTTCATGGCGCTTGCCGGCACACTAAGCACCTCCTTCCCCAGCTGTAGCCGTATGTGTGCTCTTTTTAGGGTCGTCCATGGCATACCTGGGCTTAAGTCATTACTCATGGACCCAATATGGATGTCTCGGAGCACGCTGATAAGATGCGATGTCGATTCAAAGTGGCCTTTAGCTTCGGCAGACTATCCAATCCTTGCGTTCTGCCACTAGCTGGAAACCTGAGTCTTCGGTACCCAGATTGCACTTCTGCGCCGTCTCCTCAGACAGCAGATCCACTTAACATTCAGTAACGCTAGCAATTTTCGACCAATAGGGTACAGCTGTATCAGTGCATGATAACCTTGAAGTGTGTTTCTAACGGCGGATCTACGGGCTGTGGCTTTCTTCCCTGTGCCACAGCCTGCATGGGAGCTGTTACCTAAAGTGCCTCCTTTATTCTCCAAGCCTACTGACTCTATTGGGGCCAATCGCTTTTTCGAGCTGATTGGCGTTTTCCAGGCTTTTGCAGCTCCGATTAAGATGGCCCTATCTATTATACTAAAAGCATGTGCGTTGTTAGGAGGATGTATGGGATTGCGGAAGTGCTAGACGTCCCCGTGACTTTCTTTTATCGTTGATCCAAGACTGTAGAGTAGACCAACTACCACAGCCCCGAAGTCTATTAGTTCTAACCACATAGCTTTTCCTTCTCGCCAAAAGGGTGCAGGGGCTGCGCTCATTTGCTCCTGAATCTTCACGTAGTCGATAACTAGCTGAAGCCTCAATCCTGTTGATAACTTGTCAAGTCGCTGCTCATCCTCCGACCACCTGATATGATACGTCGAGGTCTGATATGCACCACTGATAAAGCATTCGTATTTCTCGATCGGCCCACCTGTTGATGAATGAAACTGGTTCAGCTTTTCGAGTTATCCTAGATTTCGTTTTTAATCATGCATAAACCGATGAGTCAGGGCCTGTATGAAGGCGTGAACTGTAATAATCCATGCTGGCAGATCACTTCCTTTATATGCATAAAGCCACTTGAGATGCTTCTCCTTTGAATAAACATGTTGCGCATTGCACTTGTTTCTCTTCTTGCGAGAGTACAAAGCAAGGCACATCTGCCATAAGCTGCTGAAATCTCTGGATACCTGCGTGTTTGCCGTTATAAGTTTCTAGCAGGCATACCCTAGCCGAAGCATCGACAAACACACTTTTATCAGCTGTTCAATCATTTATTCTTATCATCTGAGGATCTAGTGCGTAGACGCTAACTTGTAAGCTTGCCTTTGCCGCACCCAACTGTACTACAGTCAACTCCTACCACCTGAGGCTTTTCAGACTGTTGCCGCCCCAAAATCAGCTTGCTGAATGACTGAAGAACCTTGTCGAAACGAGGAAATGGGTGTAGGGAAATCTGACATCCCACTGCATCCCCAGTCAGTCGATGGGCGGGGAACTCGGTGGATCGAACCATGCGGTGCTAACAACTATACCAGGCCCTTTAAGCTCTCCGCTTTGCAGGTCTCAGAATTTCTGACATGAGGGGAGAGGTACAACAAGGGTGAGCGTAGGTGCACCCTCTATGCAGTCCAAGTATATACAGCTCGGGACATACATCTTCTAGCGCCTACGCTCACGACACTGCCTCTTCTCGTGGTAAGCTAACAGACCAAATAGTCAATTAACTAATTCTTAGTCGAGCCTAACTAGTTTAATGGGAATTGTTCAAGTGTAGGTTAGCCTGCTACAGTTCACATCCAAAGCGACGCTACACAATAGTGCGCGAGCTCTGCAGCGGGACGCAAACAACGCATACCAGGCTGAATTAGCTTGCTAATATCACGGATCCCCAAATGTGGCCTCCTCGTCTCAATAAAAATGCCTATGCATGGACTGCTGTCAGGCACCATAGAAATAGAAGATTAGGTTTTAATCGTGCCATTCGCACCAGACTATACCAAACATACCACAATTATATTGCTTAATGCTTAATGTTGCTAAGCGATGTTGAGGCAGAAGGCTTGTGTAACGGGGAATTTTTGTTACTCATCGTACATGGTTTGGTCAGTACCACCTTCCCACCACGTTGCCGGCTACCCAGCGGACGCAAAACCATCCTTGTCCCGCCCCAACAACACATGAAATAGCAATTTCACTTATTAAAGGCGGGAATTGTGCTATTCTATCATAGGTACACGCCGTCTCACACTTGGCAAAGCCCTTGGTGCGGGCACCCTTCGTGTAGTTGAGGAAGAATTTGGGGAGTTCGGGTGGTTGGTTGGGGGGCTGGCCGCCTGACGCGAGGACCTGCGGCCTTCGTCTTACGGTTTACTATATTATTCAAGCTTCTTTTTGTTCTAAATCAGATCGTTCATTTCTGTGAGCCTGCCCACCCCAGGCTGTATGTACGAGGCATTGTGGACCACTCGGACCTAAAGAACTCCCGGCCGTCCCCTCCTTCGGTGCTTGTGGTAGCTCTCTCTAGAGAAGCTCCGTTTCCTTCGTTGTGTGACTTCGCGAGGAAGTGCCTGTCCTACCGACCTCCTCCATACGCGGAGCAACTCGCAAAAAATGCTGGACTCCAGCCCCTCCGGCTCTTCCGAGTATGGAAATTAAGGGCATACATATGCCGGCCATCCCTTCCGCATTCCTCTACAAATTGCAGAGCTATGGCAGTCTGATGCATTGATATCGATGTGCGCACAGGCGATACTTGAGCATTGGCTCTCTTAATCCGTACGTGCATCGGTGGCAAATCAAGGCCCGAGTGGTTGACAAGAGCCCTTTGCAGACTACAAAGAACAACAGCAGGTTCTTTCATGTTGATATCACGGACTCTGCAGTACGTCCCCACATGTAAACTCAGGAGCAGCTCCCGATACCCTGAGGCCTTTAGCACACAATACGCGATGTAATTTCAAACAGGATTTGGCTTTTGCGCAATGCGTCCTAGGGAGATATAATCAGAGCTAAATTTTGGAGCGACGCCGCAGAAAAGTGGCATGGTGCCCTGGAGAAGGGCAAGGTCAGTATTTCACATTGTTTGCTAACAGCAGTTACACACCATAGCAGCCTCGTGTTTTGTGTTGCTTCTATGTGAACATCCTGGCGAGTAATATGAGCTTCTTCTTTGGCTGCGCACTTCTCAGGTCTACTGCTTCTCTCGAGGGAGAGTCAATGTAGCGAACAAACGATTTTCAACGTTGAATAACAACTATGAGCTCTCCTTCTCTGCTGATGCAGACATAAATCCAGCTGATGATGACGGGTCGATCCACGTCCAAAGAAGGTAGGGCTCAAGGATTTATGCTTCTTTGTGAGCAATTGGAGTACTGGGAATCTGAATATATTCCTGTATAGCAGCTTGATCAGGGTATGTAAGCATCTGTCGCGAGTGCCTACAGGCTTTTCGGCTTGTGGGTTTAACGTGTGTGTGGCATATGCAGCTTGTGCTCGATGCCCCTCCGCAACATTTTCAACTCTACTAGGGAATGCCCCTTCCCCACCGACGTGCTGGCCGTTGTTATTGAGGCTCAGGTTGGTTAAGCTCCGATGTCGAGACAGCAGCAGCCACCGGAAAAAAGACAGGGAGCATTCGTTCTTAGAATTGAATGTTTCTGGGAAAGGGGCAAGGCTTGGGCTTCTGTTTTCAGCCTGTGTCCTCGGTTACGGCACGGAGCAGCGGCGAGGAGCTCAAGCGTCGTGTGCTGCGAGTTCGAGACAAATCACAGATGGAGATGGAGATCAGTCTGTGGGGAGAACAGGTACTGGATCGAGCAGTGGGCTGCCTTCTGGCCCCGTCTTGTATGTTCTCCAGTGCATTATCTTTTCTCTAGCTTTGGTGCATTCTCTTGCCTTGAGGTCTCCTGATTTCCTGTCGTTTCCGCTATCTCAGCTTCCTCTCCCAAACGCCTTTATTGCGTCTCAGCCTTCGTTAGACTCTGCTGCTCCCACAGGTTGACTGTATTACCGAGACCGCAGCCCTCCCTCAGGTTTACGGCCTTACAGGGCTCAACATCCGAGACTGGAGGGGAGCTCGAAGCGCGAGCAGCACCAAGTCTACCCAAATAATCAAGGCTGGCAGTGGCCTCCTTCAGCCGGAGGAAGAAACCGCAGCAGCGGAGATGCTGCAGTGGTACACAACGGTAAGCTGCGGCTGTTGCGCGGGCGGGAAGTGCGTGATGTTGCCATGCTGCATCGAAGCGGGGACGCATATTGGCGGCAATGATCAGATTGCTGATTTGTAGCTTTCAGTCCTAATGATGCGTTCTGCAGACGGGCAGCAGTCTTTCCTTCCTGAGCATGTCAAGAGCGGGCTCCACTGGTGAGGGGGCTGCTAACGATCGAAAGCCCGTGCAGGAACAGAGTATTAAGGACATTAAGGACAGGAACGAAGTAAGGCGCTTGAGAGCGGCAGCTGCCCTCCACCCTTTCTTGTCTTCCGCGCGCAGGGTTCGAGCAACTGCGCAACGTCTGTAGAGTTGGATTGCCGTTGCAGCGGCTGGGCGCCTGTTTTCGGTGCCTGTTGTGTTGCAGCCAGGAGTGTTTGCCTTCGTTGGTCAAGTTCGGAGGGTGTACTGGAAGCCACGGCAGCAGCAGCAGCAACAGCAACAGCAACAACAGGACATCTATGCATACGCAGCCTGCCCCACGTGCAGGAAAAAGCTGCATGAGGCGTCCAGCACCGAGTTTTCTTGTTATCCTTGCAACATCAATCACGTACGGTAGTCTGCAAAGTTTTTCACGGCAACTGCTGTGCCTGCTTTTGTATGCTGCTGCCCCAGCCGCAATAGGTGCAGCATGCACATGTGGCAGCTGCAGCAGCGTGTCTGCTTTTGCTGCAGGTGTCCCCTGATTGGCGGTATATGCTGCTCGCCTCGTTCATCGACTCTACAGGGTCGCTCAGCTGCAGATGTTTTGCAGACATGGGTGCTCTGCTGTTAGGTTGCTGCTTCTTCTGCTCTCTCCCACTGTCACATGAGTCTCTTGGACTTGTAGAGATGCTGCGCTGCATGATCAATACGCCTTTGCTGGGGAGCGTGCCGGCTAGTATTGGTAGGTGACTGTTGTTCAGGGCAAGCTTTGCTGGGCTCCCCTGCTTCGGAAGTACGACGTTGGGATTCTGAAAAGAAGCAGACTTTCTTTGATTGGCATTCCATTTTGAAGGTTCGTCGCAAGACGCAGTCTGGAGGCAGTAAGGATCTATAGGCTGTGCTTGCCCAAGGAACCCCCTGTAGTGCTCTACCCTGCAGTTCAGCTCTTAAAATATTCATCTGCGCTTTTCCTTTGCAGAGTCACTTTCGAGTGATGGTCAGGGCAGAGTTGGATAACTACAACGGAGAGCAACGGATGCGCTACACTGCCCTTCGAGTGGAGGCTTTGGATGCCCACAGCCTGGCGATGCTGCTGCACCAGCAGCTCAAAGTTGCAGTAAGCTGCACTGCGCCTTCCCCTGGCTTCGGAATCTCTGGAAAGGCTGCGTACTGGGGTATCAGAGAAAACGAAGGGGGAGGGGGCAGATTAAAAGATCAATGTTGAGAAATCATACGGTTCCCATTTTCGTCTCTTGTTTTTATCGCAGGTTCCATCGGCCACTGACTTTGCGGAGAGCAAAAAGGCAAAACTTCAGGTGATCTCACGCCACCAAACATGGCAGATGGCAAAGCACGCATGCATGTGGAGTGAGCGTTGCATCAAAGTTGTGTTATGTCTGCTGTTGATTCAGCTTGATAACCATGGAGATATCTCGGAGCCAAATGCCAAGCGATCTTTAGTCGAGGCACACTGAGAAGCCTAACGCGGAAACGCTACCGATTCTTTTTCCATGATAACCCCCCGGAAGCCGTTGGCCAGAGCAATGAGTCGATTCTTCAGGCTTATGGAGTCGCTGTTGAGCCTTGCGCTTCGGACTTCGCTACCGTGCTCATCAAGCCTAGCTTGTCGGCAGGACCTTGGACTCCTGAATAGACCAAGGAAATTTCAGCATCACAGATTACCGTACAGCTGCCGGCGCTCGCGCCGTTTCGGCAGCCAGAAAACACGTTTCGTGAGCCTTATGCTTGCAAATTGAATTTGGTGCTCAATCAAGGTGTTCAGCGCAATGCGTTGTATCCGTGAAACTTGCCCCTGTATCGTGCAGGTCCTTATGCTCTCCGACTCCCCGCCATGTTTTCGCTTTAGGCGTCAGGAATTTACCTTTTGGTGTGGCTAGCCATCTTAGATAGTCATGCACAGCTACTTGTCCTGCAGCTTCTTCGGAAACAACGACGTTGAGGACACCCCTGCTATAGAAATGCATATTTCACCCCTCACAGGGACACAGCCTTATCAGAGTGATACGAGGTGGCATGGTTGGCTGTGTACCCTTAAGGACGACTGTGCGCGAGGCCAAAGCTAAAAAGCTGCTCATGTTGTTGAAAGGGCAAAGAGTTTTGGGGTTGAAATGGCTACAGTAGCACACAGACCACTGCAAAGAGGCCTTGCTCTAATCGCCCGCTTGGTTGCTCTGCAAGCGTTCGTCCAACCATGGCTTCTTGTCCAGCTGAGCAGGACTATACTCTAATAGAGTCGACCAACTCAGTTGGTTGGAGTTCCCTACGGTATCTCTATCGACAGTGCCCTCGCTTAAAAGCAAGCAATCGAAGGAGATGATTCAGGGAAGCAGGGCAGTGCCTAGGAGTCCCTACTTGCAGTTGCTTTGACAGGCGTGAGGACCAGAGGAGCATCGCTGTACGTGCGCCGACGCTCTGTTGTTGGGTGGAGACATACAGGCTGGAGGTACCCCTCACAGATGTCGGTGTAAGGAAATGTTTTTTTAATGGACTGCGAAACATTGTAGTAGTCATCACGAAAATCTGGTTCTTGATCTGTATGGAGTATATGAATTTGTTGCCCTTCTTTTTTTTCAGCATAAATGGCGTCTGCTTATAATAGTAGATGCAATGTGTATCTGCATGCCGCCACTGTGTATCATTGTACGTGAGTGACAAAATTCCAATCGAGTGCGGCTATGTTCACCCTGGTTGTCCCTCCTCCGTTTATGCTCACTCATTCGCGAATCTACGGAAAAAACAGACAGAACCATCTTGAGGCTCGAGAAAACTGTTCTACGAGCAATGATAGTAACGCCCATCCTTGAGTCTCCATGAGGACACCAGCAGCCCGGAACACATACCTTTTTCCGGGTTTACAAGAGCGTGAGCACTGCAGCTAACGCTATCACGAGCAAGTCAAGTAACATCTTCTGCGTTCAAAAACCACCCGCAGACATACCCGTTGCAGCGTGTCTGCAAGGTCTTATAAGAAGAGGCACCACTTAGGTACCCGACTAAGCTACACTTAAGTATTTTTAAGTGTACTGTGAAATTTACTTCAGCACTGGTAAAGAATCGACTCTTTACTGTCTCTTTGTAAATCTTAGTTATTGCAGAGAACTGGAAGCTGGATACAAAGACACAATGTTGTATAATTATGCGCCAGATGCTTTATTCAACTAAATGCGATTGCCCGGAGTGCATAAAGCGTACAGTTTAGCTCAACCTACCTGTACCTGTCCCCTTATGTCGCGAAGTCTGAAGGGCTCTGTCAGGGGAAGAAGGGAGCTCTTCTTCATAAACATTAACATTCTAATAAGCTAGTTTCAAGCTTAGAGTTAAGTGTCTCCCTGCAAAGACTATATATGGAGCGTTTCAACTCACAAAACCCCGATAGTATGTACATAGCAGGAGCTCTAGCGTGTTTATTGTCAAGTTATGGAGCACCAGCAACTGGATATGGTCAACGATCCCAACGCACAGCTTGTGTGTTATTGGCCTCGCAAGTGGATGCCTTGTATTGCCACTTAACTACGAATCCAAAAGCAAAGATAGGCAAAATACAAGCCGGTGTCGTAGTACCAGGCTTATGATAGCTTTGCTCGCAACACTTTCGTTGCCTTCATTTCGTCTGCGAAAACCAACCGTTTTTGTAAGCCTCCATGCAGTGTCTTCGAAGGCTTCGCGTTGCTACACCCTGTATGCATTCTGAGCATGCTCAATTAGCTGCAGATTGAATATTTTCTTCCGCCATTCTTATGTGCTATTTGTTCCAGTGTACAGTTAAACCAGTGGGATAAGAATCGTTGTTTCGTGCGTTTCAGGTAGATGCTTAGTGCAACTACCTAAGAATGACTGGACTGCATGAAGGATGCACCTAGCAACACATTTTATCTAGCCCACACCCATACAATATTGTGTCTTCCTCTATTGAACACAATATTACCCTTGGTACATAGGATGTATGAGCAGACAAACGAATCACTCAATTTTGTACTGTCCCTCAGCTACTTATGACTAACTTTAATAGTCTTGAAGCGGGGCTCAACCTGCTTCATTCTCCCCTGGAAAATTTCATGGAGAGCACGAAAGCTGGGGCGCGTCGAATCTGCCTACACACTAACAAGGGAGTAGGTTTTGGCAAAAAGTCTTTCTTCAAGAGCCAGAGAGGCTTCATCCTTACAAGTACCCGTCCCTAAAACTAATTTCCTTTTGTACTGTATGAATGTACAGTCCAGCAACCCCGTTCATCAGCCATTCATGTTCGTGCATCTGGTGTGCAGCCCCAGAGTTCGCTCAAGCATCGCCTCACTCACCAACCTTGACTAATTTGAGGCACATGTCTCTTGCCCCCACTGTAGCTTCTACAGAGTTTTCTATTCTATAAAACAAAGCTCTAACTATATGCGTCTAACATATCAATACGTGACCTCAACCGCCGCATCGTTCAATTCAGTCCCCTGGAGACGCGAAAGGAGGGTGGTAGTAGATAGGGATATGTCCCGAAAAGAAATACCCATTCATATTACTGATACTCTCAAGCCTCCTAAGGGTATTTTTTTTGAGGTTGACCAAGTTGTTTTCTGGGGTGCAACAAAGTTCAGCGTGGTTGTACGCAGAGGCACCTGCCGTTGGTGCGACACACACACACACATCGACCGACTAGTGATACTCTCTCGACCTAAACATTGGAGGCCCTGGATTCAAAACACACTGTGCGTACGCCATTTTTACTGTTAGACATTGACACATGCGTTTTAGGTGCTAAAGTATGCTTAAATACAGTTAGCATGGAATGGTTGACACTGTTACAGGCTGCACGCAAACAATGAGAATCGAGGAAGTTACCTCGTTGCAACACGCGCAGCGTGTGGCTTCCCACAGCCACATTAAGGGTCTCGGGCTCCTACCCGATGGGTCAGCCAAAGATATTCACATGGGAATGGTGAGCTCCGCGTAAACTGGGTGATGCACGGCACTTACTGGACTCTCACCGCTCACGCTTCACCGAAGGCGTCACACTAATGGCTATCCTTGCCTCAGAACAGATATAGCATACTTTATCGTCTGTCGTCATGCCGACAAGCCACCAGAGTGATGCCCATAGCAAACAAATGCCGAGTTGCTGTGAGAAATTCTCAGGTAGGGCAGCACCATGCTCGAGAGGCCGCTGGCCTCATCGTGGAGCTTATAAGGAATAAGCGAATGGCGGGCAAAGCTTTGCTGATCGCAGGTTAGTTTAGCTTCATAGAGCAGTAACTGAGGGAAGGACATGGTGAAGGGCGGGGACGGATCCAACTATTCCTCAAGGATTCTGGAACACCAGCAAGCTTACCACGTAATACTGGCTTTCTTTGGGTACGCAGGCCCACCGGGCACTGGCAAGACCGCGATTGCCATGGCAATCGCTCAGGAACTCGGTGCAAAAGTGCCATTTTGTCCCATGGTGGCCAGCGAAGTATGTCGTAGTTCCTTGGATCGACAAAATGCTACTGAGGAAAACATATGACGAATCTCACAATCATAGCCGTGTGGACACAAACGATCTGACTGGTGCCCTCCAATAGTGCGAGCCCCTCTTAGGCGCCACTTTCACTAGCACTACTTTCCATTTGCCTGGTTGCTTAGGTGTACTCAAGTGAAGTAAAGAAGACAGAAGTTCTCATGGAGAACTTTCGCCGGGCCATTGGAATAAAGATAAAAGAAGTCAAAGAAGTATTTGAAGGACAAGTCGTCAGCATGGTAAGGCGCATACTGCTTCAAAGTCTCGTAATCACAATGAGTACGGTACGTTATTACATTGGTGCAGTGTTAGCAGTGATGCTTTTATGTATACAGACAGATGAGCAGAGTGATGAGCTAGGTGCTAAGGAGAGTTCTGCACTAAGGGAGCCCCATGAGGAAGCTCCGTGTCCCCCAGTGCGACTCACACTTAAGACATTCAAAGGCTCCAAGACGCTCCGCCTTCATTCAACAATCAACCAGGGTCAGCGAAGCGGCCATACTAATGTATCCTAGTGTGTCACCAGTGTTGTTGGCTGCAGAAGACCTCTTGCTTTCTTATGAATGGTTAGTATGCACTTAGGACTACGTAAGGAGAAGGTGGCCGTGGGAGATGTCATATACGTGGAAGCTGCCACAGGGCAGGTGCGACGCGTAGGCAGGAGTGAGGAGTTTGCAGGTCAGTTCGACCTCGAGGCCGACAAGTACGTGCCTGTCCCGAAGGGGGACGTGCACAAGAAAAAGGAGGTAGTCCAGGTAAATCACTCTAACCCCTGTGCAGCAGCGCGCTCCCAACGAAATCGGACGCAATGCAGTGCAGACTCCAACGAAAGCAGAAACGATCACTACGAGCACATACTGGCAGAGTCATTTTTTTAAAACCAGCTATTGACATGCTGTGACCTGTCAATCGTACAGGATGTGACTCTGCACGACTTAGATGCGGCCAATGCTAGGCCTAATGGAGGCGCGCCCCTTGCTTCCTTGTTGGGACAGTTCTCCAAACCCCGCAAGACAGAGATCACGGAGAAACTCAGACAAGAAATAAACAAAGTTGTCAACAAATACGTTGACCAAGGAGTTGCGGAATTGGTGCCTGGAGTCTTGTTTATTGACGAGGTATAATCAATATCACTCAAGTTTAAAGGGCACACCACTTTTGCTAGCGGGAAGCAAGTTTGAAGCCCACGGCTCTGTTCTTTTGCGCTTCGGTATCGGATGGATACCCCAGTAGGAATGTCTAGCGAGTTTGAAATTAGTTTGTATCGATCATTTATCCATTAGCATGTAAAAAATTGCATCGAGCTTTTGTATCACTGAAAGGCTCCGAGTCTAAGCTGCGATGGCATTACTGAGAGCGAACGCTTTTGGCGCATCTAAGAGGCGCTTCCGTTATTCCTACCACAATGCCCATCTTTTAGACATAGAAATACCCGCGCTTTAGCTTCCATGGGCTATGTCGATGCTTGTTCCCAATCCCCCTCAAAAAATCCCCTCACATTCTTATGCGTGCATTTCCCTACGAGTGATATATCGTAGCAATATACGTGAGTACATGAAATAGTAACAACTCAGAAGCACGTAGCGCAAGTCAAGAAATGAGGTTGACCGATTGGTTGTCTTGAGAAAAAGAAAAATCACTACCGCACCTTAATTGAAATGGGCTCAATCTGCGACTGGCGCGCAGTAACTTTGTCCAGAGAGCTAGTGTCATTCTGCACGCTGATTGCAGGTTCATATGCTGGACGTAGAATGTTTTACTTACTTGAATCGTGCCCTGGAAAGCCCCCTATCCCCGGTCGTTGTCGTCGCCACCAATCGTGGCGTCTGTACTATTCGGGGCACAGATGTTCTAAGTTCTCACGGGGTGCCAGTTGACCTTCTCGACCGCATGTTAATTGTCCGCACACAGCAATACGCTAAAGAGGAAATTAAGGAGGTGAGGCACGCCCTCAAGCTACCGAGAGTGGTCCTCCAGAACCATATATATGTTCCATAATTCATCTTGCAGAAAGGTGCTCACGAGAAAGCAGCACAGGGATACCAGTAACTGTCAACTATGCCAATTTTTTCAGGTCCTGCAAATCCGTTGTCGCGCAGAAGGGCTCACCCTGTCCCCCGAGGCTGCAGAAATGTTGGCTGTAGTTGGGGTCCGAACCTCTCTGCGCTATGCTGTACATCTTCTGACCCCAGCTGCAATCCTATGCAGGGCGGATATAACCGACGAAGACTATGACAACTCTGAGTTAGAAGAGCCAGTTATTGAACTGCGGCATGTGCAGCAAGTCGATAGTTTGTTTCAGGATGCAAAAACATCCTCCAAACGGCTTGCTAGAGAAGCAGATTTCTTTATCCATTAAACAAAAAAAACGCAAAGCAGCTCCCGAAAAATTCTGTACGCTGCATACTGTCGTGAAAGGGCTCAAATACAGGGTGCCCGCCCTTCTGAGAAGCCCGCTGGCTGGCGAAGTTCCAGCGAGTGACATCTACAGAGCATCTGTTTTTCGATTTAGTAGCGCAAAATTTACCAATGCACTATGCTAGTAACGACACTTCAGTCTCTGTTGAATGCTTCCACGAAGCCGTCGTGAAGCCCGCTGCCATTTGGAAACCTACTTTAAGCAGCCAAGAAGATTAAGAGCTGCCTGTCGACCTTCGTCACCAACGAATCGTACTCCATTTGAGGTGCCTCCTGGCCGTTGCTGCTCTGTTCTTGACAGCCACTCGCTAACATTTGATTCTTGTGAGAAACCGTAGTTACTTAGGTAATTGGCATAAGGAGGATCCTCGCGTTGTAGCACGCTTTGACTGCAGCTGGAGGGCTGCAGATTTTTGAAGGTGAAGAAGAAGTGAGGGGCTCTTGACCTTTACTAGCGCTCCTATGTCGTGCAGCCTTGCCTGAGCAAATCACGAAGATGAAACCAGTCTCCTATCAAATTTGCTCGAACTACGCAGGTAGCAACATTCACAAGGCCGCAAGGTCGCTCACATGCATGAGAGCAAGCTTCGACTTCAAGGCGTTGTACCGGAAAGACATTTGTTGCCGAATCACCTCCTCCGGGCTTTGGAGGAAGTCGCAGGACAAAAGTTCAATAAATTTATATTCCATGTTCTGTTTAGGCAACAAATCGCAGAAGCCAATGCGATACTAAATGGACTGCCCAGCTGGTCAGAAGTCGATGGAATTTCAATAGGCAACCCTTGCATCGCCAACTACTGTAACCATGCATACACCATTTGCCATACCTGAATAAAGTCAAGTCTACCCTTGCCTGTTGTCTCCATTATAAAAACGGCGAGAAAGCTGCGGAACAGTCCGAAAGGCACTTCAAATAACGGTAGGAATGAGAGGAAAATCTGCTATACATTGTAGCTGGAGCTGCGATTTTTTGTGCATGTACAAGCACTGCGCGCTGAGTAAAGTAGTTCGAACCTTTGCCCCGCTCAAAGACCGCTACCGGGACATCTCCATTTTACCTCTGTGGCTCCCTGATACATGAATTGAGCATTTTCATAAGCACTTGAGAGTAGTCTGAGAATTGAATCATTAGTTTTTGACCCTGTTGCATCTGCCGGAATGCTTTCTCGTCTACCCTAAAACGAAGCAGCAAGTAATTAAAAACAAAGTCACTCAAGTCCATATCAAGTAACGAAGATACTCAATCACTTTGTGCTTCGGATTATACCCCACGAAAAAATTCTGTTAGGCTGTATGCATTCACGCGGGGCCTATGTGTGCATACACATGGGTATAATGAAAGAATAAGTCGTTCTCGCTCGAGGCCTCAATCCGCACTTCTTGAGGGTTAAGCTCTTCCCCCTGAAAAGACAATTAACAATCGGATTTGTATTACATTGTGAAACCTTCCAGATTGGCACGGTGCGGCATAGCGGGTAGGTGAGAGCAATAGCCTGACCAGAATCAGAATTTTCACCCTAATGGGCTCGAGTCTCCCCACATCCTGGGGGGCTTTGCTTCCTTCCTGCATGCGAAGTTCGCATGGAACTTCTCTCTCGTAAAGAATCAAGTGGCCATCCGCTGTAAGCACGAACAAGATACCACACACTGGGCTTCCCACTAGAATGCTTTTTTGCGCAACTGCTAGCACAAACAGTTGCCTGCTCCATAAGATTTATTTAAAAAGAGGCTGAGGCTTCTCTTGGAGTTGGGTGCAGCAGAGGCGGGAGAACGATGACAGGCAGAGCGCAGACAACCGAGAACCGGGCAGCAAAGGCAGCTAGGGTCCTGATGAACACTTTCTCCACTGAGGATCCACTGCACTGTCAAAGAAGACATGATAACTATAGACTTACCGAGGGAAGGGTCTACCTCATCAATGGCAGAGAAGTCGAAGTGGGTCAAGAACGCGGCCGAGTCCGAGGCGGGGAGCATTCCGTCAAAGGCACAGGCCGCGTCCGCCGACATGCGATTTGCCATCTTCGTACGGTCGCTCGGAACGACAGACAAGCGATACAATTTGCATTAATTTGAACTTCTGCAAGGACCGAAGTGAAAAGAGATTCGCAGCAGCACCCCCAATTCCTTTCTGCGCCTGAAGTCGCTGGACTCGCGATGCGCCTCGCGCTATTCAATGTGATCCCTTGGTTTATCTGTCCTTCCATGCATCTAGGCGGTACTGGCTTTAAAATAAATTCAAATGCCAGTGACATGTTTCATCAAGGCGACAGCGAACTATGAAGAGCGCCAGTGGCAGCCGCATGCTCCATAGGCCGGAGCCGCAGGGCCGCATTCTGTGTGTTCAGGGTGAACCGAGGGCAACTGCTGTTGCCCGCAAGATCACAAAACTATTCCATGAAGAATATACAGATAGGCATAGCTCAGAGAGACGGACAAAGCTAGTGTTGGTTCCCGAATATTACTGAGTTCTTCATCTGTGAAGTACCCGTCCAGCCACAGCCGACCTTGTGCACCCATGCTGACACAGCTGAATCACCATACTTCGTCGGCGTAAAACCATGAATCATGCAAACAGAAATGCTTCATATTCGGTAGCAGAGATGTAGCAGTATTGTTCGTGTCTATCCTATCGCTTCCTACTTTCAGCGCGGCTCCGCCGGGGAGACGTTCCTTCTAGACGGCAGACTGTGAAACGCCGAACTTCAGCTCCAGTAAATCTTACTAGCTGACACTGAAATGAGCACAACAAAGTCGTGCTCCCTATATTCTGCACTACAACCTTCAATGCGTCGCAGTTCTCTGACCCGGTATGTTCGACTACCGCGCTGACTGGGGGGCTGCTGTTCTTGATGAATATAATGTGAAATGCAGAATTCAGGGCACCAGCAGTAATGCCATTAATTTCACCGAATTCCACACAGCAACAAGCAACCTCTGACCTGAGGCTTGCTCACAGCAGTGGTTCAAGGCTTCGGGGAATGAGATGTCGCACGACACAACGAACGCTCAGCCCCCCGCCAACTAGGCACACTCAGGGCACGTTCATCCTGAGGCGAACATTGCGATCTAAAAACTGTGTGGAACACCTCACCGTGGCCCCGCCACCGCCCATGCGCTGCGCCACTCAACATGAAAGTGCGGCGGCGTCAAGGGCTGTGGAGCGTAGGAATACCCGTGTACGCATGAGCATACATAAAATGTGCATGAACATGCATTCGCTTCTTGTCAGCTTGAAAACCTTTGCTTTTTGTAACTTGAGGCGGTGGCGTTCATTGCACAATCAAAAGAAACCCAACGGCTAAATCTCCCACCTGCATGTCGCGCTCAGGTTTGCTGCTCGTGAGACTGATGCGTGTTGCTCAGAGAGTTCAAAGGAGTCCCGCGCCTGAACCAAGGCGCCCGAGCAATCTGTCGATAATTCCCCCTTGAGGCTGGGCCCGCAGAGCAGCCTTCCTCTCTTTTTCAGCCTTTAGCTTTGCACTCATTTCTGCGCTATTTTCCGTGGGGGTGATCATTCCGCCCATGAAACGGGACTGCGCTGTAAAAACACACACCAACCCACCATAAATCCGCAATGCACGATCTGTCACGCAGATGCTCCGATGGCGATCATCGGATAAAAAGCTGAATCCCAAGGAATACAGGCAATTCCGCTGTCGACAAACAGCACGGCCATCATCACCCTTTAAATCTGTATCAAAGCTCTCGAAATTGTGCGTTAAGCCCAAAAAAGTAGTAATACACTCCCAGACAAACAAGCTGCAAAACAGATGAGGGTACGCTGGAGTCTTTTATGCAAGATCCAGCAGTGTGCGCCTCACCGAACAAGGCCGAATTGGCGCTGAAGAAGGAAAAGCCATTATTTCTGCTACTCCCTGCGGCTACCTCCGCATTCTTCTGAGACTCCCCCGTCCCTTCCCAATTGCCTCTTAGCTCCTCGTCCAGATACCCGCTGTCATCCTGTTGCTGTTGTACTGGAGGCGACGTCGCCCTGGCTGCGGCGCTGCCAGTGCCAGTAGCCGTACAAGCATTCCAAAGAGCTGCCTTTGGCACCTCTATATCTTTTGGTTGAGCTTTCTGTAGTAATGCCGAGTTGAGCAGGAGAGTGAGGGGACCGACAGCAGCACGAAGTTCTCTCAGTTGCTGCTGCAAGCGCTGTGCTCTGCGCGACAGACGGATGCTCACCACCGCTACTCCGTCGCCCTCTTCACTTGACTGCTTTTGCTCCTCAGTGGCTACCGCAGAGTGTGAGCACAGCGCCTCTGCCTGTTGCAGCAAGTTGGTAGTATTAAGAGTCACAGTAGCGCTCGAGACACCCCAGACGCGAACAAGACGCAGCTGTAAGTCACGCTGCAGCAGCTCGAGCATCCGCTTCCCGTGCTGGTCCTGTGCTTGCTGCTGCCGTCCCTGTGGTTCACGTTTGAAGGTAATCAAGCTACGGTTAGAAGGGCAGCGCAGCAGACCCCTCAGGCCCAAAACCACAGAAAATAGGTCAAGAGACTCGAGCGTTTCTTCACCTGTTTCAGTTGCCGCTTGTCGTTGCTGCTCGTCGGAGGGCTCCGGCTGCCGCTGCTGCACAGCGTCCTGCTGTAACAAGGTCAGCGACGCAGTGCAGCATTCACTGACGACTACATCGCTGTTGTTTGCATGTTGCTGTAGGGCAGATCGCATCTCGTGGAGTTCTGGTGATTGTAACAACAGCTGCCTGTGCTGCTCGAGCAGGAGTCTGAGCGCTCCCGCCGCTTGATGCTGCACACCCGGATCTGGGTGTTCCAGAAAGTAGCATATTCCTACAGCCATCCTGGGGATCTTTGCTTTTACTGCTGGAGACGGCCGTGGCTCTGCTGCCAGCCGCTGCAGCTGGTGCACAATCATCAATGCATCCATTTTGGGTCTCTAATTAAGAGTCTGGTCGTTAAACACGCGACGATGCAGCACTCCTCAAGCCACTTCAGTGAGTGAGGCTGCAGTCGGTATTCCTGATGACTGCTTGACAGGTGTCCTTGACGTTCTGGTGGCGCCGGGCGTCGGCCTTGACCAGCGACTGCAGAGCATGAGGAGGGTGATAGCTGAAACAGGTGCGCGCTGAAGGACGAAATAACTGTGCCCACTGCTCTTGTATCTGGCTGGTGCCGACACAAAGATCGCCGCAAAAGAAAGCCAAACGCCCCGTCCTTCCCCCCCCCCCAAGGAATCTGCCGGAGATCTCTCCAAAATGCTGGCCTTTCGCCTGTCCAGGGGAGTTCGCACCCACACTACTCACCCTTTAAACCAGGAAAGCAAAATGAGAAACGAAATAGCAGATTCGCCCATCTAAAACACACCAGCGTTTTAGGGCCCTGCTGTCTGCTGCCGCCACCGCATGCGCAGGCAGGCACCAGTTCCTTGTGGCTTCGCTGGGCTGAAAAGTGAATGCTCCAGTGAATCAACACAACATAAGGCAATGAGAGGGATGGAAAGAGGGCTAATGCCTGCAATTAAAGAGTAGGTGCTCAATGACATGCTGGAGTAGCCTTGCGTGAGGGCGCCACTCTCTTGATCTTGCGGACATCAAGTTCTTTCTGGCTTGCTCTCCTGAGTACAAGATAACGCGGTTCTGCTGAACGGTGGGAGTCCAAATGCTCTAGCGTGATTAGACAATTGGCGTGTGTTGTACGTTAAGTTTTTCGTGCTCCGGGCTAACCTAAAAGCACACTGCAACACTCCGTCCAAGGTCTTTGTGGAGAGAATGTTAACTACGAACTCAATACAAAGTTTATAGAAGGCTACTGAGTATTTTCCAAAGGGCTTTCCTTCTTCCCGTGCCAGCGCCCTTTGAAGTTCCCGATATGCCTGCACAGGAACAGCCAGGATGCGGGCAGCTGCACCCTCAAAGCACTCCCAATATTTGCTGCTAGTTGAATAAAGCATTCAAAGAACACGGACACAACATTGCGTCTACTGATGTCCAGCGAAAGGTACCCCGCAATAAATAAGTTAAACGGACATACAAACGAATCAATCAATTCTCAACTAGCACTCAGTTAAATACAACCATTTTGCATAGACAGTAGAAGTGTAGCCGAGCCCGCTGCCTCTTTGCCAGCTGTAAACAAGACCAACGTCGTGCTCTGTGCCTGTAGCTTGACTAAGTTCATGCTGGACAGCAGGAGAGCTGTACTATCGCCACCTCCGAAGCAGGTGGGAGCGTAAAAAACGATGCGAAGGAGAAGAGCAACAGGTGCTTCGACCGGTGAAGAAAATCAGGGAGAAATGCACGCATACCAGCCTGAAACAGACACCTAATTTAACAACACGACTGCAATAGCGCGATGGCTCGCTGCTGTTGGAGCGCCCTTGTGTGGGTGCCCCCTGCTACAAGCAAACAGTTGATCAGTCACCGCGCCAGGTAGAGCAATATTTGCATGCAGATATAGCCGGTGCAGGCATCATAGACGCCTTCAAAATCCCAAAAAAGGCATAATGATGAATGTCAAGAAGACACACCTAAGAGCGCCTGCACATGTAAAGGCAGATAAAAACTTAGCACTAAGAGCTGGCATTTTCTACGCAATTCCCACAGGTATATAAGCACTTTCTGTTTTAATTTAATTAAGCTAAAAGCTGAATTCGACGCCTGCAAACGCTCAGAAAGGCCCCTTTATTCGGCGATAACGGAAATAAAAGGAAAATAGAGCCCCACTCCATGCATAGCGGAGGGCTTGCGGGCAATATGAAAAGGCTAATCTTATACACTTACTACCTGCAAGGCCCTTCACTTTGCTCAGGCATATATATATATATATATGTGACTTGAGTCTTCTCTGTTCTATTGTGAGAAGAAGCTACCAAGGACATAAGGCCTACGTCACTCACCGGATGTCAAGTTAGGCTGCTGTGGGAACCAGACGGGGGGCTTTATAAGTTTGCATACTCCTCTGTACTAAGACACATCCGGGGACACCAAAAAAGCCGTTAGAGCTTTTGAACTGTAGTGTAAAGCTCGCCACTTACCTAGAAACAAGATCATCTCTCTTGCAAAAAGCGGCATTGCAGATTAAAGCCGGAGTGCACAAGTAACGGTGTCCAGTTCCGTTTTAAGCAACAGCATATCACATCTAATATGGCAGTGTTTCATCATTTGCCGTCGTAGATTTTGGCAATAGTATTACATGTCAGGGTGTCAGGAGCATAGAACCATATTTTTGATCGAGATTCCGCATCGCTGCAGACAAGAGCGTTTGTGCTCCGTGATAGCGAATCGTTGGGGTGTCCCGAGAGCGCGTCGGCAAGCACATTGTTAATGGCCTTAATACACTTTACCATTAAGTCGTCTTGCAGGAGGAGCCCAAGCCAGCAAGAACTTGTAAGGCTCTCTAAGTCAGAAAACCATTTTTATAAGGTTCATTGAAGTCTAATTTTTGGTACGCACGTCAAACTACCACGAAGGAAATATAGTCAGCTTTTTTTCCTGCCCGATCGCACCCCATAGACTTCATTTTGCTGGTGTTTCTAGGAATGTCATGTTTCGTGAGGCGATGAGAGTGACAAGCAGTAGTTTGCCTGTTCGGAAAACCAGAAGCGTGTTGGGGGACAATAGCACCCATTGCTACGTCACTACCATTGGTTGGTAGGAAGAAATGACGCTCATGATCGGGCAACCTAGATACCGGAGGAGCTGGTAGGCGACCGGTCGGCGTCCTTGCTGCAGTGTCAGCCTTCTCTGCTTGGGTCGCAGATTACGCTTTCTCAGGTTCAAGGAAGCATTAATCTAAGCAACCTCACGAATTGAATTCGGGCAGTCAGATGCAAGCTCACAGAATTTCTCAACGCCCCAGCAGGTCCGAAAGGTAGGGGCAGCGGCTTGACTGCTTCAAATGTTGCCGGATGTGTTTCACTTTCTAAAGGCGAAATCCATGATTCCAAAAACACAACTGTTCCATGAAAACACACTTGCTTGCCTTCACATACCAGTCCTTGCTTCGCAACCGCTGAAGTGCACACCGTAGGTGCTGTAGGTGCTCACGAACCTGTCCGCTGAATATTGATAAGCTCAATAAAATCTTTTCCAACTGGCCGTTGTAGTGAGGTTTTAGCTTTGAAGCAGCTCAAAAAGCCTGCATGTACACTCGGGTTTGCTAGGGCAAGTATGGAACCACGTTGTGTGCCGGGCATTAGGGTACGTGGGAATTTGTAGGTAAGCGTTTATTAAGTACACTGCTGAGTACATTTATGAATCGTGTAATCTGTCAAGCGATTTGCCAATGTATTAAGTTTCTTTTTCACTGTGGCCTTGTTAAGCGACCTAAAGTTAACGCCCATGCTACACCTTCAGTCCTTCTAAGGCCTTGACATCGGGCTATGCCGAAGAAGGTTGGTCGACTCCCGCGCTTCGTTTTCTTTCGCCGATTCATATGCCTGTCGTTCAATGTCATCTTGATGCAGTGAGAGCTTCGGATTCCACGAGATATTGTGCGAGGCTAACCTCAGTGATTAACTTTAAATGCTGGACCATACAGTAAGCAAACAACCAGCCTACCAGGAGCTCGTCATAATTTTAGCAAATCATCGACCTCCCCCTTGAATTTCGCCCAATCCTGGTGCTTCACGGCTGGAGGTTTAATCGAAGTTTTTTCAGAAGCCAGTAGCAGAGCCCTTTAGATGAGATTCATGCTCAGAACAGTCTTTTCTTACTGCAATGCTAATTCGCCCGCATGAAGACTCAGCCGCACCTTGTAGAGGTACTGGCTCCGAACCTCACCGTAAATTAAAACTCTTTGTTAAGGACACCAAGAGATGCTTTCTTAGCACTTCCCAGCACACTAACAATAGCATTCAGCAGTGGCCGCATGCGCGCCCTCTATGGAGTCGCCCATGGCATTACGATTACGTTGCTGTGCACGGGTGCAAGAGGGAAGCCACGGACCATGCCGGTAGGACTCGATTCCGTTTGAAGTAGTATTTAAATGCAGTAGCCTCGCCGATCCTTGTGCTTTGCCTCCCATAAGCAAAACTGAGCTAAATGGATCGTCCTAACGAGTGAACAAGCAAATTGCACTGCTGCGCAGTCTTTCAAGATAACTGCTTCACGTCACATTCAGTGTAGATTAATGCAAGCAATTCTTATCCATTAATGTAAACTTGAAGCATAGCAAATTTGACCATAGATGGCCCAGCACATGCATCATTCTCCAGTATAGCTTCTTTAAATGCGCCGCAGTTTGCCTGGAGCGCCTTGCACTTTCCTGATGCTCCCTCTTTGCTCTCCAAGCAGCCTACCTCCCTTGAGCCTAGTCCAATTTTTCAAGTTTCTTGGTATTTTGATTGCGTTTGGAGATTGGGATTGTATGAACCAATTTTCCACAATAGAACCACACACTGATACTGGGCTGTTTCTGGCTATTCGAGAGAGCGGGCTCCCACTGGCTCCCTTTCTCCAGTATTTTAGACTGCAGACTAGAGTGGGTTGGCACAGCTCCTACATCCGTGGGTGCCCGACGTGGTTCTTCCGTTCAAGCATTAGACGCAAAGGTTGCTTTAATTTGCCTCTAAAGCCTAAAGTAGTCGAATAGTTTTTTTGGGGCCCCATCGATTTGTTGCTCAAACGCTAAGTCTGTGCCCACCGTATGACCTCCTGACGTTGCACTTGGGATAGACCACACATAAATCACTGATAAAGCAGCAGCTCGTTTGCGATGCAAAATTTGCCAGTCAAAGGCCACTATTTCTTCACCTACCGATCTACTGGTAGATCCTCATGCACAAGCTTTTTCATTTCTCCCTGAGCTTGCTTCTGCTTCATTTATCTTTGTATGAACCGACGAGTCAGGTAGTGTGCGAAGGTTTGCCTTGTGCTTACGTGCGTGTACTAATCCCTCCATGCAGACGACTTCCTACACATGGGAAAGGCCATCATTGAGGCTTCTTTTCTTTCAATAACCACGCTGTACGAAATACCGGTCCCTCTATTCCGGGGTACCATGCGGGGCACCCCTCCAGCCGGCTGATAAAATCTTCCTTGCCTAACCTTTCGGCCACCATGAGCTTCTCATCGGCATAATCTGATAGATGCATTTATAGACATCTCGCAGGATGACAAATAAAGCCCCTTTTCCTGCTACGGAGCTCTTGTGTTCCGCGAGTACGAAAACCAGCCTGTGCCGCTGCAGCAGGCGTTCTGCCACTCTCTACTTCCATTGTCAGAAGCTCTTTCCATGAATTTGCCTAAATAAATCAGATCACTGAAATTGCAGCTATTTTGGTAAAACCCAGACGGACTTTGGAGGGAGACCAGAAGGTTCACTGCAACCACAGCTAGGGTGTGAAATGAGAACAGCTGGATCAAACCATGCAGTGGGACCAACTCTAAGGGTCTTTCTATGGTCTCAGTTGGAAGATCTTTAGTTCTAGATACAAGAAAGCGTGACCAGAAACAATTGAGCGTGTGCCAAAAGAGCTGACGCTTCTCCTCCACGTGCCCAACAGGGTTTTCGACGTTAGGGGAGAAGGAGATCTAAACTGCGTGTAGTTGCACCCTATATGCACTCCGAACATTCGCAGCTAGCTGAAAATAACAATTAGCACACACGCACACAGCACGTCATGCTCTATCGATCTAGCGGCTCTGCAGCAGATAGGAGATAGAACCAGATAAATGAATCGTTCAGTTCTATACTAATTCCTAATTGCTTATAGGCGCTATGGTAGAAAGTATATAAGTGTAGCTTGACTCGCTACTTTTTGCGAAGTGCCTTCTTTTGAGAATTCCTGGTGCGGCGCTACAGCTGTTTTGAAGGGGAAAGGTGCAGCATGGATACAAGGAAAAATTGGCGAACATGTTCCACGCAGGAAACGACGCACAAATGCTTATGCGCTACCTTAAACATGTTTAGTGTAGCTTAAATACACCGCAGTTTAATGATGATTATTAAGGAATAAAGGCTTTTACTACGGCATGGAAATGGCCTACATGCCAGGCAACGAAGGCAAGGACAGAGATACCTCGTGGTGAACGGCGTTAATTTGGTACCTAAGTTAGACAATGATTGTGAAACACACGGTGCCCGTGCCACGGATTCTGTGAAGGGAAATTCACTCCTAGAGCACTCCATGTGCTCTGCAGGGAACAATGGTCAGTAGTGTACATCCCTCTCAGTCTCCTCAGAGAGACACTCTAACGAAAGCCTTGTAAAAACTTTAACAAAAGCTCCACTATCGTCTGGAAAGAGGCTGCCCTCCTCGCTTACCCTATTCTGCAAACGCTGTGCCTTAGCAGAGAAATGGCAGCTAGTTTGCATATAGCAGCACCCTTTGCAGCGACTCGCATATTTCCCACATTGGTACAAACAGTAACTTTCCATGCAAGCACACGACATGTCCTCTGGTAGCATACGGTTGACCTTGCTTCGCGTAAAATTCAACATGCCTCGGTAAAGCTCATGGAAAAAACTGGGGTAGACCAAATGTAGCGACCAGTCTAGTGACATCCGTCAGGGTGGACAGCGTGGCAAGCTCCAACAGGTGGCCCCGCAAGGCAATAGGAGCAAAGAATTTGTCTTCATGAGACGGAATGGGCGCCACATGCAGGATCCTTGATTTTAAAAAGCTTATTACCGATGGTATTCTTAATTATCAGGAAAAAGTACATGGCGGTGATGCTTTGGGCTGCGGAGTAGCCGACTACCAATCGAATGTCAATTTCTTCAGATCGAGCAATTGCCAGCTAATTTGGAGCAGATTACTGTTCCATTTGACGAAACAGACTCCTTTGGTCGCCTGTTATTTGTGTTGTCTCGGCCGGTTTTTGTTCCGTGTTTCCTGGGGAACCAAGTTGTTTCCGAGTGCGCAAAAAGCAACCCAGCTCTGTAGGGTCGGGCCAGTATTCGCGCAGTTTTAGTACTAATTTTCTCTCAGTAGACCAAATGGGAACAAGGCTTGTGCATGTATATTCGCGCTGCCAGTATCTATGAGGAAACCACTCTTGGTTCGCTGGAGCATAGCCTTCCTCGTTGTGGACTGTTTCAGAAATGTGTGGACGGCTGGTATTCACCCCTCCGCGGAGGCCTCGCGACCCAACAGTAGAAGTAACGAAGGGAACGCCGCCTGTGAATTTGGCTGCGCCCAAACTGAGCCTGGGCATCTCCCAAATGAAGGGGGAAATTCTAAGTTTAGGTGCCCATTTCCAGTTTGCGTGATGCAGGGGTCGCCTCAGCTGCAGCTGTGGAGGCTTCATGGCGCACGTGCACAGCGCGTTGTCGTCGGTTCGGATATTGACGACACACTGATCTCCTCTGGTGGTTGGATGTTCGGCAGCTCTTATTTGGGCGGAGTAGATTCACGGTATCCCCGTGGAGCAAGTTACCCAGGGCTAAGTGTGTTGATGTACCTTCTCTCACTTGGCCCGCACGATCCAGCTGCACCGACGACTCACAAAACAGCACCGCCTACACCCATGCCGAAACAGGATCCGCTGCCTCTCGCCCTCATTAGCGCCCGACCTAGTATTCCCCTCTTCAGGCCGTCGATGCTATATCAACATATGTCTGCCATATGCGCAAATGGAGCAAGGCAGGCTACAGGAGATCCGAAGGCCACCTGGAAGGCCGGGAACGAAAACAGGGTTATGCTATCGTCACTGCGAAGTATGCTCGACACTCTGTCATTAGAGTAACCATGCGCAGCTTAGTGTTCCTATCAGGAAACTTCGATAGCATTGCTCTGCGGTGTAACAAAGAACAAGACAAGTGCAAGTGCCTTTTATGTTCCCATTCTTGCCGGACTCGAACTACCCTTCGTTTACATTTACTGCGGCAGGCGAAGCCTTACTTGCAGAAGAAAAACTTGATTTTTTGTTGAACTTGAGCGCCTCGAACGAGGCCAACGGGGTACATGAGAACGACGATGGGCATGTAGGATCTGACGACACCGTCCTTGTATTCTTTGGCGACACAGGCTACAAGTCAGTGGGAAATTTCTTTTGGGGGGGGGGAGGAGGGGGGTTAAAAGTAAAGTGATGCCACACATATGGAAAGTTGGGGCCTCGAGGTGAGGAACAAGGTTTTTCAAGGCAGTTTATGCCACTGCTACAAGGCGAAATCGTGTGCATTTCAGGGATATCGAAACTATGATTGGAATGGCGGTAATAGGAGGTCGATTTATTGGGGGATTTCTTCATCTGGTGCACGCCGGGGAGGAAGGGCCGGTTCCCTTTGCCAGGAATAGTCGTACACGCAAGATGATTGAAGGCATTCAGAAATTTGGAATAGAGTACGTTAGACTAGCTTCGCCGGGGAATTTCATTTTATGCAGGCAGAATCTGATACAGAATCCAGCTCGTCTATTTGGATGCTGTGAGGGTCATGCTTTCTGCTCTATGCTAACATGGTTCGATTGTCCAGTGTATGAAAATGCGTGTACGCCTGTTCGTGCCTTTCCGCGGATGCATATATGTGTGGATGTGCAGATATAGGGGTCGGGTTTTGGAGGCAGTGCAGCTTGCGTTCAGTGTGCGCATGACTCGTAAAGAGTCGTCCCCTGATCAATCATGTGATTGCAAACAGTTGAGCCGGAGTGAGGCCTTTGCGGTGGCAACACTGATTGGGGATAAGGTGCGCGACCTGTTGCGCCTGTATTCGGTCCGCTGGGTGAGAAGCAGGGATACCTTCAAGGCCAGCAATTACGCAGACCCCATTGTGCCGGTAATTTTCATTAAATGCCACCGAGTGTACATGAAGCAGGCCAAGCAAATTCCACTGACGGCAAGCCGGCGCTTGCTGTCTTCTGGTGCGGAAGTTAGCGTTCACTTCCGAGCACGTGCGCCTGTCGATCCACAAGACCTCGGTGTCCCCATAATGCCCTATCGTACTGCGGTGGCTGCCTCCACCCAAGCTCTTGTCCTTGGTCTAATAAGTCATCAGGAGGCAGTCAGAGTCGCGCAAACGGTAGGTGCCCAACTATATTCTACAAATACAATCTAAAACACCCGTGCTGCAGCCCTGCCTGCCCTCATGTCCCAGCGATCCTTGCTGCACCGGAGCAGCCTGTCGAGCAAACTGCCTCCGTTGACCCCGAGAGCATCAAGTGTATCACTGCTGTGTCTTGATGCTGATGGCAGGCGCTGAAGGAGCTGCGTGCGCAGGGCCCGATAACGCATTCGGATTGGCTGCCAGCCTTACTGGATCACTTTTATGAAGCGCGGGCACTTTTGTGGGTACTGCAAGCACCGTACAGGTTGGAAACTGACATGGATTTGATGCACAAACGAATGCAGGCACTGGTTACAGAGCTCGCCTCTTTGGTGGTCCGCTCCCAGAGCGTCGCTCAAGCTCCTCTTCGGGACGAGGAGTGCGCGGAGCATTGGCAAAAGCGACTACACAGTGACGTGCCATTCCAGTGGGAGTTTCAAGCCTTTTCCAGGATGTTCATCCTGTTCTTCTGCAAATTTGACCTGCAGATCAATAATCTCCAGGACGCCGGTGCGGAAGAAGTTGAACACCTGGCATCCGCACTGGGCCAGGCTGTTCTGGAAGGGCTGGCCATATGTTCTGAACTAGTCGAGCTTACGGGAGAGGACAAATTGCCAGAGACTGTCTTTGACGGAATCAACGTTTCTCCGCCAGACTATGATATAGAGAAGGACAGCTCTGAACAATGCACATGGAGGGGGAGGTCACCTACCGCGAGTGTTTTCAATTTGTTTTTCAAACGTCTCTGTGCTGAGTTGCCTAAATTTGTTTGTACCATATTGCGCCAGCGGCTCTTAGAGGAGGGCTTTCTTGCAGAACTCGCCATCGTCGTCGAGTGGCGGGCCTCTGGGGCCACACTGCCCTTGCGACTGCACGCATTCGACCTTGTGCTTCCCCCCCCCAGCGAGAGAACAAGTAAGTTCTACAGATAGCCCACAGTGCAAGCAGTTGCATACATGGTTGCGGTGGGCCGCGAGTTGCGTGAGGTGAAACTCTGGCCAGAGGACTTCCTCAGCGATGCCATCCAGCAGCTTTAGGCACCATGTGATGGCTCAGCCCCACTGAGGCTTGAGCTCCACGCCTTCAGTAATTTTACTGTGCTTTCAGGCTGATTTTCATCGGTGATCATGCTTGTAATGGGTTTGTAGGGAACTGGCGTAGAGCTGTGCATTGGGTCAGCTGTGTTGGCTGGTTGCCTTTGGGATTCTATGCATCACGTTCGCAGGTCAATTCACCAAAAGCCACCGCCAGCTGGAGACACTTTTAGGTGAAGACGCAAAAGGTGGATTTATAAGCAAACCTCTCGCTCACTTTCCCACCTACGTTATTGACCAGTCGGGTGCTGCTTGGAGTGAATTAGCAGAGGCGTTAAAATTCGCTCAGCAGTGCATGATTTGGGCGTCCGAAAAAGATGATTTTGATGTTGGTACAGCCAGCGGGTTTGGCCCAACTGAAGTGCTTAAAACCAATGAATAGTTTTGGAATGCGCACAAATTAGCGTAGCCAAAAAGTACCATGGCGTTATACACTGCTCCTATGCATTCCACTGCAACATAGCATTGTATGGAGTTATGCAGAGCAACAGACAGCGCTGCAGTCTTTGCAAGTGGGCACAGGAAAGATGAGCCGCTTCCTTTCGCTAGTCAGCACCGCATACCCACCCTACTGCCTACTCCGTTAGTGGCAGACGGGAAATCAACATGAGCATCCCCAAATGGTCATTTAAATGGGTAAAGGCGTGTCCAAAATAATACCTTTCACGAAATGTGCGGTGATTTCGGTGCCAGTTACATCCACTGGCAGGTGAGAGGATACGCAAAAGGGCACCCAGTCGATGGGCAGTTCACTCGCGTCCAAGCTTTGCTATCCACTTGAGCAAAAACGGACGGCTGATTCGGCGCGTACTCCCTGGTTCAGATCTATAGCGCTTCGGTGAAAAAACAGTCGCCTGCAAGGTGAAAACGAGGCACTTCAAGATCACCATTTGCACTAGCAGGAGCAAAACATCGACCGACCATAGCCATTGGATAGCGCTGCCCGTGTGGCCGTAGGCCCTCCCAGCAATGCCGAATGTATGGTATACTTCCTCCTTGCTACGTAGTGGTAAATTGCCGCTTGTTGCTGAGGGATCGTGCTGAAAATCGTGTGACTCCAGAATACAGATGGTTAGCGCTTCGAAAACAAGAAAGAATGGGCTAAAGTATGCAATCCAGCCGATTCCGGCGGCAAGCGATGCAGGATTCGTTGTGAAGCCGTTGACAAACATCAGTAGTATGAGCATCAGCGTCGAAGATGCATTTGCCTCCGCAAACGATTTACTGGCCAGGGAGCAGATAGCCGTCATTACATCGCAAATAACAAATCCCAACGAGCCAACAAAATAGGATACGAGCAATGGTACAAAGGGGAAACGAAATAACAACCACATAATAGTGACAAGCACTGCATCACCCAACAAGACAAAGAAATTGGCGACCAGGGATGTGCCAAGCATATATGGGATGGGAGAGTAGTAGCCGTCACTAATCTCTATTCGATATTGTGCCTTTTGTTGTACATAGAGCGGCACCGTCCACAGCGCAGTCGATATAAGGCTTAAAATCATTAAGAAGAGCGCCGAAAGCTGATAATATACTGATGCACGGTTCTGGACATCGAAGAAAACTCCTCCAATCACCAATCCTTGCACAACAGCGTCGCCCATAATCGCACCCAGCGTGGTATGATCCCGCAGCCACAGGCGAAAGGCACGCTTCGTTACCTCAAGAAACTGAATGCATGGGCCGGCAGTTTCCACGTCTTCAACCTGAGGACAGCATGCCCACACACACGCACCTGGCGTTCTCATTGCAGCAGGAACCCCTCAAGATCTCTTCTAAATGGCACCCAAGAAGGGGCGAATGGGTTCAGAGTGGCCCTAATCCAACTCTTTGTCGAGGGAGGAAAGCGCACAATCTCGTCCATGGCTGGAGGAGGATGTTCGTGAGCGTGGCGAACTCTAGCTTCGACTAGTGGTTTCATCAGTTCATCATAGATATCCGCAAGTTCACTAGCGTGCTTTCCACTTTGAGAGACAAGGTCCAGGTAAAAGTCTGCAGGGTTCTGATGAACAGGGCAGGGGAAGCCCAAGGCATTGAAGTATTCGAGTGCCGCGTCTACACGACCGTTATAGACACATCGGCCTTCGTAGCTTAGCAGCAACAGGTGGTCGAAACATCCCAGAATGGTGTGAGAAGGCTGATGAACAACTGCCACAATCGCCATGCCGCATTCCACGCTGAGCCGGCGGAGGGCGCCAACGACCATTTGCGCATCTGCCGCTGAGAGGCCAGTGGTGGGTTCGTCGCACAGCAAGATCTTAGCATCACTCATCAAGCCTACAAACATGCTCAAAATGCAGCACAAGAGCTCTGGAACAAAAAACAGACGCACTAATGAGACGATAAAAGTCCCCTGGCTGCACAGGGGGCTGCTTCCTCCAGGCTAGCAGTTATTCAGCGCACCTATACCAAGCGCCAGCCGCCGTTTCTGGCCTCCAGATATCCCACTCTGTGTAGCGCTGCCCACGCGACTTCGCTGCACGCCGTCAAGGCCCAAAATATGAAGGGCACGCTGCACAGCTTCGTGTTCTTTTTCGCGCCTCTTCTCCGGCCCCCATTCACGCGGAATCGCTTTGCGGAGGCGATATGAAAACTGTAGACATTCAATTACTTTTTCATTCCCATCGAAGACATCGTCTTGAGTCACATACGACGAAAGCTGAAAAAGCTCACAAAACGCGCAGCATGGCGAGGCCCTGAACACTGCGACACATAACAGGAAGGCCTTGGCGGCGCACATACGCTACCCGCCCGCTTTCTACGGCGGCACAGGGTGGCCTTTTTCTGCCACTACCTCGACGCGGAACTGAAGACCCCCCTTTTCCCTACCCCCCCGCCTTCCCCCCCCAAAAGTGGCAATGCTAACACGGCACGCTGTGCCGGGGCGTTCGCATGACGCACCCGGTCAAACGCTTTCGTCCGCCGACGTCCATTCAAACAAACGCGACCAGTGTGAGGGATACCAGTGGTTCCGCTCATGATGTTCATCAATGTTGTTTTCCCGCAGCCACTGGGTCCCATAATGGCCACCAGTGACCCTGCAAAGCACGGAGATGCAGGAAACAGCGCACACGCATGCACCTCCACCCCCGATGAGCGAAACGCCACGCCACAGCAGTGACCATGAGGGTGTGCTACGAACGAAGTGCGCTCGCTCGGCATGCAGAGAGCTTGTGAGGGCTGTACCTAGGCATTCCCAAGAAACTGACGGAGGAACCACGCACCTGATCGGCATACAGCTGAGACATCGTGAAGTACGCGCTCCGCAGGCAATGCGTCTACGCGTTTAAACCCTCCCGTTTTACACAACGTTTTCCAGTCAGCTCGACGCCTCTTGGAATAAAAAGGAACTCGATCTAACAGGCTGCTTGGGGGTTCCAGCGAGCACGAAATGCGATCGAGAGTTAACTCAAGCTGCTGATGTTCCTGCACGAGCAGGTTGACGCAGCACAACCTAAAAAAGACATTTAGTGGGTCTTGACACGAGCTGTCTGATGAGTAGCAGGTCGTGACCCTGTATCCCAACTCGTGGTAGCAAACACGCAGCGCTCAGTTGCCCATTCTTCGCTTCCCACCTGATCTAGGACCTCATTTTCGTCAAACTGAACCGCTTTAGCCGCAGCGTCCATCTGTTGTTCCGTAAATGCGCGCGGTGTATTTGACGGGCCAAGTCCGTGAGGAACGGCATGGACTACCTGCAGTCATATGGCTCGCAACAGAAAAGCCCAGCCACAATACAAATACCGCCGGCACAACGCAGTGCAACGCTTCTCATCACTGGTCACTGTGGCACTCATTGCGCCAGCTAGCTTCGTCCACCCGCGGCGACAACCGAAGGCTCACCGTTTGCTCATCCATAGCAGAGCCCCCATTGAAATTAGGCGGCAGGCGAGTATCCAGGGTGTTCATTGGACAAACAGGGGTCTCCTATTTGAGAGGAGTGTTGCAGTCCTTCTGCGCAAAGGCGCTCAATCAGTAACCACGAGGCCAGCAACAACGGATGAGCCTGGTCCAGTGCGGAATGTGGGGTCGGGAAGGTCGCAGCTCTGCCCGTCTCTAACCCAAATAGTCTATGCCAAGACGGGATATCGAGTAGGGCGCGCAAAAACCTTCGAGCTGGGTGGATAAGGAGGCGACAAGTAGCGGAAGGGCCTCTTGACGCCGGGATACAGTCAGGCTCTGGGAACGCTTGCTGCAGTGCGCCGCGCTCAATACGCTTTTCCAAAGAAGCAAACAGCCAAGCACGCCAGTAATAATGGCAGCAAGCCCCTCGGCATTATTTTCGTCCCAAGAAAGACCCAACGAGCCGACTAGCGACCATTTCAACACGAACTGGGGGGCCACTGCGCGGAGGAGCCCTCGGGGGCTGCTGCAGCGGCGTCGCCCGCCCATTGATGATGCTCGCGGGAGGGCCCAGCTTCCTGCCCTCTGGAATGCCTGCACAACGGCTCGGTGAACTAGGATATTGACTGCTGCTTCTCAGCGTTCTCTGGTCTTTGATGCTGGGCTGCACTGCGGCGTTGGGCGAAAAACGCCACCGAAGGCGTGGATCCACTCGAAGGCATGCCGCAGTAAGCTGGCTCTCTCAGACCAAGCGATGATGACCCCTTTCTTGGACTGCACGAAATCATCAGTCGGGAGCCCGACGACAGCCCGGCGGGCAGCGTTACCATGCAACTCGCCCTGTCTCATGGCAGAGACACCATAAATGGAGTCGGGAGAAGCAGCCAAGCCTTTGATCCAAGCACCCACCGGGGTGGCCCCAAAACGGAGGCGTAGAGGGCAGCACGCAACCTCCAAGGGCAGCGGGAGAAAAAATGACGAGCTGGTCAAGCGATTTCAGCCATCGTTGTCATGGCTGCTCCCAGGCGCTGCCAGAGTGCAGCGCCGCCTCCTGCCACGCCCAACAAGACCGCCGCCTCCAGGAATCACCCCTTTGAGAAGGTATAGTGGCGTTTAGTCTGTCCGAATTCTGCAATGATGCGCATTTTTACCCGGGGCACTGGCTCAGCACGGCAGAAAGCGTTACACCTGTTCCAGAGGCGAGGGATGCACCGCGGATGTGTGATACTCCATCATGCACTGGCAGGATGGTTGCGCTTTTGCTGCGATTCGGCAGGCTCGGCGTGTGGCGACGCTTGCGCCAAGGGGTTGATTCGGAAGGTGCCCCTGTCTTCGTCACACTGGAAGGCGATATTGTTCACAAGGTACTGGGGGTGGACCCTTCTTGCTATGCGTCTGTTTCCACAGTTTTCCCCATCAAGTTTCGCAATACTAGTCAACAGGCCGATTTTAAAGCGCGCAAGTGCAGAATAAGGCTCGTGTTCGCCGCTCTCAGGCCTGTGTTCAGCTCATGTTGTCTTGGAATATGAAGGCTTTCCGCGTTGGGGAGGGATGGCTGCGAATGTGGACAAGCACCTCTTTCCATGCCTCTGTGTCAGCCGTCTTTGTCTGAGCTGCGATTAGCCGCAGAGTTACTGGGCCGCACAGCGAGACGAGGCAATACTTGCCACCGCTGGAATCCGTGGTGAGTGTCGCCCTCCTTACTGCTTGCGAGGCAACCCTCCTCCACAACCTCAAGAAAGAAGAACTGCCTTTTGCATTCCATGTCAGAGCATGCCACGGTTTGTCTTGGATTACATTTGCACATGGCATGCATGCGCGTATACAGCATCTATCTGTATATATGTGGTGCATTTTCATGAGTCCATCTCCTTAGCTGCATTGCCGTTGCTCTGACTGTGCGAGCCATGCATTTTTGAATTTCTCATCGTGGGAAAGCTGGCTTAGCAGCAGACAATCGAGCATTGTGGGGAGAAGGCTTGCAGGGTTCCAGCCGTTTGACGAGCAGCCGTCAATGCAAGGGCGGATGCCTACCGGCTTGAGGATGCTCGAGGCTCTTTCCCCCCTCCCCAGATCGTCTGTATCTGCATGACGTCCTTTGAACGTGAACCGTAATCGAGTGGATATTCCCTCCAGCATGTTCATGTATTTCGTTTTTGCTAGTTTTTTATGCATGGGTTCGCAACCAGACCCGAGGCGCAGCAACACGTAGGTGGCGGCCTCTCAGTTTTGTCTGACGGGTTTGCATCTGCGATGCACTTGCAAAAAGAAGGGGGCTTACGAATTGCAAGCTGTGCATGCGGCGCCTCTTGAAGACAGGAGGCACCTCGGTGGATACACATGTATACAAGGAGAAACGCCTTCACAGAGCGTTTTTTTCCGCTGCTTTTGGCTAAAGGTAACCAGTCTGATGTTGTTGGATCGAAGGCACCGTTGTGGGCTGCCTGGCTGTCGTCGTGTGCGCCTTCCTCAGGACGCGGTCGAGGGAGTCGAATACACGTGCCCGAGGCTGTGCCTCCGTTTTCTATTAGGTGGAGGGCGTTCAGCGACGTCGAACTCCAATATTGGTGCATTCCTAGTCCTCTTATCAGGCAAGCACGCTGCCCTTCCTCCTAGCCCATATTGAGCCAGAGCCGCAGCAGGTTGTTTGTATGTGCTGCCGTCGATGCACGAACGCGCTGAACGCATCCGAGGTGGTTTGCCAGCTTCCCCTTGGCTCCTTGCGTGCTGGTGCAGAGCCTACGAGTCTCTCGGTGTGGAACGTCTTTATCCCTGGCAGGCCTACTGCCTGCATTTAGCACTCCCCTACAAGCGGAGATCCGATGGCACTCAAGGCAAGGCAGCGCTATGTGACGCCGTACGTGGGCTTGTGCGAGGTACTGAGTAGCAACTCTTCCGATTCGTTGGAGCAGATGGGGGAAGAAGCTTTTCGCCTTTCTGCTTTGTGCAGCTGCAGTTTCAGGTTCCCTGCATGTGCGCCGCAGTTGCGGACGGGATATACTGGCGGTCCTTGATATACTCCGCCCCGACCTCTGGCGGTAAGAGTTTGGTAGCGGAGCTTTTGATCGCCAGGTATGCAGTCGACAGCTGTTTGAGCTTCTTAGAAAAGCACCAGCAACTCCTCGCTTCAAAAGTCGGAATCCCTAAAGGCCAGCTGGAGTGTGCCTCTCTGAGAGGATCTCGCCTTGTGCTGTTTGGGGGGCTGAACCGTCGTGGGCGGGTGGCTGCTTGTGCAGACGCCTCTTGTTCGAGGGAGTTCGCTCCGTCGTGGTGGCACCTCACGTCTCACTATGCACAGAGAAAGCACAGCACCTCCAGCAGCTTTTGGGCCCTATGACGTTGCGTGTTGAGGCTTTCCATGCGAGCGCCAGTGCGTAAGGGTAAAGGGCATGCAGCCGAGACCGTGCAGATAGGACCCTTGGGCGTTGCCGCTGCATGCGCTATGCAACGAGCATTTCTCTTAGCCACCTATGCAGCAGCTGCTTGGGAGCCTAGATGGCTGCTTTCACGAATTGGCACACCGCGGTCTGGTCTTGCGATACTTTTCTTCTGTTCACACGAGGAAGTCGCGCACAGCGCAGCGGAGGCTACCCACGGAAGAGGGCAAACTTTCTACGGCCGTCGCCTCTGCTTCCTGCGGTGCTTTATTGTGGGCAGACGCGGCATCCAACTGGTATGCTGGTATTGACGTGGCTGTTTGCACGCTGGAAAAGGCCAACATGATCTTCAACAGGTTCGCGATCCAGGCTCTACTAAATGCTGGGGTGCATGCGACGGCAGCACCGCACGCGTGACTCTTTGAATTTGACCCCTTCTTCTCACGCGAACGGCGTCGCTTTGCAGAATCTTTGCTTTTAGGCGGCGTATTGAGCTGTCGATGCGGGCTGCTGCTGCTCCTGCTGCTGCAGGAAAAAACTCGAAGCAGCAGAAGGCGATGCCACGCCTCGTGGCTTGACCAGAAAAATGCTCTGTTCTGATGCCTTGCTCTTAGGCTGATCCTTGACCTCTTAGCCCCTGAAGTCGCAATGGCGGAAGACACCGAAACGGCCGGCAATGCCGCAGCTCTGCAAGAGGCGGGGGATGGCTGTGACGGTGCTTTTCGTAGCGCGGATATTGGAGTTTGTCAGGAAGCTCGCTGGTGGAGCAGTGTCTGCAGGCGTTTGCCTGTCATTGAGGCGGAGTTCCCCGTGGGTTTGGTTTGTGTGGACGAAATTCACGTGATTGGCGACCCGCAGAGGGGGCATCTCTTGGAGATGCTTCTGGCGAAGGTGCTCTTCCTGAATCGAATCCTGAAGCGGCCCATACAGCTAGTGGGCATGTCTGCTACCCTTCCGAACGCTGCTCAAGTAAGGGGTCTGAATTGCGTCTATGTGCTGTAGCCTGCCTGCAGCCTGGAGCCCTAAAGGCCATTCACAGAGGTGCTTACTATGGAAGGGACAGCCACGAATCGGTGGCACGTGGCTGTGAAGTTTTCTACGCCTGCATAAATATGTATGTGCATGTGTATATGTATCTATGTATGTGGCTTCTGCGCCTTCCTTGTGTGGGCTGCTGCGCCGCAGATTGCCGAGTGGCTGGACGCCGAGCTATTCGTTACTGGTGATCGGCCGTCGCCTCTCGACCTCTTTGTCAAGGTTGGGTCCGAGGTTCGCTGTTTGCATACTATTGCATGTGCACGCGCAGTCTGTGTGTGTCTCGACGGATCTAGCTGTATGCTCGCCTCACTGCGTCGGGGCGAAGCCTAAGCACCTCGAAGTGCTCCTCCGGCAGCCAGTTCGGCGGTCGTGCCTGCCGTTGCAGCGTGGGGATGGCCCCTCGGCACTGCGGAGCACAGCAGAAACAGGCTGCGATGTGTCGGGAGGCACTTGTGCGGTGCGTGAGCGCAACAACGCGTGCCGTGGCAAGCCACGCGTGCTTGCGCATGTGCATGCGGAGGGTCTCAGGTGTATGCGTGGGACAAAACTGAAGGATTGCAGTCGGCGCGGCGCTTGCATGGAGGCCGTCTCTCCCTGCCTCCCTTGGTGGAGGCTGCAGCGTCGGCTGCTGCACGGGCACTGGCAGCGGCGGGGACTGCTGCGCACGCGACAGCGTCTTCGGGGGGGGCGCACCAGCTCCCCACCGTGCCGTTGACAGCGAGTCTAGGAGCAGGACGGGGAAAACATGCGTCTGTGGTCGCTTCAGCCTTGCGCTGCCTGAGAGAAGAAGCCGACATTGTCTCCCCGAACTCGCCTCCCTCCAGGCGGGCAGGCTCCACAGGAGGCGGAGCGAACGGCTCCGCTGCTGCCAGAGAACACTGCTGCGGATGGCAGGAAGACGCAGAGCACTTGGCGACTTTGACATGGGAGACGCTTCGCGAAAGTCGCAAAGTCATCATCTTCTGTCCCACGCAGGAGTGGACTGCCCGCACAGCCAGCTTCCTCGCAAAGTGAGACGAGGCATTCGCGTTGGTCGTGAGAAGGTTGCGTCGTGGATGTTGCAGCGTTTGGCTCTGCCCTCGAAGCGGAGGACGGAAGGCGAGCCGAGCCGTTAAGACGCACTGCACGCCTGGCCACACGTGTCTATGCGCGGTCGATTGCTGTCCGTTGGCGTCGTGTGCAGAGCTTTGCCGTTCTGCAGACGGATGGAGGCTTGGGCGGATCTGCTCAGGCAGCGTGCTGCAGCCTGCCTAAGTATTCGAAGTCTGAACGCCTGCGAGTCGATGCAGTGCCCGCGAGAGGTCCCCCCCCAACGCGCTGTGGAGAGGCCGTACAAGCACATGCAGCAACAACAGCAGCAACAACAGCAGCAGCTGCAACAGCAACAACAGCAGCAGCAACAACGGCTGCAACAGCAACCGCCTCAAATGCAGCAACAACAGCAACAACAGCAGCTGCAGCAGCTGCAACAGCTGCAACAGCAGGCGCTGCGGCAAGCACGGCAGGAACTTTTTGCCCTGCCAGTCAGCATGTTGGCACAGCTGCTGGCTCACAGTCCCCATTTGTATGTCGATCAGCAGACTCTAAGAGGCCGCGAAGACATGCAGTGGCAGCTAGCACAGCTTTCGCTAATCCCCCAAGCCACCATGTTGGCTGCGATCCGCGAAGGCGTGGCATATCATCATGCGGGTGGGCAGGCTTTAGCTGATGCGTGCCTCTAAAGTCAGAAGAGGACGACGCGCGTAGTGCGCGAACGGCTCTGGAGCTCAATATTGGCTATGCGAGATCTTATGCACGGATAGGATGCAGTCGATTTCTCGGGCACCAGGATACAGGCTGCCTGGGTGTGTCTGTCGCGTGCAGCCTGTATTTGCGCTTTGTACGCCTGTGTATGTGCTGCATGCGCGAAATCGTCGAAGTTTGTCTTGCCCTTTTTGCGCGCGTCATGGGCAGGCCTGAGCGGGGAGGAACGAGAGTGCGTGGAGAACGGCTATCGTCGCGGCTACCTGAGCGTGTTGTGTGCAACCACGACACTGGCTCTGGGTGTCAATCTTCCCGCTGCTCGCGTCATCGTTCGCGCTCCCCATGTATGTCTCAGACAGACACTTCATGCAGCCCAAAGCAGCGAGTCTCTTCTGACTAGTTCACGCGGATCCCTTGGTTCCTCCCTCTCTGCGCGTTCGATCCGTCCACGCTGGTGTGTGCAGACGTGAAGCAGAGTCGATCGACTGCTGAGCCTCTTCTGCGCTCGCAGGTAGGACGAAACGAGCTTTTGTCGGCTGCTCGATTTCAGCAAATGGCAGGCCGTGCCGGACGGAAAGGCCTCGAACATAGGTGCGACGCAGAGATGCAGAATACGCAAGCAAAGAAGCCCAGCAAACGCATGAGCCGTTTGATTCGTGTAGCTACACTCGTCCGTACAATATCCAGCTGTGTGTCTGGAAAGTGGTGGTGGTGATGGCTGCCGCAGCCGGGAGGCGATTGGCGAAGAAGTGCGCAGAGGAGAGGAAAAGGGGATGGTTGGCTGTGCCATCGGAGGCTCCGAAAAAGACTGCAACGAATGGGCGGCTTTTCCTGCGTCTGCATGTGGCTGTCCGTGTGTGCAGAGGAGAAGCCTACATAATCTGCTCTGCTGACACCCTCCCGCATGTGCAGGATCTCGTCAAGACAGTGGCTGCAGCCGCCTCGCCGGAGCGCTCTTCGTCCACGGGCACCAAGGGCAGCGTTGCTGCTGGCGTATCGGCTCTAAAGGGCCAGCACCTCTGCCGCTTTCTCCTCGAGACTGTGCATGTGCTGTTGCCTCTGTTGCGTCGGGGCAGGGAAGGCTTTTCCAGAAACACAGATGGCGGCGCGTTCGGGGATATTGCAGCAGTTCTCTTGCAGTGCACGCTGCGAAGCCGCCAGGTGAGGGTTCTTAGACTGTCACGTTCGCGCGTGCTCGATCGTGGCAGATATTCCCAGCGGTGGCTGTGGGTATGCAGACTTCGCGCTGATGGTGCTGCTGTTGCTGCTGCGTTGTGTGTGGGTCCATTTTTGCAACAGGAGTCGCACGCGTCGCTCGTTGAGGAGGCTGCGGCGGCTGTCCGCTACCTCCACACGTGCTTTCTTCTGGAAGCCGAAGCTGCCAGCGCCTCTCCCCCTTGTTGCGCGATGCAGCAGCAGTTCCAAGGCCCTTCAGATCCATGGCTGTGCTGCAGCGGAGCGTCTGCTCATGAGAAACCTGCAGTTCATAACTCCGCAAGGCCTGCGCCTCATGCAAACTTGGCAAACGCACCCCCCGAGCTGGTCGAAGCCGCTCATACGACCCCCTCGCAAACATGCAGATTCCCACTGCGCGCGCTCGCCTTTCCCCCGTCCACCCTCCCCGCCCCCTGTCAAGCTCTTTTGCAGCGCTACCCCTGTCTGCGGTCCCCTGCAGTGCTGGCTAGGATGCTCCAAGCGGCACTTCACGCAAGCGACAATGCAGAGGCCATGCCCGACTCCGCGCCGCTGCTGCACGCAGCTCCGCGAGGGCCCCCAGACGCAGCTCCCGACACCACCTCGCATCTTCCCGCTTCGTCAAAACATCCCCCGCAAAGCCGCGGAGCCACAGGCCAGTCCAGCCGCGCACCGATGCTCTCTTCCCGCGACGAGGAGGCCTTTGCGGCACGCCTGCGACTGCATTTTAGCGCCCTTGACGAGCTGGCTGCGCAGCTAGAAGGCAAAACGCATCCTGCTCGCGTCGCCCTCCCGTCGGCAGCTGCTCCACGCGAGCGCCCAGTTGAGGGGAGGAGTAGCGACGTCGACGTGGAGGGCGGAAAAGCAGGGGGAGAAGGAGGACGTCGACTGGCTCTCACGGAAGCAGGAGCCGCCACAGTTGAAGCGGGCCTTGCACCGTGGGAAGGCGCAGAGTTGTATGCCGACATTTTCAAGACGAGCGTTCTAGGTGGGCTGAGCTGTCCGCTGCTCGCACACATCCGTAGAAGCGGGCAGTGGCTTTCTGCAGCCAACACACGAGGTTTTCCCCCAAGAATGCGCGCACTTGCGCGCTGCGAAGGCAAGAAAACACGCGCACGAAAGGGGCTGCTGCATGCGAATCCGCAGGCCTCTGCGCGACGAACGAGCTCCACATCATCTTCCTCGCCGCTGTCTCCGTCGGGGGAGACGCACAGCCGCATTGGCGATGCTACTTGTCGGTCTACGACAGTCTCGACCCTGCATGCAGGTGCGGTGCCGCCTCACCACTTTCTAAGGCCGCTTTCTCCAGCCTCTTGGCGTACAGCCGTTCTGCCGCTTCCCCTCCTCCCTGCCGCACTGGACTGGCGCCTTTCGCTGAACACATCGCTGTGCCGGCGCAGAAAGGTTGCCGACGCTTTGGGCATTCGGAGGCAAGTCATTTGTAGGGAAGCCATGCGTTTCCAAGGGACCCCTCGCCGCTCTGCGAACGACACCGCCGATCGCCTGCTTCACGAAAGGTTGGTGGCGATTTCCTGATAAGCAAACAACCTATGCATGCGAGCGTTCCGCAAGGGTTCAACCAACCCTTTTGGAGGGGGGCCGGAAGGGGGGGCAAAGAGCATATTTGCCAACGGACGAACCGTTTTTGTGGGCACGTTCCAGATTGACCTTCGGCGAACTCTGCACACGCATCGAGACGGAGACGCACAGACGTTTTTTCTTCGCGCTTCTGTTGCACGACGTCTATTGCGAAGGGGAAGCGTATGAATCTGCGATGCGCAGGCAAGCCAGCACTCTTTTTTGATGAAAATCGTCTGAGTCATTGCACTTCGCGACCATGTAGCGCTATCCTCATTTTGCAATTTGCGTAGGAAACACCTGTATATGGTGCCATTATCCCACAGGTTCGGAGTTACGAAAACGACACTGATGTCGTGTATTTCACAGGGAGCGCTTGTTGCCGCCACTGCTGCCTCATTTTTGCGCAATCTTGGGCCTCAGGAGTAAATTCTACGGCATTTCCAGTCATGCTGTGCAGCATCATCAACTGCTTGGGGGGAGGCGGGGTAGACTATTGGGGATGCCTCTCAAGCCGCTTCTCCACAGTGCCCTTTCAGGTTTTTTGATTGTCTGTCTTAGGGCGGCATTGTCAGAAGTCTTCTCCATGCTGGCAGGAAAACTCAAGCTCGCTTGCCTACCTGTTGGAGCACTCGTCTCGAAATTTAAGGACCTGGCGGATACGCAGACCAAGGGCAGTTGTTTTGCGTCAAACAGTGATGCACGTCGTGACGCAATTGTCTTGCAGCAATTCCTACAGCTAGAAGGCATGACACCTAGAAGAGCCACCGCACTTCGCGCTATCCAGGTCAACACCTGTGAGGAACTGCTTAATACGCCAGTATACGATATTTTCAAGGTCAGCAGCTCACCCTATCCAGTTGCTGTGTTGCTAGCATAGGCTGCAGTTCAGTGGTGAATACAACCATTCCGCTGTCCTACATCCTCGTGTCAGGCATTGGAGGCAGCAGAGCCCGCTTTTCTCACCGCGGCAGACCACAATGCAGAGGCAAATCAGGACGCTTGGCTATGCAAAATGCGTCGTCAGCGTGCACGCCTGCTGGCAGTCGCCGTGAAGCTAAAGGATGCAGCACAGAAAGAACAAGCAATGCGGCTGCAGGTATGTGCAAAACACACTTTGTTTCACCCACTAACCTAGAAGTAATTGTACATATGCATGATATCGTATTGTATTCGATGTGCGTCGTGCCCCCACAGGCGCTGGAAGATGAAGCAGCTGGGCATTGGTCATTAGCAGAAAAGCTCTCCGAACAGTCTGGGGATGAAGAGGGTTCTGTTGCCAGCCAGCAGCATTCGTGCTTGCAAAGTACGGACCACGAGCCCACTGCTAACTGCAAAAGTTAAAAGGTGATGCAGGGTAGTGTTGCTTTTTTTGATCTACAGGTTCTAGTGGAGCACCCTCAGTATCTCTATTTTGTTCCTGCAGTTTCTACACACCATCCGCGCAACACATTAGGATGTATGGTGAATAAGTCTTGTGACTGCAGCGAGGGTCGTCTTACAGAGCTTTCAGGGGCGAGTATTATGGGAAAGCACTTTGTTCACAGTATGACTTAGTAGCAAGCCCCGACAGCCTGGGCCGTCTAGCCGCAATTATTCGTGCATCATCCGGTCTAAGCGAGTCTCGCTGCTAGACTGCATTGCAGCACTGCCAAAATCTCTAACCGACGCTCTGCTCTGCAAAGAGCCTTGGGTACCTGTAAAATGTTGATCTATTTTTAAAAAAATACAGTCTCTTTAAAAATGTTCTTATGAAACCTAGAAGGCTAAGATGTGACATGGCGGACTGATGCCAACACTGTGCTGACTCTTAGAATCGCAAACCCGAATGCCTCTTATCGAATGAAATCCTGCAGCCGCACAATCATCGCAATTGGCGATACAGACATTGTGCTTCAAGCGGCAGTAGTTCGTATGAATGCGATGGAGCCAGCACGCTTGCGCACAAGTTATTCATAACGAACCTGGTTCGAGACACTGCATTTCAAAGGTGAATTTGGTTGAGGACTGGGGGCCAAGGCATCCAAGAGCCTGAAATAGAATCGCATGATCCACGAAAACCAAGTGCAACAACGTTTACTTTCTGCCCAGTACGGGTGTTATACGGCAAGATGAATTACCAGCTGGCTTGGTCCCTCAAGAACAAATGGCTCGAGCTCCCTAAATTTTACGGAAAGCACGAGGTCTGAAGTGGTATGCATTCGATTGATGATCTCCAATTCGATTGTAAATGGACAATCGACCTGCAGTCCAAAAACATCCGCAGAGAGCTTCCTCGTTGGACGCCGACATCCACCCCGTTTGTAGAAAGCCCATACACGTTCTGAGTCTACCACAGACGATCGCGTCGTCTAATGCCTTGCGACATACCTGCACAGATGGCGGGAATGAAGCTAATCGGACTTCGAGCGGCTGCATTGGCGTGGGCTCGTTCGTCAGAAGATAGTCACTCAACGTCCCTACTCCTCCTGACGCCGTCCGCCACTGAAGCATCAGCTGCCCCAAACTTGAAAGATGCTGCAGCAAGACAGATGCCTTCCCGCCAGAGCCGTGCTCTCGCATAACTCGGACCCTCTAGCAACGAGTCAAATGGCTATTCTTCCACCATCTAACAGTGATCCAGACGGCACTCCTCCATCTCGGATAACTTACCTTTGTTATGTCCTCTAAACGTAGCTGAGGAGTTGCGGGACAGATTGCAAACAGTACACTGAAGCAGTCTTTTGGCCGAAAGTTGAAAACCCCTTTGCAAAGCCTAGCGCACATAAGAACGCAAAGAACCTCCAACACACTTTCGGTCAGGCCAAACACCTGGCTGCGATCCAAGAAGAATGACTGATGCTCCCACGATGAAAATTTCCTTTAATTGGCCTGTTGGTATGTGCACTGACGAGTCGGATAACGGTGCGGCGCAATCAAGTCGCGTGCATTCTAAGCCCTCGGAGCAGAGTACAGAAGCCTCGTTAAGGAAGACAAACTGCTGAGAAACGTTGTGCAGTACGCATTCAACGACCGCTTTGTCCTGCGAACACGTGATCATTGGTGTGCATAGCACAGTGCACGCAGCTGGCAGGAGCAAACGTTCTTGGAGATCAGCTGCGTAGGGGAACGGACAAAATGTTTTCAAAGGTCGTACTTGCAAGTGCATAATGCTGTGGGTAACCTTGAATGGGCTTTGAGCTGTAAATTTGAAAGACTTCTTAAATGATTTTGGTTCTGTGGACGAGGCGACGTAGTGTGATATCGAGCAGACGAGCCTAATTCGCACGGAAGTGCAACAGCGAAATACCATGTGGCTTCTTGTGCATTCAGTTGCGGCTAGGAATGAAGAAGCATTCTAGAAAATGACCTACATGCAAGTTCCTGATTCTTGAATGTGGTGCACAATAGTGCAATCAAACGAATCATCAGGATCCAGACTTCGAATTGGGTCATCGGAATTATCGAAGAGCAGAGACCGCGACCTTCCTAACAAGAGCTCAACCTGCCACAAGCCACAGCACTCACACGCCAAATAATCACTTTCACAACAGCGCTTCATGTCCGGCACTGTGCGAAAATACAATAATCCATAGACGCACCTTCAATTTGACGTTGATGGCTTGAGTCGTTGACGGGTTGGCAATATTGATGTATGCCGAGAACGCCTCTCCGCTGAAAACCCGCCTGGTCACCAGGCCCCATCATACGCACAGATATTCATGCGCATGTTGTATGCTGGCTCGGCTGGACTACAGCAGTAGCTAGCAGAGCCACAACTTCTTGGTTCAAGCTTACCCCTGTGTTATGGGCAGCAGGAGGGCGTGGGCACCCTCCAACCACTTTGTGGTTATTGACTCCTCAGCCGTAGCCAGCCTGGAGTCCCCGTCTTCATGGTTAATACCATTCAGAGCGACAAGTGGCCATAACTGAGGATCCCATGACGGCTGCGAGAGCCGCATGACTTTCTGAAAAGCCGCACAGACGCTGCTCGAGTAGACGGTAAGTCTGCCCACAGCACGCTGCATCACTAAGTAAATCTAAGCTAGTATCCTGCACTACCAGCTCACCAGGGAGAGGTACTCCCTATCATCGGTGGTCATGGTCTTGCGCACAGCTGAACGACCACTTGGGGAAAGTGGCCACCCGCTCAATGTCTCAGCCGCTTTCCGTGCCTTTTCCTTTTAGTAGAGCCATGGGGGCATCTTCTGTGCATCTATTGGGAGTTTACCGTTTGTCAATAATCACCGCCGACACTGCAGTGTTCCGACGTTTTTGCGCGGCGCATGCACGCATTGACGCAACTGGCGGATATTTCTAATCACAAGCCTGATGCTGCTAATATCGCAAAAACAATCCAGCATTTCAATTTGAATATGGAAATATTCTGCGCTTATTTAATTAGGTCTACGAGCGCCGTCTATGCTTCATCACTTGAAACTACAGTGATCTTCAGTAGTAGCCAGGGGTTGCAGGGCGTTAGACTACCATGGGAAACAAGTAAGTGAGGGGAAAAGGTTCCTAGAAAACAGTCGAAGGCATAGTTACATGCGGTCTAAATCAGGCGTTAGTGCTATAGAAGACTACGTTGTAGGCACCGCCAAGCGATTTTCTGAAACATGGGAGGAAGTGACAGTGTGCAGACTTCTAGAATCCCACGGGTAAGATTCACCCTTATGAGCGTATTATTCTGGTGTATAAATTGTGGTCAGTGGTATTTTCATGTTTTTCTTGAGAGCGAATAGGCACACTGAATAATACTTAGGCTGCAAGCCTAATGCACAACTGAGATCAAGGCACACAAATCGGCAGAGCAGTGGATCAAGGACGGGTGTACGGACACCTGCTCTGGCCGCAAACACCTGGCTGTCATGAAGTGCGTCAGAACTTCGAGAGTTCACCTCGCTGAACTCGACGGATCCAAGTTTTCCTTTTTCTGCTACGTGCTTTTAGCAGAAATGAGGATCGTGGCGACTATCGGTGTATGGGTTGGATTATCTGCGGTTGCGGCGTTCGCAAGTGATATCCTTAAACCAGAAGCTGATTATCGAGATTTTCGGCTTTATCAGCTTTACAATGGCATACGCGCCATAGCTGTGCATCACCCCCGTTCAACTGAGACAGGCTTCGCCGTCGCTGCAAATGCTGGCAGTTTGTATGATCCTGTAGAAATTCCTGGACTGGCGCACTTTTTAGAACATATGCTGTTCCTCGGGACAGAGAAATATCCAGATCCCAAGAGCTACGACAGCTTCTTGACGGAAAACGGGGGATCCAATAATGCATACACAGACGAAGAAAAAACCGTTTTCTTCAATAAGGTCAAGGACAACGCTTTTGAAGAAGCCTTGGATCGGTTCGCTGAATTCTTCAAAGCGCCATTGTTCAATCGTCAATACGAAGAGAAGGAAGTCAATGCTATCGAAGCGGAACATCAAAAGAACATCCCCAACGATGATGATCGAGTGTGGTACACTATACGTATGCTGGCCAAAGGACCCATGTCTCACTTTTCCACTGGGAACTACGAGACCTTGAGCACCATCCCTAAGGCGAAAGGGATTGACGTCGTGGAACGGCTTCAAGATTTTCACAACAAGTACTACTGCGGATCCAACATGGTGATCACAGTGTCTTTGCTTCCCGGGGCAGCAGGATAATATGCGGCGTTTTACGCAGGTTGCTGTGACGATTTCCCCCAAATCGCTTGATGAACAAGAGTCCCTCGTCAGAGAGAAGCTCCAAGGTAAAAAAGCACATGAGTGAGAATCGGAAATGTGTGCACAATTCTCGTAGGCATTTCACCGGGCCATGCTGACTGGCTTGGGATGGTGGAGTGTCCTGGCCCGATGTTCGATACTGTCACGCCTTTTGACAGCAGTAATACTGGAAAGTTCATCCACCTCCAGAGTTTCTCCCCAGAGCCTCGTCTATGGATGGCCTTTGGCCTCCCACCTACGCTTACATCTTACGTAAGTACACATTCAAAAACTGCTCATGAAGGCCCATTTCAGTTTTTCCCAATCCAGAAAAGTCAACCTACCAGCGTACTGTCGTACCTGCTCGAATATACTGGAGAGGGGTCTTTGGCACAGCGACTCCGGCTTCTCGGTCTGGCGAATGGCATTACCCCTGTTGTGGATAGAAATACCGTTACTACACTATTTGGCATAAAAGGTAAGAATCATTTGCTAGGTTTCCGCAATCATGATCTACTGACTCACTTTCCAGTCGACCTAACTCAGAAGGGCGCTGCCCACCGCGGTCTCGTTCTCCAGGAAATATTTTCATACATCAACTTTTTACGTGATCATGGCGTCGGACATGATTTGGTTGCATCTCTGGCTCAGCAGTCGCAAATCGATTTCCATACAACGCAACCAGGATCATCACTCATGGAGGAAGCAGCACGACTCGCCCACAATTTGCTAACCTACGAGCCGTACGATGTCATCGCGGGAGATTCGCTGCTGATTGACGCTGACCCCCGTCTCACGAACCAGCTACTTCAACAGATGTCCCCGTCAAGCGCAATAATTGCATTTTCAGATCCAGAGTTTACTTCCAAGATAGAGGACTTCCAAACAGACCCTTACTATGGCGTGCAATTCAAAGTGCTTGATATCCCACAGCACCACGTAGTAGCCATGACCGTCTTGACTGCCTCCCCAAACGCTTTTCGCATGCCACCGCCTCTACTACACATTCCTGAGGCATCTGAACTAAAAATTATACCCGGTCTCCTGGGTCTCACGAAGCCAGAACTCATCAGCGAGCAAGGGGGAAACACAGGAACGGCTGTGTGGTGGCAAGGCCAAGGATCCTTTGCCCTCCCACGGATCGCTGTACAGATCAATGCGAGCATTCCAAAAACAAAAGCCGACCTGCTCTCCAGGACGCAAGGTTCTGTTGCACTTGCAGCTCTGGCAGAGCACCTACAGGAGGAAACTGTGGACTTCCAAAATTGTGGCATTAGCCATAGCTTGGGTTTCAGAGGAAGCGGTTTCCATGTGGCATTTGAAGGCTACACACGAACGCAGCTCATCAAACTTATGTCCCACGTTGCTGACTTGCTGCGGGATCCATCGATTGTGGAGCAAGAGCGCTTTGAGAGGTAAGAACAAAACCGTTGAGAATTTTGTCGAGAACCCTTAATGCGCTTTCAGAGTAAAAGACAGACAAATGAAGCTCCTCGCTGATCCCACCACCAGCTTGGCGTTTGAACACGCCCTCGAGGCTGCGGCGGTTCTAACGCGCAACGACGCATTTAGTCGCAAGGATTTACTGAATGCCCTTGAACAGACAACGTATGAGAACTCCTTTGCCAAGCTTAAGGAACTGAAGAACGTTCGTTGTGTACTTGATTCTCTCACCCTGTATTTTGCCCGTAAATTTGTCTGTTTTATCAGGTTCATGTTGACGCATTTGTTATGGGGAACGTGGATCGCGACCAATCTCTTGGACTTGTCGAAGACTTCCTACAGCAGGCTGGTTTCACTCCCATCAGTCATGACCAAGCTGTGCAATCTCTTGCAATGGAGCAGAGGCAGACCATTGAAGCAACTCTTGCAAACCCAATCAAGGGAGATAAGAACCACGCCACTTTGATCCAGCTCCAGTTGGGCATTCCTTCAATCGAGGACCGCGTGAATCTCTTCGTACTGAGCCAATTTCTCAACCGTAGAATCTACGATTCCCTCCGCACGGAGGCACAGCTGGGATATATTGCAGGAGCAAAGGAGTCCCAGGCCAGCTCTACCGCCTTACTTCATTGTTTTCTGGAGGGCTCAAAAAGCCATCCTGACGAAGTTGTTAAAATGATTGATGCTGAACTGCAGAAAGCAACAGATTACCTTGCCAACATGGTAGACAACGAATTGATGCGCTGGAAGGACTCTGTTCGTGCTCAGTTAACGAAGAAGGAGGCAAATTTCTCGGAAGAATTCGCGAAGTCTGCGGGAGAGATATTCCTTCATTCAAATTGCTTCGAAAAGAAGGAATTGGAACTGCAGTATCTCGAAAGCGATTTTTCCTTAAAACAGTTGCTTCGCACCTTTTCGAAGCTCTCTGATCCGTCGAGGAGAATGGTGTGTGAATAACGCCCTTGTTGATCTTAAAATCTTTAAAATAGTATGGTCCTTAGGTTGTTAAGCTGATTGCGGACACCGAACCATCGGAGGAAGTTACACTAATCGGCAAAACAAAAGACGCTACGCTTCTTCGCCGTCACGCTAGCGGTAAGATTAATGTCCATGCGTTTAAGCCATCCGAAATAAATACTTTTTTCGCTGATGCAGCGGTCCCAGAAAAACTGCTTACTCTTGAAAACAAGCTTGTCTCCAAAGTTCAGGAAGCAAATGGCTTTTTCCCGGATGTGTCTGTGTGCGAGTTACAGTCTAGCCTCGTCTCACTTTTCGAACTCTTGGAGGATCTTTGAGCTTTTAGATCACTAAAAGACTGGCCAATTATTTTAATGACTCTGCATATCTCCACCACTGTTGTACAACTATAGGCCAAATCTTCTAACAATTTATGCTCTTCAGATCATTCTGGGTTTGTTGCTAACTTGAAGAAGCGGGTAATCAAGCAACATTATGCAATGCACTGCTAACAAGTCAAAACTGTCTCCCCATGGTGCATGCTAAAATTAGACACCTGCAAAATGTGCAGAGATTCGTATCAATAACACCGTAGACGTTTTCCGAGTAATCGAAATTAGCCGTTCCATGACCGGGGTACCTTTAGCCAAGCAGCACCGTCATGCTCGCCGTAAAATATCGTGACGTCTCCAAACGCAGCTCGTGGCCTAGCCCAATTTTTAAAGGCAGTAACGCGAAATGAAGCATCTGGATTTTTAAATAGTTGCTCAAGTGTGGAAATCCCGTTCAAACACCTTGGTAAAAGCAGTCTTGCTGTATTATAGTACTGTTTTCCAGACAAAACAGTTTGTTTCACCCAATCGGCAACGTTTGTGAACAGTTGAGAGCGGGCAAGTGGTGGAGCAGCAAGCAATCCAGCACACAGGAGTGACCTGCATGCACACGAAAAAGCAATGACTGGTGTCAACGTATTGTTGGTAAAGCTTCGCTTTGTCTAGACTGTATGATTCAATAAAACAGAAATCCTCCAGCATCTCACCACCTGTGCGACAGCCGCCACGAAGGAAGCTGAGTAGGAAGAAACTGAACCAAAGGACGATGCAGAAATAGGCTTCCCTCTTTCGAAGGATAATAGTCATGAATTTGAGAATCATCCATGCTGTCTGTTTGCAATTTGACGTGAGTCACAGTCTCGAAATGCGGAAATGTTATACCCAAACAAAGCAGCGTTCCATTTGAGTCTTCAAAGTCCTTAATCGTATTCCCCATGTACGGATTACTTGTAATCGTCAAGCCGTTGCACCAGAGTATATGCTGTAAAAATATTGGAGGAAAATTAATTCGGAGGATTAGATTTGACACCACATCTTTTGCGTCCACGGTAGCAGAACGCCAATGGCTGCCTTGAGCGCTGTTTGCATTTCCACAGCCAGGCACACGGCAAACCCTGTTTTGCAGAACATCTATATAAAGTTGAGTCTTGCTAATCGTTGTTTTCCCACAGAGTCGAGTAGTGGAATGCAACGCGGGGCCCTTGACGAAGCATTCCAAGTAGCAATGGATCATTTGTTGTTCAAAAAGTCGTTGAAAATTTTCATATGCTTCAACAGACACTGCGACAATTGAGAGACCAGTCCATTGGCCCTCAAGGTAGAGAATCACGCCAAAATTGTGGCGCTGAGACGAGAGTATTGGGAAATCTCCCTGCGGGTGAAGAGCCCGAAGGAAACTAGCAAGTGACTCGCTTGACAAAGCCTTGTTACTACTGGATGTACTACTAAATTTCTTAGTATTCGTGTTGAGCGGCCACCTCAAAGGTATTTTCACAACCCAGTAGGACTTGCATTCTTCCAGGATAATCGGCGACTGCGTGTCCTTTGAGCAGGCAAGCCCGACAGGCAACTTGTATTGCACGTTGGGCGACCTGTTGCTTTGGGTGCCTATTGAAAGGCTAGCTTGCGATGGTTCTGCACTATTTTTTTGACTCTCAATCCCATGTCCCCCAAGAAGCTTGTGCTCGGGGGCCGGAGGTTCTCCCGCAGTTTTGAATACCGATTCCGCACCTTTTTTTGCTAGTGAGCGCGTCGATTTGTGTAAATTAGAAGCATAGACATGAGATAAAGGGGTCTCTAATAGGGGCTTCAACCCACAATCCCTCTCTTGCAGAGCCGGAAGAGTTAAGGACGGTAGGGCTTGCAAAGTTGCGGGATTGGCAAGAGGAAAACTAGAGGCCATTTTTGTGCTCTCTATCAACAAAGGGCCTTTTAAATGTAGGAGCTAAAAAGTGAGCATATTCTTTCCGATGGAAATGCAATGAACGACAAAGCCAGGTTTCGGGGGACTCTCGGAGCAGGGTCACTTCGGTAGCTTTGTTCTGTTTGTTCGTGTACAGGAGATTTATCTTAACAAAAAAACTGCCATAAAACATGACATTAAGTATGCTGGTGTGGTCCCCACTTGGAGTAGCAGACCAATAGAACCAGAAACGTTTGGAGTTTTTGTGGATTTGCGCATGCTCTCAAGGGCACTCTTGAACCTGCTGAATCTTGAAACAGAAAATTGACATAAAGCTCAAATCATTAATTGTAAAAAACTTAGGCCTCCCCATGGTACTGTTGGCCTGTTGTGGCTTCCATTCAGAAACGTGTATTTTAGTCTCTTTGGCTGATGACCCGGGCGTCTAGGATGAAAGGACTGCCTTTTTCGAAAAAGAATGCTTTGTGAATGCCTTATGCATATGGTACCGTTGCTGTTAATGCAACTAATTGGATACTGTGCAGACGTGCAGGAGGTATGCGCATTCTCGTGTGCATACACCCGAAGCGCCAGGCTAGAGTTCGCTGGCCGGTCAGCGTTCATGTCAGATGCCGCCCATCTGAGGTTGGCTTGCCTCAAAGACCAAAGCCACGAAAATTTAGGCACAATGCGCCTGCTTCTGCTCGTGGCTGGATTAACCAGCTGCGGCACTTTTTCTGCAACTGGTACCCGACACAGCTTCCTCAGTAAAATGCTTGAGCAACCTGAAGGCGTGGTGCTAAAGACAGCAGAGATTCACAGGAATCTGTTTCGCGAGCCACCTATGTCAATCAAGCTGGAAAATCGCTATAAGTCCACAGGTCTTGGCGAGTTGGTCTCGCATTTGATCGACCATCACACAACGTTGGCGAGTGTCGGATCTTCTGGGATGCTCGCGAGGCAAGAATTGCTCAATTACCACAACAGTCAGTACTTTGGAGAAATAAAAATTGGGACTCCTGGGAGAAGGTTCGTCGTGGTAGGATATCCACATTCGTCGTCTGCCACTCATGGAGAGTTTGAACGCTTCTGCTACCCCAGGTTTTCGATACTGGCTCATCAAACCTCTGGGTTCCCGCAGCAGGATGCGACAGGTACTGTCTCTTCCAATGGAGGCTGGCAGTTCAGACTGTTACTGGGTGTTCGCAGGGGGGGATGTGTCCCCCATGAGAAATTTGACGCGCAGTACTCCAGCACCTTCTCCCCCATGCAGTCTGCGACGGGAGACCCCGCAGTAGCATTTATACAAGTAATTATCACTCCATATGCCCAAAATGCGTCATCTAATGCTGTCTATAGTACGGAACTGGAGCGTGTATCCTACAAATGGGACGAGACGTCGTAGAAATCGGTGGCATGTAGGTCACAAGCTGCAATGCGATTGAGGAGCAGTCATTTATTCCTTTATCCAGCAAGGTTCCAAACCAGGCAATCGGGCTGGCAGTTGAGGGTGCGTCTTTCATATAAAGCGGGCAAGGCATAAGGACGAGTGGGCATACGCCTTCTACAGAATCAACTCATCCGTTCGCTGATCTGCCCTTTGACGGGCTCGTTGGATTGGGCTTCCCTGATCTCACGCAAGAAGACGGACTTCCACCCAGCGCACTGCCAATCGTGGACCAGATGGTTAAGGAGGCAGGTTACTAATGCAATGCCCATTGCGCTCCTTCTGTTATATTGTCTTTTCAGAAAGTCTTGGACCGAAATGTTTTCTCCGTGTACATGAGTGAAGACATCGACAAGTGAATACGCATGTTGAATGTGCACCCTGCATGCCTGTTGTAAAATCAAGTTGATGAACTCAGGCCCGGAGAGATCTCGGTAAAATGCATACACTTGCCGAGACATGATGAATGACCGCAAAGTCGCACCAGTTTGGAGCAGCAGACCCCAAGTACACCTTCACTGGACACACCCCGAAGTGGTTCCCCGTTATTTCCCTTGGTATGTAACAAGTTTGCTCTCTGCATATCAGTGCATATGTAAATTGCTACTCTTAGATTACTGGTTTGTGCCTAACACTACTTTTGCAATACCTTGGGGCCCAAGTTCATCACATGCTCGTAGGGAGATCGGCCTTCACGGAATCAAGATTAACGGGAAGTCATTCGGTGTCTGTGAAAAGCACGGCTGCCATGCAGCAGTCGATACTGGATCTAGCTTGGTATGTCATGCACATGCACGCTAAACAGGCCTTGCGACCAAGCAGATTTTTGCAGGTTACGGGTCCAACATCTGTAATCAATCCTCTCATTCAAGCGTTAGACGTTGGAGACGACTGTTCGAATATTGAAAGTCTTCCGACCGTGAGAGTGCAGTTGCTGCTTCTCTTCTTCAGCAAGTCATTTCCGCCTTTAGCTCACATTTGTCCTCAAGGACGTTTACGGAAGACTTGTGAACTTCACACTTGAGCCCAGAGACTACATCGTCGAGGAAATCGATTCCGTAAGCACAACGCAACTGCAGAGGAGCTCGCTGGAGGAACAAGTGACGTGCAGAAAAGCCATCCAAGCAGCTGCGCCGCCGGCTTCATGGCAATGGTAAGCGATTTTCGCATATGTAACGCCGTCAAAACTAACTTTCGTGGCAGGACGTACCAGCGCCTCGTGGTCCGCTCTTCGTACTAGGAAACTCCTTCATCCGGAAATACTATACCATATTCGACCGCGATCACATGGTATGACAACGCCTAGTAAAATACAAACGATTTGCTTCGTATGTGTCTGCACTTTCAGATGGTTGGATTCATGCGGTAGGTTTGTTAAGGAGTCTATTGTCTTCCGACGAAAGCCATGACTCGCCCTTGTAACGAATGATGTAGGGCGAATCACGAGGGTACGTGTGATGATCATGTGGTTTCGCAATACAGCGTCTCTACTGCAACAATATTAACAGGTACCGGTACAGAGATCAAGGGAATGCCATCCTCCGCGACATCCGTGTCGGCGTCACTGTTCGTTGCAGCAAGCGCTGCTGTACTAGCACTGAGCCTTTTTTAAATTCATGCCGGATAATCTGGATGTTAAGTGGTGCGATACGTGGCATCATAGGTGCACTGTGGACAGGTCTCTATTCAGTCGTCTACCTTTTCGAGCGTTTCTCCCTGCAAAGCATGCAGAAAGCACGCAGTATAAGAAAAAATATACCACCATCTCAATAGGCGGTTGAATATACGCGGTGCACCACATGGAATTCACAGTTCGCAATCGGCTTAGGCAGCTTACATAGAGATTAAACCTGCGACGCTTCCGTTCTGGTTCGTTCGAGAGCTGTTCAAAGAGATCATGACTCCATTTTCCATCCGCATTGCTGACCCCTGCATACATAGAATAAGCAATAGTCCGGAAATAATAACACTGCGAAGCTTTACAGTGTCAGTAAGCTGCGCGGATGAGCGAGGGCAGCCTACCTGCTACAGGGTTTCGGTCTGGTAGTCCCCTGCCTAAGATTCCGACCTGCAGACGCGACATACACCAAGAAATGAGCACTTGTCTAGTTACATTGAGTTGGGCGAACGCATAAGTGTCGCATTTCGAGAGCTGCCGTACCGTTTTCCTGGTTCGGCTTCCAGCGAGTTGAGGCGAAACTGGCGCTGTTTGGAAGCGGCGTAAGTTTTGCTGGCCTGGTCTTTGGAAGGCGTCACTATGCAGTTGCATCTGTCGCAATTCGTTTGGATATGCATTACGGCCACGGTGCTGCAATGAAATAGAGAGGTTCCTGTCCGTTCGCCCTGGCAGAAGCCTCACAGATCTGCCGCTATTGCTAGGAAAGGGGGAGGACGGCAAATCGGAACGTTCCTCTCTTTCAAACCGATTCTGCCGGTAAGGTCTATTCCATTGAAATCTGTTAGCGTTGGGGGTCATGAAGTCGCCCCTCTCTGATAGCAGGCGTTGGTCTCTATAGCGCGTTCTGGAAGGGGATTCCCTAGAGTTTGGGTGCATGTCTGTCGTGACGAATCGCGACTCCGAGGGTGCAGTGGCCACAATCTTGCGCTTTGCAGCATTTCTTTTAGTAGAACTGTGCGTACTGCTTTCGCCTGAAAGTGACCTTTTACCTGCGTTGATTGGTTCATCAACACGCGAAGCATTTGCTCCACGGGTGTCCACCCTGTTTTCATGCTCTCGTTCTCCGACTGAACTCGTCCTCCCATCCGCGTCAAGGGAAACGTCAGTCTGACCCTTGGGCACTTCTCTCAGTGACGACGAGGAGCTGTCACCCTTGGAACTGTCTTGTCGAGAGCTGTGGCTCTCTTTTTGGAAGGAAGCACTGTCTTCCTTGTTGAACGGTGCATCTCCCTTAGAGCTGCCGTTCTCAGCGGCCTCTTCGGGCTCGGCTGGTGGCATGACTGATTCAGAGGGATGTAGAGCGTCTGCAGAATTGGCTTGCTCGGGTGCAGGGAGCTCGGTGGCAGAGGAGGATTCGAGTTTTGCGTCGTCCTGTTCAACTTCGGAAGTTCGATGCCGCAGCGAAGGCGAAAGCGATGAAGCCATCTGCCTGACTCCGGGTTCTTCTCTCTCACTCTTATCCCGCAATTGCGCATTCTCTCCCCCGCGGAGGCGCTGCGGCGTCTCTGACTCCCTGGCGTCGGAGTGAGCCGTGGAGGCTTCCACCGCAGTCGAGATCTGTTGATCTTGACGCCTCACAGCCTGGCTAGCCACGTCTGGCTCCTCACTCCTGTCCCCCCCATGACTGAGAGATGAATGGTTGGAAACGAGCTCAGGAGTTGGACGCTCAGCTGACGGAGAAGCAGTGGACTGTCGTGAACGCGATTCGCGCGTTTCGGGGTGTTTCTCGTGCTCTGCCAGCGTCCTTTCCCTTGATCTGCTGCCAAAAACTCTTCTGGGCGATCTGGCGGAATCCTGTGAGTGCCGTTTCGGGGTGTCGGCAGCTCTGCGCGTGGACGCGCTGACGGATCGCCGTCGATGTGTGTCGCGATCATGACGAGGTGAGGGACGGCTGGCTTGTTCCTCTTCCCTGAGCCTCGCGGAGCCAGTGGAGACGCGATTGCGCAGGTTTCTTTCGCTCACCTGGGAGCGCCGCGTCGCACTGGCGACATGCCTCCCTCGCGATCCGCCACTGCTCTCGGATCTCCGACGATGCTCCTTTCGACCGCCTCTTGGGGAAGGAAGTCTCCCGCCTGCCCCCGAGGTGGAGGGAGCAGCGCCTCTCTTGCGAGAAACACTGCGGGAAATCGTCAAACTCGAGCGCCAACACTTCGTATCGCGATGATCGCGCGCTGGCGAGTGACGACTTGGAGAGCGCGTCATGCGTCCCCGAGAGGCTTTCCGCGAAGAAAGGCGAGGCTCGCTCTGCAACGATCTACCCCGACTCCGCGAACGACTCCCTGAGCCGCCACGTCTGTCGGGGGAGTAGCGCTCCCGATGTCGACGACCAGTATCGCGATACGGGGGGCTGCGCCGTTCAGGTGTATGCTCCCTGCGCAGACGGCGCTCCACCGAGTAGCGCTGCATGCTGCGTTCATCGCGTCGCTCGCGATGGCGGAGCCTGCCTCGAGAAGGGGAGCGTCGATCGTCGCCTCGCCGCTCGGCTGCCTTCCGCTGCACGGGTGAACTTCTGCGCCTCCCGCCGCTGGAGAGACTCCGCGACAGTTCTCGACGCGCATTTTGAGAGCGCAGATACGCAGCCTTGCTGCCGAATCGCGCCGACGCGGCATCTCTCTGCGCGTGTCGCTCGTGCTTCGGGGGAGAATCCAGACTTCGGCTCCGCCGTCGATACGGCGGCGCTGTGCGTGGGCTGCAGTAAGACCGCGTGTCTCGCGCGTACCTTGCACCCGAAAGACTTCTGCGTCTGTAGCTTTCGCGGTGCTCCGAACTTGGAGGCAGATGCGGATGACGGTGGTATCCTCCACCCCCACGCCTCCTGTACTCTGTACTCGTGTATTCTGCCCGTCTGCCTCTGCGGCGGCTCCCACAATACTCGTCCCTGCCCCTCGAAGCGCTCCTCCTTACCTCTGAGCTGCTGCTGCGATCCTTGCCCATTGTGAGGAAAAAGCGCAGCGCGCAGATCCCTCCGCTGCGTGGTGATGGCGTGCCTGCTGGTGTCGAGACACCCGACGACAATCTGCGCAGATCACGAAACACGAAGGAGCGACGCCCCCTGCCCGTCTGCTCGGATGGAGGGCTGGCCGCTTGTCTGAAGAGCCGGCGCGAACTCAGCTGCCGCTAGGGGTGTGCGCGCGCTTCTATGCAACTGCTGTTGAACCGCCTCGGCTGTCCCCTCCGAGGGGGCTTTCTGATCTCTGGAGTCGGTAGTCTAGAAGTTAATGGATCCTCGCGCATGCCGCCTCCCTAAATCCGCACGGCAAGCACTTGGCAGGCCCCTTGAGACGCTGCAGTGCCTCGAGAAGCGCGACGGCTGCCCACAGGCGCCACGCGGCTTACGCAGCCTCTTGAAGCCGCAGGGGGGGGAGAGCGGGGGGGCAGTGGGAAGGGCACGAGGGAGGATCAGGCTGGAGGCAAGAACAGGCAGCTGTGCGAGATGCATATTTTGTCATGCTGAGACGAGGGAAGAGAGGCGTTTGCAAAGCCGAGAGGCCCTTGCACCCCGCACGGCATGCACCTGGAGAGACACTGGAGGGCAAGCCGAAGGGCAGCACCAACTGTAGTCGCCGCAAGCCCCTTGCTCTAGAGGGTCTGTTAAAGCCGCAAAATCAAGTACACCGCAAATAACGAGCGTTTAAAGGTGCACGGAGTGGTGCATCCCCGTAGGCAGCAGGAGGAGGCCTGTAATACACAGGCGGCTCCGCGCATACAGCCCAGCCCCACACTCTGGAAGCCTCGAGTGCATGTGTGGTGGCTAGGAAGAAGCGTCCATGAAAGCCTCGAGACAGCAAGACTGCTTGCAATTTACGCTCTCCTGCGAGGCGAATCCGAGGGTAGCTCGTCAACGTGCTGGCTGGCTCTTGCAGCAATGGCAAGCCTCCCTTGTGGCTCCGCCTGCCCCGGCCGTCTGGTACTGCCCATGGGAGATGACATGCACACGCACTTACGGCAAGGAAAACTGATGGAGGCTGTCACCCCTCTAATAAGGAGAGGCGGATGGTGGGCAAGCGCGGCTCAGCCTCGACGTTTCTGCAAGTTCGCTGGGCAGCGCTGTATCGATTTGCACTGCTTGAGCGTCGATGCACGGCTCGGAGGCGGGCGCAGGGAGGTAGCGCAGTCTAATTGTCGCTTTTCACTCATTTTTGTGTCTTCTCCTTTGTCTCAGCAACCGCGTCGTGGTAATGCCGAACACCATTCCACCCATAGTGACCTGCGGCCAGGCTCTGGCGTACCGAGAGAAGCTTTTGCAGCAAGTCCGTTACACACACATCTTCATGTAGGCGCAACAGGGTTTGCGTGTCTCTTTTAGAAGCTTTTCGAAGCGTTCTTGCGGCTCTGCACGCGTCGTTTCGCGCAGAAGTGGCGCTTTTGCTGGATGCTCTGCCCGCCGAGGCGAAGTTTGCCATGGCTTGTGTGCTGTAGGACTCAAAGGTGGACTATCTAATGACGCTCTACCTCTCCCCGGAGGTTGATTGCAAGGATATCCTCGAGAATGCGAAGAAGTCGCATGTTGTCGGGGTCAGTTTTTTGCCAAGTTTCCGAAAGCCGGCGCGTGCCTGTTCCGCTTGGGATGCCCTCGTGCCCTGCCTGCCACAATAAGAAGGAGTCTTGAAAGCAGCCCATTCGGTGTTTTTCAGCCAACTATGAATGCGCAGATCTACGTAGCGTGCCAGCAAATGTGGTTCTGGAATGCCTGCTTTCTGCTTCGCTGTATGGTGCGCACGTCGTGAACTGTGTGCTTCATTCAGGTCAAGTTGTATCCGCGTGGGGTTACAACGAATTCGGATAGCGGCGTGGAGGTTAGCTATTGAGCGCGCCTTTTTTGCTCGGGCATGCGTGGCGTCAATTTTTTTGCCTCTACTTTTTGCCTGCAGGGGGCGTGCTACATATGGCCTCTGTCATTTCTGCAGGATCTGTCCGGGTTCCACCCCGTATTCAAAACCTTAGAGACGTGCGGCCTGACTCTGCACATCCACGGCGAACAAGTCGGCGCCGAGCTTCTCCGAGCAGAGGAGCTGTTTCTTCCTGCCTTTGAAGAGGTATTTGCCAGGGGGGGGGGGCGGGGGAGGAAAACAGGGGGAAAAAGGGGAGAATTCGGTGGCTTAGGCGAGTCGGCAAACCGCACGTGGCAGAGCGCCTTTTGCAGCGCCACACTCCGAGTCGTTCAAACCCTCCTTGCGAATGTCTTTTTCATGGTGTTTTTTGATTTCTGTTTTGATTTCTGTTCCGCAGATTCATTCCAAGTACCCCGACTTGAAGATCGTTTTTGAACATATTTCCACAGCCGCTGCAGTTCGCGCTGTCAGAGGCAAACGCAATGTCGCGGCCACCATCACTGCCCACCACCTCAGAGTGCGCAGACAGACGGAGAGTAGAGGGCTCTTTGTTTTTTGTGCCTCCGACAGGCAGGCAGCTTTTCGCGCATGCACCTCGCGGTCCTTAGCACCAGGTAGCGCCGCGGCGCCTCCTGTTGTCTTCCTTCTTTCTCCGCTTAATTGTAGGGCAGTCATGCGTTTTGGTGTGCATGTTTGACAGTTGACCATTGCAGACGTCTTGGCGTCCGAGGAGGTTGAACGGCACATAAAGGAAGCTGCTTCTGGAGCTCGCTCGTTCCCCCCCACTGTCTGTTGCCCACATAACTTTTGCAAGCCCATAGCCAAGCTGCAGCAAGACCGCGATGAACTGCTACGCGTCCGTATGCGGGAGCTCCTGGGTAGTGTGTAGGATGACGAGCGCCCTTCCCGCCGGTGCGCTTGGAAGTCCTTTGTCTTCCCATGTGTTTTGCATGCGCCTTCCCTTTCTTCGGGCTGGATGCTGCAGGTTGTTCGAGAGGGAGATCCGCAGTTTTTCCTCGGCTCGGACTCTGCCCCCCACCCCCGGTGAGCGATTGTTCGCGCGTAAACGGGGGAGCCGTGCGGGAGACGCGTCGCTACACCGCTTACCCTGCAGTTTGGATGCCTCTCGATGCATGCGCAGCCACAAGAAGGAGGCGGAGCCACCGGCTGCTGGTGTGTTTACGCAGCCGCTTCTTCTCGCGGTGAGCACGCCACTCCTCCGTATGGCAGTCCCACCTGTGTAGAAGCGGCGCCGCTGAAGGGGTCCGAGTCAAGATTTAGCGTGCGGAGCTGCAGCCTGCTGCCCTTTCTGCGCGCAGTATCTCGCCGATACTTTGTCGCGTGCAGGGTGTCTGAAGAACCTGCGGGCTTTTGCCTGCGAAAACGCGGCGGCCTTCTTCGGCTTGCCCAGGAAAGGTGAGTGCTTCGTGCAATCGTTCCGCCGCGTCGCTTGAGGAGACTCGCGATCCTGGGGGAGTGCGGAACCGTCAACGCATGGGCAGACTTACAGAGCCCTCCGTTTCTCGTTGGGGGGCGCAGCTCCTTCCCTGCGTGCGGGATTGAAGTTTTCTTCGCTCGAAGGATACAGGCGACGCACGACAGCGGATGCTCCGTGTGTTTCGAGCTCCGCCGTGCAGCATGCACGCATGCAGCAGTACGGACAGTGGTGTGTGACGCCCCTCCAAGAAATGGTGTGCGGCTCAGGGCTGGTGGAGGGCGAAGACTGCGTGGTACTGGACCCGACGCCATGCCGTGTAAGCAGCTGCACACGGCCTTTTATCTGAGCTTCACTGCTTTGAAACTTGCGGAGGCAGCACAGAGTGCCGCTGCTGCACGGCGACCTTGCAGGTCTTAAAACAAGGCGTGCAGCTTCCTGCCCTGCTGCTGAGGGCGAGAACGCATGTAGGCGCTTCCTAGAGGCTTGCGACGGGGTCCAAAGTGACGCGAATAAGCAGTCCATGCTGTGCGTTTGTTGTGGTCTGCAGGTCCCTAGCGTCTTTGGCGAAGAAGAAGGCCTGGCAGAGGAATTAGTGCCTTTTTTAGCCGGCGAAGAGCTCGCCTTCTCTGCTAGGATAGTGCCCTTCACAGAGAGTCTGCTAGAGAAATAACTGCTGTAGTCAGTCAGCTTTTTTGAGGAGCCGCCGTCCACACACCGCTCCATCGAACGGGTATGTCCATAGGTCACCAGTAACTGGCCAGCCAAAGGAGCTGGCCAGTTACTGGGAAACGAGCTACAGTTGGGCTGGTAGGGCCTTCACCCGACCTTAACATTTGTGCGAGAAGGCGTAGCAGTTGTCACTTTGCAGCAGAAAAGGGCGCTGGACTGGCCCCTAGCTTGGGTACCTATTGTGTGAGTGTCTGAACTACCCAGTTAGCAGTTCATCCGAGGCAGCTCTTTTCACTTGTTTTGCCGCAAGCCTTTCGGACGGCAAATATGCATTCGACCAGAGGGGGTTTCCTGCACGAAAAGTCCTATTTTTGGCGCTTTCTCGCTAAAGGGACCCTTCTCGATACCGCTCCCTTCACGGCGTGCATTAGCCAATTGAAGAGGGGCCTCAAAATTTTTTTGGTTTTTGCAGCATGAGAAGCAGCGCTGGTAGACTTTCACAGTTTCCGTCATCCTATGCCGTGACGCGTATTACTAGGGGCATGAATTCGCAAGCCTAACGGGTACTCCCATGCCCAGCTCATTCGAGCTTTCGCGGGGGTGCCTCTTCCAGGCAGGCGATCATCGCAGCTGCCTTGTCTTAGAGCTTTTCTTCATTCACTAATTGAATATTAGGCAAATAATGGGGTCTGTACACAGTCCGTCGATCGATGGTTTCTCGTTTTTCTACACATGGGGAGTCTTTGCCTGTTGAAGCCCCGATATGGTTGGAGGGGCCCGGAGTGTAGCCGAGCCGGAGAAGGAAACCTTGAGAGAGTACTCTTTTAAATGCTTTTTCGTCTTGTTTTTTGCCATCGGAAGTGTGTTATGAGGACGTCTGCCGCATTCATCGGCCCCGTAAACAGCGTCCGTAGCTCTCCGTGTTTAGGTTGGTCGCAGGCTTCAGCTGCCACGCCTGCTTCTTCTTTCTGCCCCTTCACGCCTGCCACTCCTGAGCACTTGACGCGCAAAAATTCTCTTCGAGCTTGGCATTCGCAGAGGCCTGCTCCCCTTGTTTCAGGTTACGCTGGGGGGGTTCCGTCTGCCGTTCCACTCGCCTACCTTGACAAGCTGCAAACTGCATGGCGCGGTGACGGTACGAACGTTTTATTCCACGAGCCCCTGTTGTCAAGGATAACCACTCTGTGCGCAGAGGGGAAGGCAGAAGGCATCGGCGAAGAGCGCTCAGAAGGCTTTCTATGGAATTTTCGCCATTCACGGTGCGGGAAAGCCAAGTCAAGTCGAGAGCGTATACCGATCAAACGCGCACGCGGTGCCGCCCGCGCACTTTGAATTCAGTAGAAGTCCTTTTATGTGATTGCCTGTAGCAGCATAAAGGGCAATTAGGGCGGCACGCGTCGAAATCTGCTTGCCGGCTTTTCGGGTAAAAATCCCAAGGACCAAGGGCTGAGTGCCTGCTGGCTTGTGATATCTAGCGGAGGGTGCATGGCGCAGAGAGCTGCAGCGGCGTCAAGAGCAGCAGCTGCGTAACGGGCACATCATCCGCATTGTGTGGAAGAACTAGAGCGAGCAAAAGACGAAGAGCAGCAACATGTGCAGCAGCTGGCTGGCGCTGGCGCCTCCGTCCGTCATCTGCCAGCGAGACAGAGTCTTGAGCGCCTCTTAGATGGCCTTGCGTGTATGTCTGGTGCACGTCTCGGAATCTGCTTTACAGGAAGGCGACGCTCACGGCAATGGAGTATGAGGTAGACACTCAGGACGGGACTGAAGTGGAGGAGCAGTTGCAGCGCTTTCAGCAGGCAGTGCATGATCTGCGTGATGCGTTACAGCAGCTAACGGCGAGTCCGCCGAGAAGCGCTTACGACAGACAGCAGGCGACTACGCGTATCCACCGACTCCAGCAAGAGGTACCTTTGAACGCAAGCTGCGAGAGAAGCAGTCAGCAAAGGCTCGATTGCCGGTTGTGTTGTTGTTAGGGAGAGAATGGTGATGGTGCGTGGGTGGGTAGGCGGCCTCTTCAGCGTGTGGAGGTCATTGCAAGCACGGTATTCTGTGTTTCTACAGTGCACTTCCTCGTCGTGTAGGCGCGTCGTATATATATATGTGTGCATATATACGTGTATATATGTGTATATATATGCGTGTGTTTATGTATATATATATATATATTTGTACATATGTTTATATGTGTAAATATATATATATATGTATATATATGTGTGTGTATATATATATGTATATATATGTGTATATATATACATGTGTATGTGTGTGTATCTATATGTGTATATGTATATATATTTATATATGTATATATATATGTGTATGTATATGTGTATATATATTTATATGTATGTATATATATATGTGTATGTACATATATGTGTATATGTGTGTATGTATATATATATGTACTTGTGTGTATATGTATGTATATGTATGTGTCTATGTATATATATTCATATATGTGTATATATATGTATATATATATATATATGTGTGTATACATATATATATATGTGTATATATATATATGTGTGTATACATATATATATATATGTATATATATATATATGTGTATATATATACATATGTGTGTGTATGTACATATATGTGTATATGTGTGTATATATACGTGTATGTATATATGTATATATATGTGTGTGTCCGATGTTACCCCCAACCTCAGGCCAGCGTGTGCAGTCGCTCTGTGGCGCTAGAACTGCGCTGCTCGTCTTCCCTGCTTACTCCCGAGTCGATCTCTCGGTTGGTGCGGCGTCAGCGGTCTCTCCAGGAGCAGTTTGCGTCTATCAGCGAGGAATGCGAAACGCAGTTGCTGGCTGTCAGCAAGGAGCAGCTGCTGGAGCGCGTGAGTCGCGGCCAAGAGCCGCCGCAGGAGACGCCAGATCTTTCAGCGCAGCAACAGAGGCAGCAGCTCGTCATGCTCGGCGATGAAGTGCAGGATCAAACGCAAGTGCGCAGTTGAGCATGCCCATAGAGGGGCACTTGTGTCGCCTTGCGTCCCTTCCCTCTGCTGGGGGGGGGGGTGTGCTGGCACTGGGAAGCATTTTTAATGGGAAATTCTCGAAAAGGGGAGGGCAAGGATACTTTTTGCTAAGGGAGGCGCGTTGGCGCTCACCGGGGGAGCCTGCGCAGAAGGCGTGTTGCCCTTCGTGAGGGTGGATGGAGACGGTTGGGCTTATAGAGGGAGTGGCTGTGGAAAGTGCTGCTAGAGGCCAAGTGTCACTTCATATGTAATATATGTGTATATTAATATATGGATGGGTTCAGGGGGTAATTCGAAGGAGGCGGCTCCTTTTCTCGCGTCTCGATGCATGTCCTACCGTATTGGGGTAGAAGCCTGCCCGTCGGCGGATGGAGCCGTTCGTGCACCGCGTGCGAGCGCCGTGTGGTCTGTGTGTGTGTGTGTCTGTGCCGTCATCACAATCAGATAAGTCTTGCCCGCACGCAGCAGTTGGTCGCAGAGACTGAGGACATGGGAGGCGCTATTTTGCACAAGATGCAACAGCAGAACGAGCAGCTAGAAGGGGTAAAAGACCGTCTAGACGATGTGCAGTTCAACTTGGCACAAGCCAAAAAGACGGCGCAGACAATCGCGAAAAACGCAGCCAGCGACAGATGCATGCAGTGCCTCTGTTGCTGCGTGACGCTCCTCCTCATCGCCTCAGTCGTCCTCATCGCGCTCCCTGGCAAGTGACGTGCCGTGAGCTACACACGTGAACCCGGCAGCCCCTAGCCAGGTGTCGGTAGGAGGATGAGGGGGAGAGGAACCTGAGCGAATTGCGTCTTCGGCTTGGGCTACTCGAAAGCATGAGTCAAGGCGGAGCAGACGGCATGTAGGCTCGCTATAGCGATGAACGCGCCGTTCGCTCGACCGTTGCAGCAGCGCTAGGGTTGTAGTAAAAACCTCGCCAGCGGTGCCCTCCTGCCGCTCACGCCACAACTGAGAGGTCGAACAAGAGGCGAAAGGTGCTAAGCGGCACAAAAGCAGCTGCGGACCACAGGGAATGTGGCAAGCAGGCACTCTACACGACAGCGCAGGCTGTACGCTGCAGCGCCAGGCGGTGTGGCAACTGAGCGGCGCAGAGCGCCGCGCACACTGGCAGCGAAGGATCAAGGCAAAAACAGTCGAGCACCTAGAGAAATACGCACTCACGTAAAGCCCGAACAGCTTCGTAGCTAGCTAGCTTGCTTGCTGGGTAGCCAGGCAGGCAGGCATCTGGAAAGCTGGCTATACACCGGGACGGCCAAAAGATGCCGAAGGCGGCTGCGCCCGAACAGGTGCGCCTTTACAGTGCCTCAAAGCAGCTGGCTGCACTGTCAGCAACGTAAAGCATAAGGAGTGAGAAACTGAAGGTGGCAAGCACCTAAGCAAGTGGGCGGCTGCTCGATGGCCCACAGGCAACGCAAATAGGCGTCCACGCAACGCAGTAGTTACCTACGCAATGCACTGTTTTACCGTAGGCTCATCCGCGCTAACTGAGAAACAGCAGACACGAGGCACTTGCTGCTTGCAGCCGCCGAGGGGCTCAAGTCGTCCGAGGTTGCGCCGCGGATAGCCAGCAGACGTAATGGAGCACCCTCTGCGGCTGCTTTCTTTGTGATCGAGTCTTAGCGTGCTTCGTGAGCGCGTGTAGTGGCTGACGGCTACACGAGTGTGGGCCTCAACGACTCTTTTTGGAGGGCAAATCCGTGGCAGCCCGTCCATTTTAATTCAAAAGTACATACGAACCTATTACGGAACCAATCAGAAATCAGGGGGGACGGTGGGGGAGGGAGAGGGGGAGAAACCGTGGAGCGAGGAAGCGCAGTGAAGTGCAGAGGAACTGAAGCGGTTTGCTCCAGGAGAAACGTCGAGTAGGCTGAGTTCGAACCCTCTAGAAAGTTCAAAAAAAGAGCTTAGAGTAGGAAAGACGGCGAATTCCTTCCTCTCTCTCGCTATATATACACATATATGTGTATATACATATATGTGTATATACAGCCAAACGCCCTCTGTTCAGACGCCCGGTTCCCTCCCACACACAGTCCATGGGAGGCAGACCAACGGCACACGAACAGGAGGCAGGCTGCATGCATCCTTCGCTGCGTGTGAGAAGGGGGAGAGGGGAATGAGGGGGGAGAAAGCATGCTCGCCAGCTCCGCCGCCCTATAAAGCCCAGGCAGGCAGGCACAAGGGAGTTACGGAGGGCTCAAATCTCTGCGTGGGTTAGTAAGCTCGGATCTCTCGCCATTTGTGTGTCTTGGATCTCTTGCGGAGGGAAGAGCCGCTTTGGCCTCCTCCTCCCCTGTTGTTGCCGGTTCGATATCCGTCCTCTGCTTCGTGCGAGGCGTGTGATCGCACCTGATTGACAGCCATTCCAATGCGCCGCTTGAAGGCCGTTGCATGCGCAGAGTCTGTAGCCCACCCCAAGTGTAGCGGCTGTGGCTCCGCTGCTGCCTCCGGAAATTGCTGCCTGATCGGGTGCATGCTCTGCAGGGGTGGTAGGAAGTAGGGAGAATGCAACCGCTGCTCCTGCCGCAGCCTCGCCTCGTGCACTTCTTTTCCCCTCAGGTGTCGATACAGTGCGAGGCAGGGGTCCTCGCGTGCCGCTGCGCTGGCGAACGCCTTCCACGGCATCGCCCAGCGCCTGACGTCGGGTGAGAGCTCGTAGAAACGCATGACAGCTTTCATCTTCTCCCCAAAGACGCTGCGCAGCTCTTCTGGAGGAGTGCGACACACATACGCGTCAATACCACCGGCATCGTCGATCGCGTGGAGCGCAGACGTCGTGACCTTCACGTTCTTGAGCGTGGTGTTCAGCGCCTCCGACACAAAATCCTTCTTCAGTACATTCGGCTTCAACTTGCGGCGGTGTTTACGGAGGGAGAAGGAGATCTTTGTGTGATAATTGTAGTCTTCGTCGTGGTACAACCCGCACTGCGAGGCGGCAGAGGGCGGCCTGCCGTATGCCTTCACCGGAATGGGGGCGAGGATTTGCTTCTTCTTGAAGCCCTTCTGAGCTGTCCGACCCAAACAGCGCAGATATTTGCCGAAAAGGGAGGCGTTCCGCTGCATCGTCTTCCAATGCGCGGCAGCCACGGGATGCGCTCACCGCTTACCGCCAAAAAGACAGCCAGGAAAGGCCTGCATCAGAGGCGGATTCCTCACGCCACCGTCACAACAGCTGCCGAGCGGTGTACAGACAACAAAGGCTACCGCCTGCCCATCATCATGATTGTCGCGAACAGAGCACTGGAGCGGCCAGTTGAGATGCAAAGCTTCTCCGCCTCCTCCTCCACGCATAGGATCTGCGGTCGGCCGAAACACGGGGTGGAGGGAGAGGGAAGGCGCAGCAGGCGAAACGGCAATGCTCAATTCAAGTGCCTCGAGGAGCTTTGAGAGCCGCGGAAGATGAAGCCTTTTTGTCTGGCGCAAGTCCCCAGGTAAATCCGCATCTCAAGAATGGAGCAACTAGAGTCAAAGAAGAAGGAGAGCACGCGCAATCGTGAATTCAAGAGGCCTGTATGGAGTTCGCCTCCAGGAATGCATGTGGCGGCGCAGGGGCATGCCAGCCCCAACATTGGGAAAGGAAATTCATGTTTGCTGGAAAATAAAAAACTGATCATCAGGCTTTTTTCTGCTCCATCCGGCCTTCCAGCAGACCCCTTTGCGCTGCTACTCGCAACAGAAACCCTCATGCACGTACTCCCACGCAGTGGCGCCCATGTGCAGCTTTGGTGGGGTGTAGTAACATAGCGAGGGCCCTGATCTGCGGTTAGCGCGATTTTCTTATTTTGGCAGGTGTGCGTGTTTGAAAGCTCCGTCTGCGGTTACTGGCCTCCTTCTGCTTCCCTGCGGTGTATCTCTGCACGGGTAAGTACCCGCATGCCCGACTAGTCCTTGTCTTGGTGGTTCTTCATCGTGTGGCTCATTATTTTTCTACCAAAGTGCTGCCCTCTGATTCTCCCGTCTTACTTTGCCCCCCCAAGGCTCTCGTGGACGCCGCCTCTTGGCCCCTTCCAGATCGCCTCGCCCCTCATCACGCTCACCCCATCATTAACGGTTCCTCTTCCGCCACAGCGCTCGACACCTCCGTCCCTTGCTTTCCTTGGACCCCGCTTCACGTCACGTCCTCCTCTTGCACTTCACATCCTTCTCTTGCACTTCACATCCTTCTCTTGCACGTCGCACCCTCCCCTCCAGTCGTTTCCTCAGGAGGCTCTGCAGTCGCTCAGGAAGATGACACTGCTGCAGGCTGTCTGCTGCGCCACCGTCTCGCTCGGGCCTATAGTAGCCATCTACCATGCAACTAGCTTGTGAGAGTGCTCCCCTCCTCCACCTCTCCCGTCGCTTCTTCTCTGACGTCTTCTCAACCCACCCCTTTCCCCAACCGCGTCCCCCTGCTGTGTCATCCCACGCACTTCCCTCCGCTCCACCCAAATTCTCGCGTCTACCCTCTGTGCCATGATCAGATCCGTGCAGACGGAAACTCGTCGGCTCATGGGCCTCTCTACCCTCTTTTACTGCTTGTACTTATTTGCAAAGGCAAGCGCGACACGCCCCTGAAGCCTCCTAAAGTTTTTGCAACAATGAACTCGCTAGTGCATGAGAAAGCTGACCACCCGCTGCAGCAACAGCTTGCCTGCTGCTGCCGATAGCCGCAGCAGTGCAAGTCTGCAGACGAGCCATCCAATCGGTTTCTGTGTCTCTCCTTTGAGTGTACTGTCTCTTTCAGAGCTTGCTGGTGGCCAGCATCCTTCCGGCGACGTGCGAGGAATTCTTCATGTGCAGTGTATGCGCTTCTTCAACTCCAAGAAAGCCCCTCACCGCATGAGTGGCCTCCTTCTTTCCTGCTTCTTCTTCTTTCTGCCTGCCTCTCCAGTTTCCCGCGTCTCTTTCGCAGCTGTGCGCATACTTAGAGCCACCCAAAATGTTGATTGCTGCCTTGTTTCAGGTAGTAGAGGACGTCGTCGCAGTCCTGATGGAGCTTTTCGCTCTCCACTACATTCTTGTATCCAAGTGCGCCAACACCAGTCCGCCATTCTCCCCACCCCGCATGCGGCCAGAGACAGCTGCACTGTCAAATTCCAGGCAACTGGCTGAATCCATTTTTGCGCGGTGCAACAACATGCGCTGTTTGTAATCGCATTGCACGCCCTCTGTGCTGGGTTGCCAAATTCGCTCTTCAGAAAGGCACTTTCTTACGCAGCTGAGACACGGCTAATTTGTGTTGGCCTCGGCTGGGCACTAGGACACGTTTTCTTCACGAATGGCCATTACATCTTGAAAGGTAATTTGCAGCTCTTCCATGAGGGATGATTCAACACGGAGGAGACACCTCGAAAGAGGCAGAGACGAGAACGCCCTCCCTGGTCTGCCCTCCTGCGTCATCATCCTGGTGCACTGCTGCTGCTGCTCTCTTTCTTTTTCTCTCTCTTTCTTTCTCTGTTTCTCTTTCTTTCTCTCCCTCTCTGAAGGCCTGCGTGATAGTACCGATGAATGCGCGAGCTCGTTGTTACTGCATGGGTTGCTGCAAGGGGCCGTTGCGGCTTTCAGTCTTGTTGATGGTGCGCGTGGCTTCAACTGCCAAAGTTTTCTGACGCAAGAGCGCCTTCTTACGAAGTTACCGATGCTCTCTTTTGGCTGTGATGCTCCTTTGAACTGCAGCCTTCTTCTCCAAATACTTCCGCTGGGACTGCCTGTACCTCTCGCTGCACGCCAGCGTCGCACCCGTCAGTCGACATTCCCGAGGCTTTCTGTGCCAGTGTTTTCATCGTAAACTTCAGTCGCCGTCATCTCTTCAGGAACCCCGCAGTACTCCTTCCCCTGCAAATCCCCTGCGTATATCGCCGCGTTTAGGGATGTGGCACTTCCTAACATGATCATTTCTCCTCCGCTTGCATACTTCTTACGACGTGTCGCCTCCAGATCATTTACCTTTCGGTGGCCTCTCTGATTTTCCTATCCACGCGACGCCATCGTCCCCTTCACTCACGCGTCACATATCTCGCTTTCGCCGCTCTCCTCGTTCCGTGGACCCTCACCCTAAGGTTAGTGACGGCCAGCATTCTCTTTAGTTCTGCGCTTTGTTCGAGTGTTTTCGCTTAATTTTACGTCCAACAAAGTCTGCCCGTACCGCTTTGCGTTGCCTTTTGACTTCTATACGGGTGTGCTGAAGATGGCGCTCTCCTTGTCGGTTCTACCGGTGCTCCATCGCTCCGGCCTTCCTTTCTCATTTGCTTGGTATCCCGTTCAGTGTCTGTTGTGGTGTCAGGCAGGGCCTAGGGTTGTCTTCAAGAGCATCTCAGTTTCTTTTTGAAGAGATTTCAGGCTTTTGCTGGCTGGCACTGCTGATCCGCCTGTGCATTGCGGTCTGTGCCGGTGTCTCGACGTACCTCATAATAAGGGATAGACCCGGCACCCCAGGCAAGGGGTCCAAGGGAGGGGCTTTTTTCCGCAAGGTGGAGTGAACGATTAATTTCAAAATTTGTAGTGATACAAATCAGATGAAGGTGGCACGAGGAAAAGGAGGGGGAGGGCTTAGACATAGGGGGTGCTGTTTGACCCTTCCAAGCCCGCGGGTATGTATTCATGGGTCGAATCCCTAAAATGTATTTCTGCGGGTCAGACGTAGGATATTGGCAGCTCTGGAGAGTTCTCGCAACTGTCCGCAACCTCCCTAGGCGGCATTGGCCTCATCGGTCCTGTACCTGGTGCAGTTCGCACTGCTTTGCCACAGGCGAATAAGCCTTATTGATATCGTATTCGGCATCCAAGCTCACTCGCGCATATATCTGCATCCTTCATAATTATATGTGTCTTCTGCGCTCTAGGTACAGGCCTTTGAACAGTGTGCATGATTGCTGCCCACGTTTGTTGTAATAGAACGTACATATCCATAGAATATTTGTGGTTACAACAACTCCCTCTGTACTATGCACGCACATTTCATGGAAGAACGTTGAAGCCTTTGATGCTAAACGATTTGAATCCGTTTCGAACTGAGAAAAATTCGATGGTTGGCGAAACTTCAGTCTATCATGTAGAACTCAGCTGATGGTTCCCAGAGACCTTTCGTACCAACTGGACCCACAGGTTCCCGTTGGACAAAGCACGTGGGTGGCTGCATGCTTACTCAGTTCTTTCTTGCATGAACAGTCCACAGGGATCAAAGAGCTAGAGAAACTTCTTGTGGAAAGAAATTTCAGCAGTGAAAGCAATACAGGCGATAAAGTATGACTGTCAGGCAGTCGTGTCCTGCCTATTTTTAAAGGGATTTTGCCGAGAGTAGCCTAAAGATACGAGCACTTTTGAATTATTTGTTGCTCCTCATAACCAGGGATACGCAGTCTCTCCTGTTACGGCCAGAACACAGGATAGGAAAGTAAAGGGGCTGGTCCAATCGAGGGTCACTTCACACGTCCTTGCATCTTGTAGGCCCTCTGTGCGTTTGGGGTTGTTGACAAGAGATTAGCTAAGCCAGGCACACGTCTAGTAGTGTGGTTGTGGCTTTTCAAGAACACGGCATTGCTTCAGACTCTCCCTTGCTCCCTTTATATGCTTGCTGCAAGCGCACACGTTCCGGACATCTCTTTGCTTTACCGAATGTACACTTTAGCAGGATATGCTGTTACTACGCCGTCAATAGAGTGTTTCCACTAGGCTATCCCTACTTGAACGGAGCCAAGGGTGGCCATATTGGTTTGGTGTTAAACGACATGCATCTACCGCGGGGTCCGTCAATATATTTGCTGTAGACGCCTTTAGGCGTATTTGCATGCGTGCGAAGTCTATTTGGGATTGCAACTCTCAACTTTAAGGGGGCTTCTACCATCATATCTTCTGGCCCTTTTCTTCCTTGACGTACAACGCCGGTAGTGCACGCTCACCTGCACTTCCGCTGCTGTCACTGCCTTGCATGCAACTCAGATGTGATGAGACATGATTAGTTAGCCTGAGATGTACAGTTTCCCATGGGCCAGGCGGCGAAATATCGCTACAACAGCAAGGGGCACCTTAGCTCCGGGTCTATCCCACTGATGCTAGACTTGCAGCGTGTAAAAAGGTAGAAGAGGAAGGAGGTGCTTACATAGGGACGCCAAACAGATTTCCATCCACTTTTGTGTCAGTTTTGGAGGCTCAGTGACTGCCTATGAAGGGCTCATAAGAAACATTGCTCCAAAATGCTCTTCGACCATTGTTCAAGGTCTCTGTGTTTACTGGTGCATACAAACAAGTTGAAGCCTGGAGTTAAGACCTCCACAATTTCAGTGTATACAAATTCCGCAGCGGACCAAAGCCCCTGGGCGATTAAAAAGCTGGTTTTGGTTCATCTTTCAGCCGTCCGCATAGGTTGGCATACTCTCCTTGTTAACCTCAACTGGATTACGTTCTTCCTCGTGAGCAATAAGCAAGTCTAACGGGCAAGCAATGTCAGATTCTGATGCAGACGACCGTGCACCTTGCAGCGGATCAGCGAAACTTGACAACTTCCTACTATGCTTTATTTTATTGAAAAATTTGTATAAAGTTTATTTTTTGACCTATATTGGTACATTATTTTTATTGCAGAGTACTCGTAGCACGATAAAACGATATATAAGCAGTGTATTGTGCGTGTATGTGTGTTCTAGGTGCTACTTGCAATCGCTGAGCTTGCTCGAAGAGCTTAGAGAATGCTGCTACGGGCAACCCAACTGTCCTCCTTTTCTCATAATGGAGTTCGGAGGCGGCACTGGCAGAAGGAGAAGGGAGCTTTTCTGCAGAACACTCAACCTTTTTATCAAGCGTGCATCAAGCCTGGAGTTCCTACCGAGACTCTGGAGGAACCCTAACACTTCTGCTTCTCTTGTATTCTACTGTTTGAAGAATACAGTATGATTTATCTCCTCTGTGTGCTTGCTAAACTACTTTGTTCGACTGCATGGGATTGCCAGGATTGCTATAGGCGTGCATTCCGGATGCCCGTTCTCTCCTTCGGCCAGAGGTCCCGTGAATTGAAGGTGCAGGAGGGGGAAAGCCAAGAGCTTTTCGAGATGGCGAGGTAGGTATGGCCCTTCAAGCTGCTTCTCTTTTTTGACAAATTTCCCCCCTCTGTGGAGGGACACGTGGAGGCGCGTTGCACGCACACCCTTTTGTGTAAATAATGGTCCTTCATTGAAAATGCTAGATTCTGAACACAGACGCACCGTACCATCTATTCTTTTGAATGCTGCCAAGTAATACGCGTGTAGGGATACCGTGTGGGGGCCGTGGACACCCAAGGAGGGGGCAATACAGTGGCTGTCAGAATAGGGAAAAAATCCAGTTTTTAAGAGCCTATGAAAATCCCTTTTCAATAATGCCCTCACTTTTCGCTCTTCCTATTTTTCGCTTGGATACTCGCTGAAAGGCGCTATTTGTAGTAGAAAAAGCAGCGTGTGCAGATGCAAGGTCGGGCGCCCGGACGAGCTTGTCGGTGCTTCCTCTGCTCTCTGCTCGACGGTAACGGCGAACACGTTAGTATACAGCAAATACATGACACAAATTGACGTAAACTTCAAAGTACCATCCTGCAGTACATGGCGTGTTCGATGATCATTCTCTCGAACAGTTATGTCGGCTTTCGTCGGCTGCGGCTGCGTCCCCGATGATAAATTGAAGGGCACCGCCACCTTCGGCCTTGCACATATCCTTCTCCAAGACATGATATATGTGAGCAGTGCATAGCATTGTCTGTGCAGGCTGCGACCCATTGCTTTTTCTTTATTTGTTAGGTGTTCGTCCTTCCTGCTGCTGACCTGCGTTGAGCCTCTGGCAGCGATTCGGCAAGCAGTTCGCAAAATGAAACACCAGCTGTCCCGCACCGCCTTCTCCCTGGCATGTCTAATATGTTTTTTGTCTTTAACCCACACTCATGCCACCAACAAGAATACCCGTCAGAACGGTTGGTTGTCACCCATTTCTCCAAGAATCGACGGGCTCCAAACAGGCTCGCCTGATCATTCCGCTTTCCCCGAGACCTTAGCCAAGTCAACAGGGTCTCACTGGGAGCGCCATAAATCCCTTGCAGAGAGGTTGCCAAAGGTCGACCCCTCTCAGGATCTTGTCAATAGGCGCGCCACGCTGACGAGTGTGCAGTCCAATGAATACTTCAATGAAAAGGGGGGGCCTCCACTACCGGCTAGGCTCCGTGGCCGTCTGCAGAAAGCCCATGGGGCTGCTCGGCGATTTGCTGCCGGAGCCGCACGGAGGGTTCAACAGGCATGGGGTGGCATAAAGCTTGGCGCCCGACGGATAGGCCGGGGGTTACTCAAGGCAGTGAGGCATGTCGCCAGGAAAGTCATGAAGAGACGGCAACCGCGGGGTAGATATACGACCAACAAAATAGAGAAAACTAAAGCATCCGCCGACAGCCTTCAAAAAACTTCGCTTGGAGGCCCCGATGATGCGCCAGACAACAAGCCCCCTCTCACAAAAGTTACCACGGTTGAGTTGCCTAGTTTAGGAATTCCGGAGGATATCGCGAAACCCCAGCAGACCGAAGACACAGGTGTTCTAACTGATATCCCTGAAGGCACTCCTCAAAAGCAGAATGCAAATACTCCCCCTTCCGGGTCTGTGACGTCAGAGGGTTCCACTAGTGATGAGACCTCGGATGAGGATGTCTGGTATGATACTTTTTCGTCCCTCGGTACTGATAACGAGAGAACGCCATCGACTGATCTGCAGTCTGGTACTCCAAGTCCAGAGCCAGAACAACTGGGGTATGACGCAAGCTCGGAGGCGCCCGCGGTAAATAACGGCCCTACCAACTTGGAGTCAGTGGATCAAGGCCAGGACGAGCAAGGCTTTGAGGTAGTTGATGCTGCGAGCACCCCCATCGAATCGGATTATGGCGGAGTTCAAGAGCAGCCTAAAGGAGAAGCCCATCAGGACAGGTATACCACCGCTATCAAATCAAGTAAGGACCTACAAGACGCAGAGAAGAAGTTCCCACATTTAAGGGCTCTTTGGAGTCTGTTCAGTAAAAGTGGCCGACTGGGGGCATCTGTAAAATCGATGCATTCCCTGGCGCGTGAGTTGGTTTCAACGCTCATCAAAGCAAAAAATCCTCCCAAGGACTTATCGGAAGACGCCAGGAACGAGCTGGATATGCTGGCACGGCTGGCGGAGGCAGAAGACAGCGTGAAAAGGAAGAGAGATCTGGCGGAAGAAGCGCGCTGGTTCGCTTCGCCCAGCTCAGTAATGAGAATAGCCAACGATAAAGAGAGAGAAGATCTGGAAAAAATATCGGCATCTCCGATGATGTTTCTCTGGTCACCCAAGCGTCTCATTACGAGCTTGTCACCTTTGATGAACAGGGTCAAGGACAGTTTGCCTTTGTCTAACGACGCATTATTGGAGGAGATCAAGGCAAGAGAGGCATTGCAGGGAGAACTAGCAGCTTTCAAAGTTAGTAAACAACAGGAAAACCCTACATCGACTCGTAGCAAAGAACGGCTCGAAGCCTTTGTTTCGCAATTGGGTCTGCTGGCGGACCGAGAGGCGTGTTCCATTGCATCAGCCTATATCTATAAGAGAGAGAACGAGCAACTCGATGCGGCTATCAATGATGCCAATGCGAGGAACTTTGGGAGCATGGCTTTGAATTTGTTATGGTTCCGCAGCGCTTCGAGAGGGACGGAATCCGTCCCACAGGAAATAGCACAGCAATGCGAAAGATACAAAAATTCAAGTGTCATTGGACCGAAAGAATCGGTAGCAGAGCTTTTGTGGTTTTGGGAGGCTGCAGATGTACGTGGATGAAATGTTGTAAAGCCATAAATAGTGAGGTGCAACCAGCCAGTGGCCGCCTGTTTGGACAGCAGGCCCATGGAATCATGAAGAGGGAGGGCGGAGGAACCTGGGTACAGAAACAGTCAACAGCTATTTCGCATGGTGATCCACCACGACGTGAGCTAGCTTATGCTCTTATGCAGCTGACGCGCAGCTCGAGGTGGGGATAGTCATTTAAAATGATTTTAGTGTGACAAGAGACTACAGACTGGCTTAGATACAGCAGATGACGCTGCGTAGAGGCTATACTGCATCGGTTCTTAAGCGCACCCCTAGGCCGAAGCTATGTTAGAGAAGGGAGTAGCCGGCAAGGTGTACAACTGCCAAGATTGTTCTTCCCCTCCACTTTCACGGGCAATGGAGAAGGAAGCATATGAATGCGCCCTTCTGGTCCACCTGACATAAATAAGATTTCTTTTCTTTTTTTGTTAAATCGAAACTTGAACAAAGCCAATAAGTTGCGCATTAGGCTTCATTTATGGGGTTGAAGGGGAGTGTCGTCTCGGCGGGGCCCCACACACGAAAGAATATGCCAATTCTCCACCGCTCTCCTCACCTTGAAATAGCAAGTAGAATGATATAGAGAGCAATATGATGGGGATGGAAGGCTAGTTTCAAGTACCCCTGCACGCTTCAGTTCGGCAACGGTGTCTGCCAATCGGCAGGAGACCATTAGACTCGCAGCCTTGACCCCTCCTAACGGAGTGCCTGTGCTCATCAAAGCCTCAAATAAAAGGATTTCACCTCCTCCCGCCTTTATTTATGGGATCTGTGTTCAGTGTACTCCTGGAACCCCCGCGAAGGTGCGTGGCAAGATCTAGCAGCTGAGAGCTTTCAACAGTAGACGGGCGAGCCGCTAAACACCCCATCTCCGCAAACCGTACTTCAACGCAATATCCGCGTTCACATAACTTTCAAGCTGTCAACTCTCCTCAAAATTCGGGCTGAACAAGCGAATTGGTGATTCGAGGAGGCAGACACACGCCGAGAGTTGCAAACGAAGGGCCGGCTGATGCCCCCTACTACTCCCTTGCTCCGCCATTGTTCGTTTTCCGACATTTGGCAAAAGCTTGAATTTTATGGGTGTTTGCGGGAACTCCCAGCGTCCTTGAAAGAATGCACCTAGGGTCGCAAATATTTGGTGCCCAGTTTGGTGCCCACTCCTTTAAGAGCTACATCCCAATTATTGCTGCTATTTTGGTGGCCGCTGTGGTGGGAGAGATTGCACACAATGCCAAAACTCGGCGGCACCAACGAGAGCACGTCCAGAGACTGTCGAGAATGAGACAGCTGGTGAGAAGGCAGAGGAGGAGGAGGGACCTCGCCCTTTTGGAGGCAGAAAAGCGAGAACGGCGCGCTATGAGGAAGCTACCACCAAAAAATCGCAAACACAGGCACTTGTATGAACCAGAAGGACGTGAAACAGGGCATGCGCCTGACGAAGTGGATTTGCCACCGGAAACCACACAGTTCATGCACCACACAAAGCCCCAGCGCTACCAGACCCATGAGGCACCGAACTTGGAAAAGAGCAAAAGTGTGAGATGTAATGAACAGATGGAGCAGAAGGGCAGGATCTCCACGCGGTTCATGAGTGCAACACCTGCAACCGGCGAGGAAGACAAGAAGGCTGAAGGCAGGTAAAGAGCACTTCAGCGAAAGCTCCGCTCCCAAGTCATAGCCAGAATGTACATCGGATCGAGATGCATACAAATGAGAGTAAGACGCAGGCAAAGAGCATTATCGGAAAGTGTGCTGCAGTGGCAACAAGAAATCGCCATCCTAGCCTGCCCCAACCGACAGCCAAAACCGTTTCCGGCGGGAAGAAGCGAAAAAAAACTTCGACCATGCTGCATTCTGTTTCTTATTGACAGGGCTTGGTAACCATATACAGCAAATGCTACAAATAATATTCAGCCTGCTTCTAAAAGAACCCTGCAGGCTGATGCCAATAGAGTTCGCCACTTTACATCCTCTACGTGCTGTTGCACGTAGACAGCATGAAGATCAGTAGCCCTCTAAACTTTTGCTCCTTGCGGTGAGGCCTCTGCCTTCTCTTCAGAATTATTTCCAGAAAGTGATGCATGTTTTACTCAACGAACTTCCTAATGTCCAGCGGTCCTTTGATTTTAGAGTTGCATGAGTGAAACTGCGTATCATGAAGTATGTTGGAGAAGTTATCCTACCCTCTTTAACATCGTAACTGGTACTCTTGCTGTTTTCCACACTGTTGCCCATTGCCTATTCAAAAAAAAGGTCCCATTTTGAATGCCGACATCAAGCAAGATCAAGTAGATACGATTCAAAAAGGCCTACCTCTTCCGGCTGATTCGCTTTTGCCGATCGCTTAGATGAATCTTCGGAAATCCACCGGTTTGTTGTCTGCAGCGGACTGTGCAATGCAATAAAACGGGGTTCCTCGCTTCCACCAAGTTGCAGCTTTTGAAAGATGCATAGTGACTCGTTTTATTTCCATGGAATAACCGTACGCAGACTCACAAATCGATTTTGAGTTCCTGGTTCTCCTTCAGAAGCCGCTTGAGCTAACGTGGGACCGCACTACAGTAATACGCCATTCAAGCAACGGCAATAATGATCAACATAGTACCTGCTTTGGGGACCCAAATGGGAGCGCCGTGGGATGACCAAGTTGATGCTGCCTTCTGGCGCTTGCGCTCCTCCTCAGCCATCTCGGCTGCGCATTTAAGATGCTTGTCCAGTCAACCACCGTGCTGATTCCGTTGACATCTTCCTCTCTTACCTTCTAGATTTGCAACCTTTGGAATCAGTATTGGCATGACAAGACGGTTCATGAGCCGTTCAGAAATGGCAAAAAGAGCCCGCGTACTTGTGTTTTTATTTCATGACGCAAGTCCATCAAAAGGCTGTTGAGCTGCGACTTGCTGAACCGAAGCACCTTCGCAGGCTGCACCTTGAGTGCAATATTTGGTGGGGAGCTCATTAGGTTGGCCAGAAAGGTTGAATTCTGTCGGTCCATGGTGGACGCCTGGAGGTGGGACCCCTCCGATTCATACAGATTAGCACCGCTGCTTTCCCCCGTGCAATGTGGAAGATGTACCATAGAAAAACTGATGATGGAAAATACTAGGAGAAGTATCCCCATTCTGCCGGGCAAGTTCGTCTCTGCAGCTCTCCAACGCTTCCACGATAAAAGTATGCAAACGGATTGACGCATGTCGACCACTGCTGCCGATACACAAGAGGCAATCGCCGAATCTCATGAGTACATTTGAAGACGAGCCAGCAGGCATGTCTTATATTCAAGTCTGTTTTCCGTTGCATTGCTAACTACAGATTAGCCTAGGCAAACAAATCTGAAGCCCTGAATATACCTTCTCTGAGTCGCTGCGTTGCTTGGTAGATACGAAGGGCAGCATCAGGACTGCCGGGCATAGTCGGAGGAGCGGGCAGAAACGGAAGGAGTTTTACGCATCCTTATTTCTGTTTTTAAGTGCGCGATAGTACTTAACTATGAGAGGAGGAACTGCCAGTAGTGCCCTTTCGGAATCTGAATGCGTCGCACGCGGCGCCGATGCTCCAGTACTCTTCCAAAACTTTTGCGACTACAAAACTGGTCCAAAACACCCAAGAGTGCTTTATTTGTTTACGTCTCACATATGGAATGTAGTTGCACGTGCGGAAGACTCGAGCTTGCCTCTGTCCAGCACCGAACCGTTCCCCCCTTCCTGGCCGTCTGCGCTCCTCGCGGCTGCAAGGTTCCCTCCCGACGAGTTTTCAGACGCGTCCCCCACGATAGACCCAGTGTTACGCAAAGTGTGTCGGAAGGGCGGAATTTCTGAGAAGTACACAAGCTTATAGTTCAATCCTTTGCCGCTGAACCAACAACCGAGTGGTCCCAGCCGCGTTGCACAATTGCGGGGTGGGGCTGCGGCAACACTTGATTTAGGGAGGGACACTGGTAGGTGGCGCTGCCTCGCGTGGCTATTGTCAAGCGGGTTTCCCCCATGGTCTTTGTCTGCCTCCTGCCAGCTAACAAGCAGAAAAACTTGCTCGTTGCCTGGGGAACGCAGGGCCCGACCTACATCCCTTGAACGCCGCCGAAGGGGGGCGGCAGCAGCCAGCACCTGACACTCCCGTGTGTGGTGTTCCCGCTTTACGGCGCTCTGTGTTTCTTGCGTTGGAGCTTGGGGACGCTTTTTGGCGCGCGAGAACTCTGCCAGGGGCCGCATGCTCGGCTGCACCAAACGAGGGGATGTATTTGGCGGGAGGCTGGATGCAACTGGCGCCTGCGGAAAGGGGGAACCTGAGACACCGCGGAGCCGTGAAACTCGCGAAGGACTCTCTGTCGGTGGAAATTTCCTTCGCGTCTCCCCTAACACAGCCCGCACTTCTTGCAGAGGCGTGGCGGTTCGACGGTCGGCTGGGGAGGGGTTGCAGGTCGGGAAGACAAGGGAAAAAGCCCGCCTGCGAGCGCGTGCATAGGAAAGCGGGCAGACTGACTGTTGGACTGCATGCTTCCCGTAGACAAACCCCTCCTTTTGGGGAACTCCGCCGCGTGTAGAATGTTGGGTCTGGTGGCTGCTGCAGAGCTTGAACAGCAAGAGGGAGAGCCTCCTGCTGCCACTTCGCAGGAGCCGGAGAGTTCGTCTTTCACAGAGTCTCGGTGGGCTTTGCGTCCAGAGCGGTGCTCCCTAGCCTTTCTCTCCTCTCCTCGCAAGCGCCTCCTGCGCCTCCTGCAGAAGCAGCTAGCTTCTCAGCTAGCTGCCGCCAGCGAGGGGAACGATATCGACCCTCGTCGGCGCCCCCCCCACGCCGCAACTCCCGAGAGCATCCTCGCTCGCTGGCTCCTTGCAGATCCGAAGCGGTTGCGGGGTGGCTTCTTTTCGTTGGTGCGGCAAGGGTCCTGCAGCAGAGGCAAGAGCCTCGTCTCGCATCTCCGTTGGCAAGCCTCCTTGTCTCCGAAAGAAGCAGCGGCAAAGGATCCTGGCGTCTCTTCCTGCCCCTCCCTGCTGCAGTCTGCTGGCGGAGCAGCTGGGGACGCTGCTGTGAACGCCGCGCCGCACGGGGGGGGGCCCACGACGCCAGCAGCAGCAGCAGCAACACCGCAGCAGCTTGCTGCAGCTGTCGAGAGCCCGCATCTAAGGCTGGAGAAGAAGAGGGGCTGCAGACGCAAGGAGCGAGCAGCGTCGCCGCTCGCAGGAGGGCTGCTGCGAGGCGAGGAGGCTCTCCAAAGAGCGAGTCGACGGCGCTCGCTGAAGGAGGCCAAGCGTCTCGCGAGAAGAAAGGAAAGAAACACAGAAACCGTGCCAGATCACAGCGCCTTGCGCGGCTCCTCTGCTGCGACGCTGCCGGAGCAAGTCTGCTGCGTCCTCTGTAGCCATCCCTCCCCGCCCATGGGGGGCGGATGTCTTTGCGCTTCGCGACTCCGCTGCTGCGGAGACGTTGCTCAGCAGAGACACCCGTCTGCCTTAGGGAGCGCGAAGGAAAAGGCATCTTTGACTCCTGAGCAGCCTGAGAAGGAGCTGCGAGAAGAGCAGCACGGCGCCCACGAGAGGGGGGGTCTCCTCGGAGCAGGTGCCTCTCCGCGTGTTTCGAAGCGCGGCGCCGGAATTCTTTCGGATGGAATGCCGAAGCGGCGCCGCGTCTTGCATGCGGACGCTGCCACGGGGGGAGAGCCGCTGCAGGATCGACAGAGCCCTCGTATCGAAGTCTGGCGACGTTGCGAGGATCCGGGATGGCGTGCGCGCGCAACTGCCGCTGCTGCTGCATCAGCGGAGAGTGGCAGCTGGTGGGAGCCGTCGGAGGCTGCAGGGGAGCTCCCTGTGGTGCCGTCGTTGCTGCTGCCGCTGCTGCCTTCCATCTACGCATTGCATGCGCAGCCCTGGCCTCCTCCCCCCGCGAAGCGGCGTCGCTTTGCGGCGCGCAGACGGAGGGGGCTGGGGTGTTTCGGTGTCTCCTCTGCGCGCGTGGAGGCGGCTTTCGAAGGCTTTACGTGCCCTTCTCCCCCCGCTGCACAGACGGCTCAGGCAGGCGGAGGAGGCATGCACGGCTCAGACACAGCAGCAGCAGCAGCAGCAGCAGCAGCAGCATTGGAGGGAGCCACACCGACTGTAGCGGCTGTTGCGGCTGCCAAGGCAGGGGGGGGTGCTTTTGGGGGGGTGGCCTCATGGGGGAGTGTTGCAGATGCGGGTGCTGTGTCGGTGACGGAGGAAGAAACGACAGCCGCTCAGGCTTGCAATCCAGACTCGAGGGAGGCTCGCACTGCCTGTGGGGGATGCGTAACGGACTCCCCACCCCTGTGTTGTGGTGCTTCCGTTGTGACGGAAGTTTCGGGACGAACAGGAGACGCAGCAGCAGCCGCCGAAGAACGCGTGAGCGACACGTTCATGTGCAACAACAGCCCCTCCTCAGGCGCTCTCCCGATGGTAGAAACTCCCGAGGCACCGCCCCGTAGACGGAGGGGCAGACGTGGAAATTCTGTCGCAGGAAACTGCGCGCCAGCTGCCACGACGGCTGCTCCGTGCGGGAGCGTCTCCGCCGTTCGCGACATTGCGACGGCAGCAGCAGCTGCAGCAGCTGCTGCTGCAGCTGCAACTCTGGGAGGCGTCGAACAACATCGCGAGCAGCACACTCCGCCGCCTTCGAGGGTCCGCAGGCTGTCGAGAGTCGTTGCGTGCACTGGCTTGAAAGACGCCGAGGCAGCAGGGGCGGCAGCGGAAGCCAAGCTTGCCGGCTTACTGCCAGCAGACTGCAATTACAAGCGAGAAGCGGAGGCGCACCACAACCCCCGCAAGCCCGCCTCGACAGCTGTAGCAGCAGCGGGAGCGAACGTGAAGAGCAGCGTGGTCGGGTGTGCCTGCTCGACGGGGTGTCTGCCCCCCCCTGTGAGTGTCGCAGAGGCGGTTGCTGCAGTAAAAACGCCACCAACGGCTCAAGAAGGCTTCGCTAAAGAAACCCTCTCTAGCGAACCCCTCACCCCTCCGAAGGAGGCTGTCTCTTCACCAGAGGCACCCCTCTTCGCAGGAGCACTGCCCCCCTCCCCCCTCTCGCCTCCGCGTCATCATGTCGCCTTGGCTCGAATATCGCAAGGTTTGCTGGTAGGTCCCTCTTCCTTAGGCCGTGGTTCAGGGCTAGGCGTGTATTGCTGCCGAGATTTGCCTCGGTTATCCGTGATCTGTGAGTACAGTGGAGTGCTGATCGACAGAGGCACTGCGCTCCTGCTGCGGCACATGCGCTGTGCGTCGCACGTCATCAATGTGCAAATGCAACACCTGTACCTCCTAGGCTTCCACACGCCCTTTCCTCTCTCGGGAGGAGGAGCCTTCGTTAATGATGGAAGATGGCGCCCCGGTGGGGGGGAGGGCCCAGGGGTGTGCGTGCGGTTTAAGGTGATGTTCGATCGTTATAGGGCAGCGCAGCGCGTTGTCATAGTGGCTCTGAAGGATATTCGGAAGGGGACAGAGCTGCTCACCTCGTACGATAACGATTACTGGAGACTTCTGGCGCAGACGCATCACAGAAGATGCAAGTAAAGCCGCTAGACGCAACGTGGGGGTTCCTTCGATGTACGCATCGAGGCACCTCTGATGTATGCGCCCCTTTGACGCCAAGCTAGGCGCCGTACGGGGGTATATATATGGAGATGCAGATACATTCATGATTCTCTATATATCAAGTTGTGTGTACGTGTAGATAATATATCTCTACCTATATGTCATATGTGCCAGTGTGTGTGTGTAGTTACACCTGTCTCTCCATACATATGCATGGAGACGTCTCTGTCCAGGCGACCGTGCATGCCAAAAGGGTGTAGGGGTGTGGTTCCAGCTTCGATGCGGGGGCACATGCAAATATGGACGTCCGGTGCACATTCGCACACATTCATGTACCTCGGTAGCTTCTTAATATACGCACAGAGGAAGGTGCATGCATGTGTGTGTATGCGGTTTCCCTCAATATCCATATGTATATATATTCAAGTAAAGGGATGCGCCACGAAGCGTCTGTGGGAGTGTTGTTAAAGGGTCACTAAATGGCTTTGGCTTTCAATAAGGGCTGCCCTGCGGACCAGACTGGAACTGGAACCCCCACAGTGCTTCTGCTAGCGTCTGACTCCCCGAAGGCAGAACGCCCGGGAGAAAGCATGGGAAGCAAAGGGAAGGTGAAGCATGCAGAGGCTAAGGGAACATTAGGAGGAAAGCTGTGGGAGGAAGGAAGAGGCCTGTCCTGTCTTTTCGTTCCACCCCTTGTATCCTCCCGCGTATTCTACTTCTTGTCTCTTGGACCTCGTATTCTTTTACAATTGATTTGGAAGGCCGCCGCGTCTTATTCTGAAAGGAAGAAAGGCCACACGTTTTAGACGGAAAGAAGCACAAATGCCAAGGGGAGGGGGTAACGACAGAGTCAGGGAACCTACAGTAAAGCGAGATACGGGAAGGGTTCCGTGTATGCTCTCATGTTCGCTTTTTGTCTTACTAATGGGAGATCCTCTAAATAGCCCTAACTAGTCTTGTGTGCATGGGCGAAAGTTGACTGAGCAGGGAAAAACATACTGGCAACCCAGCTGTGTGTAGAGGGGGCTAGGCTGAACTTCCCCACTTTCTACCGCACATCTTACATTCAACCAAAAGTTAGAAAAGCATTCACTGATTGATATTTCTGCTCGTATATATTATTTATGCCCGAGTAGCGTTAGCTGGATACAACAAGACGCAATGTGTGTGCGTGTGCTGCGGTAGATGTGCTCTGCAACTCGTTGTGACTAGTCGGACTGCTTAAAAGCTGCAGGCAGCTACGCACAGTCTAGCTGAAATTGTGTTAGCTTATCAAGGACAGGTGCCTGGCTGTCAGCATAGACGACGTCCTAGTGTTCAGCCAACACGTTAAAGGGTGCCTCCAGTAGGTGCTTCAACTGTTGTGGGACAATCTGTGGTATCTATAGGCACGTAGTGCTCGTTTTCATGAGAACAGCTGTGTGCATAGGAGCGTGTATCGGCTACAGGCATGAGCAACTAAAGCAATCAAGGCGTGCCGTTTACCTGTACGCACCCGCATGAGAGCTGCGAAGTTCTGTGGGCTCGTATCTTGCTACCGATACTTTTACTTAAGAAATGCAGTCTATGGCCTGGACAGAGGAGGCTTCTGTAGTAACAAGGACGCTCGTTGCCTGCTTTACAATTCCTATGGTACTTGCTTCGCCCGATTAGAGGCGTTATTTCTTCCTGACAGCAGAGGGAAGTGACGTAAGGGTGAGTGTTATTATCTCCCAATAGGCTGCAGGTTCTCCAAAACGCCAAATGACTCCTTGTTATTTTCCTTACTCCGATGAATGAGAGCAGCCCTATTCAATGCGGAAAAAGGAGCTCTTTATGATGGTGTGAAAACATACTGACACTCTATATGCAGGCAGCAATTCGCTGCCAGACCGATCATCAGTCTTTTACGCACCTTACGAAATGTGTAAAAGCATTTTAGAGTTTAGGGTTGCTTGCTAGATGGAGAGCCTCCTTCACATTTAATAGTTGCTGCATTGCAACAATAAGGCATCGCTGGGGCGTTCGGAGAGTGCGGTGGCGACCGCTTTGGTTATGTCCAGCGTGGAGTTCAATATAAAGTCAATCTGGTAATCCATGCTTCTATCGAAGTTGCTGGAGTATTGTGCTTTTGACACCCATGCACGCTACAATTGCCAGGATCCAGAATGGCAGAAGGATTAAGCACTATTAAGTTGCGGATGCCCAGCTCTGATGTAAAGAAAGCAGGGAACTCAACGCCTGCACATTCCGACTGTGCTCCCATTGCCATTTGTGCGCGAAGCATATGCTTAAATACTTTTGAACCATGGCTAGATGCACCTCAAAAAAAGCGCTGATGGCTTTTTCTAGAGCCTGGGGATGCGTTTTTTGGCAGAGGAGTTTGGACTCTCATGGCCAGATTGTCACCAGCGAGAACCACACAATTCTCTTAAGCCCGACCATTTGCAAATTCGTCTTGCTCCTGAAGAATTTCAACCGATCTGACTGTGAGCTCTCTTGTGGGACTGCTGGACATCAAGGGTCAGGATGGTGTCCACACCGTTGTCGCCTGCCTCACCATTTCATCCCCTGCTCTAGTTCTGTCGCTGCTCGTCGATTACCGCGGAAATTCTTAACTCCTCTCTGTAGCCCCACTAATTCTTAGGCGTCCCTAGGGATGGGCATCCGAAGTTTGTTAGGGCGTTGTGTGTGCCTAAATGGCGTCTATCTACATGAACCACAGCATAACCACTGCGAACCACCTTGAGATCGATGGGGCCACACAGCAGATCAACCGCACCCTTTTGCAGTCTGTGCGACTCTATGCTCTCACAAGTCCTATCGCATAGCTTGATTTTTGTTCCTTGTGCTATATTGCCCACATCACACAACAAACACTCATCTACTCGTTGCACTCCTGCATCCCTGGTGTGCAATCAGGAGCCTCTTTCAGAGTTGGGCCTCGGCTTGGTGGTCGGACGTCAGCAGCCATCTTAGTAGCAGAGAAACTTAGAGAACATGTGGCTATTGCACGCGAATGTGTGCGCAAAGGACAAAAGATATAAGCACAGGATACGAATACGCATGGGTTGGCTATGACTTTCGAGCCTGGCAATTTGGTCCTGGTCGATCGGCAGGCCATGGGAGGTGCACCAGAGAGTGACGAGACGGAGGAGTTACGGCCAGATGAGTACTACCATTCGCCATTCTCTCACGAAGCGATGTTTTGCATACTCTACTGATTTGGCTAAAAGTTCGGAGTGCCGCAGAATTATGTATATTTTTTACATGAAAGTTTCTAAATTTCCCGTTTTTATTATCAGCGGACACACCGCGCAGACAAGTGACGTAGGCAGGGGTGGATGATACACACGGGGACGTGAAAGTTTTGGATACTAGGATTACTGCACCGAGGACCCGGTGGAGTCCAAGAGAACAGAGCTGAGGACTGTCGTCCATAGTGGCTGACAGAAAAGCAGTTACGGGACTCGCTAGGGGCTTTGGAACCGACTTCGCTGTGTGCAGTGGCACTATTTGCATGCACTGCAAAACCAGTGTGTAGTGCGAATGTATTTGCATAGTTTGCTTATGGGAGGCCCACACATTCCAACACGTTGACGACACAGAGCCATCGTGCCGCCGAGAATCGTGTTGCTTTGGTCCTTGGTCCGTTATTGGCGAGTGTGTGTGCCTTCTCCTCTTCGAGTTCACTTTATAGCTTGTTGCACAGAGTTGCTTTGCTAATGTGCCCTGGCTTTCGTGTATCTACCCGCCTTGAGAGTTGCGATGATGCAAAGACGCTTCTTCTTCTGCTAGCCTTGATGTAGTTTATGCCAGCCTACAGAAAAGGAACGCCCGGGTATTTGTCTCTGGAATGGGCGGCAGGGAGGGGAGAGGGAAGATGCAGCGCCCTCAGCTGCTTTTAAACTTTTCCCACCACAGTGCTAGTATTGAACAAAGCATTTAACTATTGAACTCCTATTTGGTTTGCTTGCTCATATGTCTTCGTCATTGCAAACTAGCGTTAGCTCGATACAACAAGATGCAATGTGTGCGCATATGCGCTAGATGCTATGTGCAACCAGTTTGAATGCCAAGTACTGGGGTCACCAGAGCGCAGCCTGTGCGCTGCTTCGCCTTATGTCGGAGCCCTGAGGGCCAGGGGGAGAGAAAGGGGGGAGCTTTTTTGCAGAACATTTAAAAACCTTGTACTACATTTGTTTGTAGTCTGAAACCAGGTGTATCCCCACGGGAACATTAAGCGGAGCCTCGAAGTAAGCAATGGAGAAATTTGCAACGCTGAAAGCGCATTCGCACAAACCTGGACGGGTCCTTCCCTTAAGGGCTACACACACCCTGCGTGCTTCGTTCTGGGTTAACAGTGCCACGAGAGCACTCCTGTTTGGGGTAGCAGAGTGATGGCTTTTGCCGAGACTCTGCTATCGTAGTTGCCCTCGATACTATTCCCTCTCGAGCTGAGCAGATAACAATTTTGATTGGATACACGTAAATTCACATGCACGCTTGCCTTAAGAGCAGATGCAGGAAGGTGGTGGAGCGGACCAGCTGCCTCTTTAGCGTTCTCGGTAGTGTGCGAAGTTGGCAAGGGCCCCTTGGCGTAACTTGCGGCATGTGCGCTTTGTAAGGCTCTTGAACTGCTTTGCCCCTCCCTTCTCCGCCTTCTCTGATTCATCAGCCCGGTTAATGGAGGCGGTAGCAGTTTTCAAGAACTTCTACTAAGGAAGATACAGGTGCAAAATTCAAGAACCGCCATGCGGTGTACAGAGAAATCTAACGCATTGCCACGTACGTGAAACGGCCCAATCCGTTGATCGCTACAGAAATAGTGTACCGTCATTAATTATTTGAAATTTGTCTCCCAAGCTCATACTGGCAATTCATCGTGTTCATTTTTTGGGGCTGTTGGCGCCCGCATGCCGCCCGCAACACCCCACTGCGGCTTCAGTTTTGCCTGCTCGGAATCGCCGTTTCTCCTTCTTCACCAAAATTCTGTGGACAAATTCTAGCTCGCTGGAAACAGAAGTTCGCCAAAATGAGTGAACGGCTGCTCACTGCGCTCGGGCGCGTCGGCGTTGCTGTTGGGGCTACAGGCCTTGTTGTCAAGTCGTGCCTCTATGATGGTGAGGCGCACGGGGTGTCTCACGAGTGCGCATTTTCTCAAAGGGAGCTGCGTGGCAGTGGCGGCGGGGGGGTGGACAGGGGCCCCTGGTGTAGCCTGGGGGATTTTGCACGCGCGATGGGAGGCTCCACTCGAAGCTCAGTGACGTATTCGCTGCTCCTTCTTCCGCCACACGCCCCGCCTCCCCAATCGCTAGTAGCTGCACGTAGCCATACACCGGATTTTGGGGGCGGGGAAGGGGCTTCAAGGGTCGGGGGGTAAGAAGGGCACAAAAGTTGCACTGCACGCGCGCGAGGCCAAAGAGTCTTCCTGAGGGGGAATGGGTAGAGGGCTTCATTATGAGCTCGATAAATGCAGGTGCAGAGACTCCTAGCACCAATCTATGGCCGCCGCAACAACCCACGCTTGAAACAGACACATCTCTCTCGGTACACCAGCCATGGCTCGTGCTCGGCGGAGCCATTGCATGCAGCTTTCTCTGCGGCACTTCGTGTGTGTTCTGGAATTTCCTGCAGTGGATGGCGGCCAGCGGTGCATCATGTTCAACCGGTTCGGCGGCGTTTCACCCCGTCCAATTGGGGAGGGCTTGCACTTTTTCCTGCCCTGGCTGCAAGTGCCGCATCTCTACGACATCAGGACGCAGCCTAAGGTGATTACCACTACTACAGGCACGCGCGATCTGCAGATGGTGTCTCTCTCGCTCCGCCTGCTGTACCGACCCAATGAGGCTCGCCTCCCGGTGTTGCACCAGACGTTGGGGCCAGACTATGCAGAGCGCGTGCTGCCTTCCATCGGCAACGAAGTGCTCAAGGCAGTTGTAGCTCGATACGATGCAGAGAGCTTACTCACACAGAGGGACCGAGTCTCCCAGGATATCCGAGAGAACATTACGCAAAGGGCAAAGCACTTTGATATCGAACTCGACGATGTCGCCATTGTAAGCTCTGCGAAAAAATCGCAAGTAGAACTGGTCGAGTGCAGGCCCTTCCCCGCCTCAGACGACCGCTATTGTTGCTTCAAAGACAGGCACTGCAGCTTGTGCTCTTATACCTGAACATATATCTATATATATCTGTATATATGTGTGTATTTTTGCCGAGTGTGTTTGTCGGTCTACCTTCCCTTGCGTGCACGTCGCAGATGCGCAGTTTTTTCAGCGTTTGACTGTTGCAGAGGCTGCCTCAGATTCACGGCGAAGCCTCGTTCTCTGCGCTTATGCATATCTCCCGTTTCCGTATGATTCCATGGCATGAGGGCCTACCGACTCCGATTCCGCTTGTAAAGCCTTGCTCTGCTGTGCTCCCTCTGCTGTGCATGTGCTGCAGACGCACTTAAGCTACGGCAAGGAGTTTGCACGAGCCATTGAGGAGAAGCAAGTTGCGCAGCAGGAGAGCGAGAGGATCAAGTTCGTGGTTGCCATGACGGAGCAGGAGAAGAAAGCAGCAGTCGTCAAGGCAGAGGGAGAGGCGGAGGCAGCCTCCCTTATTTCCAAGGCTATAAAGGAACACGGGGGAGGCCTCATTGAGGTTCGCCGCTTGGATGCCGCAAGGGAGATCGCAGACACGCTTGCCAAATCCAAGAATGTTACATACCTTCCTCAGGGCGTTAATATGCTCTTCTCTTCGCAGTAGGCCGTGCAAGTGCTCAGTAAACACAGTGGACGTCCACTGCACCAAGACGATGCCCAGCAGCAGGCTCGTGTTGGTACTAGGGGTGATGCTGCTGTTGCCGCGCTCGTAGCAGCATGTGCTGCGCTGCAGCAGAAACCAGTAGGGGGCTTGGATGGTCCGTAATAAGGGAGAAAGCCGGTCAAACGCGCTTTAGCTGGCTGCGCATACCCCTTACCCCTCCCTGGCTGCTTTTCTTTCTCTTTTCTGCCTTTCTTGCCAGTTCGCATCCTTTTCTGCGCCTCTCGGCATTCGCTACAGCTTTGGCACCTAGATCTCTCTCTGTACCTCTATTGGTGGTTTGCCTTTGCAAACAAAGTGTACTGTAAGGGAAGCATATGAATACCCGCTTTCAAGCGACCTTGGAGTGCTTGAGGCGTGGGTGCAGATGAGGTGGTCGCGCCAGAGAAGCGGTCACATAGATGCACACGGATTTCTAGCCTTCGGGCATTAATTTTTGTGCAGGCAGAAGGGAGGGAGAGCATTGATGCAGTAGTTCCTACCCATGCTGGCGTTTCTGCACGATATGGGCAGGGGGCCAAGGAAACACGAAATTTGTAGCGGAAAGATACGCCCAACATCGCATGGTCCTTGTCTAGATAGAGAGAACAGCCTCTAGGTCTCTGTGCACACAGAATCAATCAACCATCCTGGTTTCTAAGGTCCCTGTAGTCTTTGGCGGAGAACCCTCCAAGAACGCCTTGGCGGGCAGCCGTACAGAAAGAACTGCTGCCTAAGATATCGCTTTCTTTGGACGCCTGTATAGCGGCACGCGTTTTCTACTGTAATTGCATTGAGAACGTTGACATATGTGTCACTCGCCTTCTGCGCCTTCCCTTTGTCTTTTGCCTCCGGCTCTCCCTGCCGACTAGTAGTGCACCGTTCGTCGGAGGCACAGCCTTGAGATACCCCTTCCCCAGCTTTCCTGTTTACCACTCGGATACCCGAAGAGACTTTGTTTGATACCCCTAGAGTTGCGCGTCTGCTTTGTATTCGTATATGCATGCACGTGTGCATGGAGCAAAATCTGCCAGCTATATCTGAGCGTTCATTTGAGGTCACTGTAGCTGGACCCTTAACTTCAGACTCTTTGAAACACAACAGAAAGTTCTTCAGTGCTCTTCTGAAATATATTTACATTCCCATGCCCGAAAGGTCCCGAAGAAGGTTGCGGGGCTTAGGCAATGCGCGTTGCTCGCCCGTCAAACACTGTGATCAGTCAGAGCTAGCTGCCTATCTGGCGCACGCACATCGCACTGTTTTGCGATCTACTGCGCCACTATGCGACCAAAAAGAGGTGCAAACGGTATTCAACTCTTTTCCAATCCTAAATAGAACATCAGTAGTGTAAAAAAGGCCACCCTAGTGTAGCTCAGCCCGCTACACTATAAAATGTGCAAGTTACACATAAATAGGCTGCTTTACCTGTGATTACGGGTAAAGTGCATGTACATATATGCATGTATGTATCCATTACATATACACGCAGGCTGACGCCAACCTTCGCATTTAGGTACCAATTGCCATTCTAACGGTCCGAAAAAATGCCTGTTCCTTTAGCGTGTGATTTCTTCCTCTGCTGACGAGTGCAACATACAATAGCAAGCAATTAAGCGGCTTCCCCCCTCATCAGCCACCGAGGAAGCTGCATATGGGGCCACCCAAAGGTGTCCGTTACTGGGATCATTGCTCCCCCTCGCTTTCGAGCTGCACGCAGCAGGGAACCTAGGGAAGCGGACCTCAAATTGCGGAGTCACTACATGTAAATTTCACTCCAGTGCGCCGATTGGACACGCAGATTCCACCTCTAGCTGAAAATGTATCGTGAATGAGTCCTTCAGCGTGGGATCTGTTTGGGGCTGCGTCATACCGGTGATGGGTGAATTTTCTGTTGCTACCTCCTCGAAAATTCGGCCCTCCTAAAGTCCTTGCCTGTCTTCTTCAGCAGGAATATGGTGCGAGAGGAGAAATTGTTTTATGTTTGCTTCGTTATAATGGAGCGTGCGAATGAACAACTTATTTCCTGGGTTGAGCTTACGGTTCTTCCAATGGTTGCATCACCCGCGTGAGTGACCCTACTGAAATCCCTCTCCCAAGCACAACGCCAGGCACAGGCCCCCACGCCGTCATTTCCTGTCCTTCGCCATACTTTCATATTTTATGTGCCGTACCCAGCATGCGGTGTACCTTGGATCACGAAAAAGCAAGAGGGACTCTCTCGTGTGTCTATGACGAGCGCGACAGGGGGGAGTCCATCCGAACAATTGCCATAGCCTAATCGTAAATTCTGTCTGGAAGAATTTGTTACATGGGAAAGTCGCTTCTCGAAGTATTTATAGGGGTAAGCGCAGCGACAAACGTGCTACTAATGCAGCCGCCAGCGCCTCTTCACAGCACTGGCAGGAGCAACCCGATAAGAAAATCCCTAGTAGCGGCCGCTCAAACGACACCAAATTCGGTTACGGGTGTCTAAGGCTTCTAATTTGGGGGCACTGGGGTGAATAAGAGACAGGAGCCCGCCTGCGTCCTCGTGTTTCCGGGGTGTCCCTGCTTAACAGTCTGCCGCTTCAAGCCTCTAGGGGCCTCTGACCAGAAATTGAGCCCTGTTGGCAGCGGAGCAGTGTAGAGAGCTACTGATAGCTGCGCGACTCGTTTTGGAGACATTAGTACAGGCTGGCACACCTTTGTACCACCACTGTGGGAGCAAAGGGACACAGAGTGAGGAAGCGGCAAAAGGAGCGACGCAGTCACCGCCAGCAAGAAAGGAGTGCGCGGCTTGAGATCATGAGGAACTTCCAGGTTCAGAGTATTCCGTGTCATTCCCTCGTGGCAGACGACGGATTTCTGTACCTGTCCCCTCGTAGCGCGACCATTCGCGTTTCTATCCACCTCTGCTGCACCGTGTTGCTGGGAGCCTTCATGCTGTGGGGCTTCCTGGCTGAGCCCCCAGTTCTCGGGTTCTTCTGCAGCGACACCAGTATTCGTTATCCATTGAGGGCAGAGACGGTCCCCTCAACTTTGGCGACTATCTTGGTCGTGGGGATTCCGTCCATACTCTTTGTCGTTGTAGAGCTGTTGTACGCCTTTGTAGCTGATAAAAGCGGGCTCAGCTTGGTACCCTTGCAGTGCTGCTCCCTCCCCAAGTTCCTCCTCGATGCCTACACGACTTTTGGAGGCTTTGTATTCGGTCTCATTCTCAGCTTCAGTGTGGCCAACGTAGCGAAGCTCTCCATAGGGAGACTGAGACCTCACTTCCTAGCTGTATGCCAACCGAACTGGGAGGCTCTTACCTGCAGTGACAGCACGGGGCCCATCCTTGTAGAAAAATACGATTGCCTAGGGACAGATTCGGAAGCCATACGGGAAGCCCGTCTCAGCTTTTTTTCTGCCCACAGCAGCAACTCTAGCTTCGCCATGGTATACACCTTGATATACCTGCAGTGCCGTATAGGGGGACCCCCAGGGGCTGCTGGCAGCCGGCCTTTTCGGCGGATGCTGCACGCCAACAAAGGGGCTGAGTGGCTGTGGGATGTGGCCACCGCTCTCAGGCCTTTTATACAGGGCGCGCTCCTCCTACTTTGCTTCTTTATTGCCTTTTCAAGAATTTATGACTCATACCATCACCTAGGGGACGTTGCGACTGGCCTTCTGGTTGGGACCATCATCGCTTTCTACGCCGCGTTCTGGGTCAGCAGACTTCATAGATTCACCTGAAAATGTGGTGACAGACGCCAACCAGACGGGCGCAAAAGAAAAATGCACTCGTTCTCACACGTGGAGCATATCCTCGCGGATATGCTCCACGTACCGCTACATCTAAGATTTCTGCAGGAAGGCAACAAACTCCAGACACAGTACAAATTCGCTGAAGGATATGCAGTACTTCTCAAAAGGTCTCCTGCCTTCCCCTGTCCGCGCCCCTCAGGGTTCCGACGAAGAAATTAGGCGTTGAGAGTGATCGCTGCTGACTCTTTAAGCACTTAGGACGTTGAATGCTAGTTGTATCTAACAGTTAGTGCTGGTGCGTACAACCGCATCTTGTTGAATAGAGCTAACGCCAGTCTGCAGCAGGTAAGAAACACGAACATACCAGCCAAGTAGGTAACTCTTTCCTATATCTTGATAGGCCATATATACTGTGGTGAAAGGTCCTGCTCTGTAGCCTAGCCTGCTTCACACCTTCTGGTGCTCACCTGACAGCTTCATATGAGAGCGCCTCCGTTATTCGTACAAACCCCCGCAAGACCCTCCTTAAGGAAGCTCCCTTTCACACGGTACTTTTTGCCAGTAAAACACTAAGCTTCGCATCACGATGTGGCCAGAGAGAATCTTTAAGAGGCACCGCGGTAAGACAAAGACGGAGAAGGTCGCTGGGTGTGGGAAGGAAGTAGGCAAATGCCTGGGGGAGGCAGGTTTACCTAGATTGGATACTCGCTACTAAACTCGACATATTCTGAGCATCAGTTTGAACATGAGCCTCGATGAAACTTAGTCCACACAGCATTTTTAGGAGGCTTGTAACAATGCAGCGGGTGAAGGGAGCGGTCATGTGGATACCTCGTACATTCCTTATAGCCCAATGCCTTCAGCGGCTTTCAACACTTATTAGGATTGTGAGAAGACCCCAAATGCAGAATGCTCAGCTACACTCTGGCTCTTTGCACTGCACTAGTTGTACCTAGGATAGAAAAACTAAAAGATGAGCTATTTCGTTTCTCTCCGTTTATCTGGTTTACTGCAGAGTAGCGGGAGCTCAATAAGCGATGTGCACTGTTGGTGCCATGTGCAGCTAGCTGTGAGCAATCAGACTCCTTAAAGAGTGCAGAGACAAACATCCTGGCTGCTCCTGTTCCCTCATGTGGGATTTTCAAGGGGCCGGGGTATGGAAAGGTGGGGAGCTCTTCTGGAAAAGACTTCAAAACTACCTATATTCTGTGCAGTGAAACTTAAGCTAGGTGGCATGGGAGACCTCCACCTTAGGGCGAAGGCTCCACACATTGCGTTACACAGGCACGCACAATCAAGGCTTATGAGCCTACTCTGATGAGCCAAAAGCTGGATTGGATAATAACTGCACCTCAGGGAAAACGAATCAATGGGTTGTCAGACATGGAATGCGGATCGTGACTTTGGGGATATCTGAAATTGGAAAATAAAAGAATCATTTATAGGGCCTTTGGCCTTTTTGATGAAGTAATCTTGACGTTTTCGTTCTAAAATCAGTGGACCCCTTCACGTGTTGTAGGCCGGTGTCCCCTGGCCTCCTCAACCCTACCGACTATAAGCTGTATGCAGCTCGCCGTGAGCTGCAGAGAACTCTGTGAATGGCGCTCCAGCAGCAAAATATGTTCTTGATAGCACTCAATTGTCAATTACGCCACTTGTTAAAACTGAATCTTGTAAAATAGCTTTGGTTACTTCATCCCCAAGTGGCCCCCGTGAAGGCGAGGATACCCTGCTGTTTCGCATCATCAAGCTTCGGTTATCCGGCCTAGAGCACCATTAGCTAGAACGCCAAGGTTTCTGTCGTCACTGACTAGACAGGGGTCATCCGGCAAGCACTGATTGGGGAAAACACAGCTTGGCACTGCATGCCTAGGTGGAAGCCACCAGGCATTACTCCCGGTCTTCCCTTCCCGGTAGAACACCGCATATAGAAGCTTCCTAGACATGAAACAAGCTAGCACGCACACCGTGCACAAAACTTTACTAAGATGGCAATTTCCGCCCCCATAACAGTGAAGAGGTGTTGTGGATGTAGCCTATCGGATTTGCTTACTCAAACAAAGAGCATCTACTAATTTGTGTCCTCACTGAGAAGCACTCCAAGCTTTGTCAAGAACGCAGCAGTAGACAGCATTCAAAGCCCCCCGCTGTGCGCTCTTGAAAATTAAATAGGCCTATCCCTGAGTGCCTTCCTCTGGAGTCGATGCTGCAAGAGTAGCGTTAAGCCACAAGTCCAGACTGTCAGATGTACAGCTTCAAACGCGTTTTATGTACCAAGATCCGGCTGATTTACGGTTAAAAACTTGTAAGTGCCGTTGGAGAAGGAAGGCAACGTCTACTGGAAGGGGAGCGTCAAGCAAACATGTCTGCCAGATGCTCTAGGAGAGATAGGGTAATTTGAAGGCATACACGGTTCGCTGACATGGCAAAATAACGCTTAATCAGGAATATGCTCTGTAAATCGACGATTATTTCCTGCGCAGACACGGAGCTATCAACCACACGCAGTTCTCGCAGGTGATTCAAGTTCCCCCTCATTCCGGGCACGCCGAGTGGCCAGAGCAAACGCAAAAGCTGAACTTGCACGAGGTGTCAAGATGCAAAGCGGTAAGGCGCGAATCATACTGCTGCATTATTTAGCGCTACTGTGGTTTATTATTTGATGCCGACTGTGCGGCTACATGACTTTCTTGAAGCGAAGGGGCAGGAGAGCAGCAGGGCCTCCTCTCTGCAACTTCGTGTGCCTGAGAGCCTGTCCTTCTGCCTCTTCCTCTTTTTTGTGAGGCTTTGACCGTGATGGTTCATCACCCTTCTTCCTCTTGCGTGTAAATACAGGGTGCTTCCCCTCAGTTTCTGCACGTTCCCTGCGTTTGCAAGCCTCCATTTCGGCGCAGAATCCTGAGGCAGATTCGTGAATCGGACTGCGTGCGCGGCTTCCAGCGAACAAACAAGCTGCAACTCCGCAGTGTGCGGAGTTCAACGCATTGCTTCCGTTCATCATGGGGGGCATCCTGAGAGGACAGAAGGGCCGCAGCTCCAGGTGCAGTCTTGCTGTGGCCCTTCAGACTCTCCTTGCTCTCTCTGGTGCAGCATTTTTAGTCGCTTCTGCCTCTACGACGGAGTCTCAGGTGTACCTAAAGAGGCAGAACGAGGCCAGCGCCGCGAACGCAGAGGGCCTCCCATGTACTACCGGCCTGAGAGACGCCATTAACGCCGCGATTCTGCAAGCGCACAGTCAGTCGTGGACTTATTAGAACACGAAGGCAGAAGCCGTAGGGTCCATGCATTGGACTGCGCTCACTGCTGTTTCTCGCGTGCGAACTGGGTGTGCGCAGGCGAGCACTTTGTGCCGAACGTGTTGATGCAACGTTACAAGACAGTGCCTTATGTGCCACTGCTGGCATGCCCTCCGTACACGGGGCCTTCAGGCCCTTCCTTCTGGCCTGAACTTTCGGATCTGCATCCCTCCGATCTTCTCCTCAAGGTGCTCAACCGTCAGTCGCTTAGGGTAGCCTCCTACGGGCCGCCCCCCTCGAAGGACGAGGACAAACTCGGAGCAAGCAGAGCTGCACGCGGATACAACTGGGGGCATGAAGGGGATTACAGCAAGCCGCAGATTTCAGGTGCGAGCGGCGCTTCCGGTGTATGGACTCCTGGCAACGAACCATGAGTAGGAGTTGCCTACTCGCTAGTGCTCAGTGCGCGGACTGCGGCCAGTCTTTGCAGTGCCTGGTGAAAAGGGGGTCATGCTAAACGCTGCAGCGAGGTGTGTTTCTCCTTTGGTGCGCTGTGGCTTGTGTCTGGTCTCTGTCAGGGTTCCTCCCTGACTATTTGCGTCACTTGGCAGAACTGATCTCTGCCAAGTACAAAGTGCCCCTACGCGTTGAATGGGTCTTTTACACAACGGGCACGGCGTGTCTCCTCTCCGTAATCAATGGAGAGACGGACATGACAGACATCTACTTCCTCCAGTCACTGCCTGATGAAGACACGCTTCCCCTCAAGCAGGCCCTTTCTTCCCCCACGGCCGCAGCCACTTCCGCCGCGGCTACTCACCAGACACCTCCTCTTATGGCCGAACACTTTTACAGGACTTGCCCTGTGGTGGCGTCTAGCGCTTCCTTTGTCTGCAAGAAAGACATGCAGGTTGAGACAATAGGTGACATTGCAGTGTACATACGGGGTCACCCGCAAAGCGCCAGAGTGGCGTACCTCACTGCCGCGAACAAGCGCACTCTCCACTTCCTGCTACCTCCAGAAACTGATTTCGTTATTCTCACAAGTAAGAGAGCGGCAGGGAGAGAGGGGCTGGCTACATTTCACTTTGTGTGGCGAGGGGATGGCCTCGGAGCCGAACAGTCGTGGCTAGGCTGAGCTGCAGTTTGTAGGACGCGGGCCTTGTAATAAGGACGCGGGCCTTGTAATAAGGACGCGGGCCTTGTAATAAGGACGCGGGCCTTGTAATAAGGACGCGGGCCTTGTAATAAGGACGCGGGCCTTGTAATAAGGACGC